GCCCCCACAGAATGTCTCTGGTATATGGTTGTTCATTATTTTTGTTATTTTCTCGCCTGGTCCATTATACTCCTGCTATGAATGAAACCATCCGGTATTTTTCTTTCTCTTTCTGGCTTATCTCACTAAGCATGATCTTTTCCAGCTCCATTATATGGATATATTTTAACTCTTGAAATTTCTATGCTTATAGACTCATTCTGGTTTTTTTTTTCCCCTTAAGTTAATTTTGGTATGTTATCTTTTGCTAGAAATTATCCATTTAATCTAAGCTTTCTGAGGTATTACTGTATAAAGGTAATTTTAGTATTACATTTGAAAACTACATATGAAATACTATCTTCTGTCTGTAGTTGCCTTTTAAAATTATTTATACCTTCTTTTAGTCTTACATAAAAAATTTGTCTTTTCAATAAACCAGCTTTTAGGGAAAAGTAATAATAAATTTAAAAAAATACAACCAATTTTTAATTCAGAGGATCTTCTCTGGGACTTTGTTCTGAGACTGTCATTTCTGCACTTTGTTTTCTACTTCCTATTATTTTTCTCTCACTACTTGAAATGAATTCTTATTAGCCCATTAAATTTTAATCTTTTAGATGCTTTCAAGGGAGTGTACTTCCTTCTAAACACCACATTAGCTGCTGCCTACCTACAATGTTTGACCTTTAGCATTTTCATTATCATTCCATTCTAAATATTTTAGGGTTTTCATTACTATTTCTTCATCATGAATTATTTAAAACTCTCTTAGAGCTTTCAAATGTGTTGTTTGAGTTGTGTTTTTGATACTGACTTCTAACTTAGTTACATCCTGAGAGAATATTGTATAGTACCAATTCTTCATTAAGTCATGCTCTGTGACCTGTATTGTGGTCAATTTTTATGTATAAATTCTTGAAGAAAAAGTTAAATGCAGGGATAGCAAAGTGTGTGTGTGTGTGTATGATTTGGATTAAGCTCAGAAATTATTCTCTATCCTTATTATTATTTGGTAGACTCAGTATATCAATAACTTTTAAATTATATTAAAATTTCCCACTACCAAGACAGATCTATCCATTTTATTTCTGTTATTTCTTGTTTGAAATATTTTGAAAACACATTACCCAAAACAGATGGTGGGCTGAAGGGCTGCGGGGAGGTGGGAGCTGCAGTTGAACCTTGACCTCCAGTTATAAAACCAGTCAAGCTTGGGCCCCCCCAGGTGGCGCAGTGGGTTAAGGCGCAGCACCATGAAGCAATCCACAGCCACTGCAGCATGAGTTCAATCCCCCAGACAGGGAGGTGACCCACATGGCATAGCAGACCTCTCCTGTCCCACCTGCTGCTCCCCTCAGCAGTGTACTTCGTCAGTCTGCCTGTTCAGCTCCCCGTGTCTCTGATAAATCCCCTCACCCTGCACCTCTGGGCTGTACCCCAGTTCTGTATGCATAAACAAATAAATCTTAAAAAAAAAAAGTCAAGTTAGCACTTTCACTTCAGAATATCCTGTTTATTGAAGTGGAAATTTCTGAATGGAAAGCCTAGGCACTGTCTCCCCGGTGAAAAAAAGAAAAACATTTCATCAGAGAAACACAAATTTAAAATTGTCATATTTTCCTGGAAATTATTATTATCATTATGTAGTGATTCCCTTAATCTCTAATAATACATTCTTGCCTTAGATTCTCTCTGTCTAATGTTAATGTAAAGATGCCAATAATTTCTTTACTAGATTTTTTGTTACCAGCCTCTGCTCACAATTTATTCTTCATGTACAATATTATTCTTCAAAGCTGTGAATCTTTAAAAAGTTAAAAAAGAATCAGATCATTTGATCCCTGTTGTCTGTGAGAAAGTCCCACTTCCTGCCTGCATTTGTGCCCAGTGAACTCTGTCTTATCCCGGTGGTCTTTGCTCCTCTGGTGTCTGCGTTTTTCTCCCTTTACCCCCCAATAGTTCAGTTACTCTTCCTGTTCTTTTCTTTTTTTGCCCACTTCTTTTTTATGGAGGTAAATTTTATATTCAGTGACATATATAGACCATAAGGATACAATTTGATGATTTCGGTTAAATTTATATATACCTTTGTAACCACCACTGTAGTCAAGATAAAGAACATTTCCATTGGCCCAGATAGTTACTTTGTGCCCTCTTCTGCTCAGTCCCCACATAAGTATCCCATAACTGTATGCTTGTTGATTTCTACCATCCTAAATTTGTTCTGCCCGTTCTTGAGTTTTATATAAATGGATTCATACATTAGAGTGTCTTATAGCTCACTTCTTTCATTCAGCCTTATGTTTTTGACACCATTTGGGGCATGTCTGTAGTTGATTCTTTTTTATTATTATGAGTAATATTGTAAGGATAGACAATGTCCCCACCCATTCTGCTGGCAGACATTTGGATCATTGCCAGTTTGAGGCTATTATTAAAGCTGTCGTAAACATTCTTGTCCTAGTCTCTTTGTAGACATGTTTTCATTTCTCTTAAACAAGTACTTAGTGGTAAAATGCTCAGTCAAGAGATAGGTAGGTGTTTAACTGTATGAGAAACTACCCCCCCCAAATATATATATTTTAAAAGATTTATTTATTTATTCATATAGAACTGGAGTACAGGCCAGAGATGCGGAGGGTGAGAGGATTCACCAGAGACAGAGCAGGGAGCAGAACAGGCAGATCGACAAAGTACACTGCTGAGGGGAGCAATGGGCGGGTCAGGAGAGGTCTGCTACTCCATGTGGATCTCCTCCAGGGCAGGCGGGGATCGAATTCATGCTGAAGTGGCTTAAGCTTTTTAGTACAGTGCTTTAACCCGCTGAGCCACCAGGGAGGGCCCCAACAATATATTTTAATAAAATAAATAACATTTAGCACAAGTTGTAATTTCCTACTTCTTCTGGGAGCTGAAGATTTCCTCAAAATGACTACGTATCTTGCTCTTTGTATTTACGCCAAGGTCCAATGCAGTCAGTCTTCACTTCATGTAATAGTTCTTATAAACTGTGACTTTTATTTTTTTTATTAAGATGTATTTACTTATGCATACAGAATTGGGATACCGGCCAAAGGTACATGGGATGAGAGGATTCACCAGAGACAGAGTGAGGAGCAGAAAGGCAGATCTACTGAAATACACGGCTGAGGGGAGCAGACGGTGACACAGCAGAGGTCTGCTGCGCCATGTGGGTCAGCTCCCTGGCCAGGGATCAAATTCGTGCCACAGTGGCTGTGGACAGCTTCATAGTGCTGAGACTTAACCCCTTGAGCCACCAGGGAGGCTCCAGAAACTATGACTTTTAAATGGAATTATATGTACTGAAAACAAGTTTACAAATAGCATCATTTTGTTTAGTGTTAGCCAGAATTGGCTTTTTTTCCTCATCAGTGTTACCACAAAACCATGTTGAACAAAACTATTTGAGGGTCTGTTGTGCAGGATCCAGGACACATTTGGTGCTCATAAGTGTTGAGTAGGTTTTTACTTTTATGGAATTTATCACATACTGTCTTACTGGTTGTATTCTTTTTCCTGTCTGCTAGAGTACAGAATTCTTAATGAATAGGAACTTATTTTATTCTTGTCTGTATTTCCTGGAATATCTGTTACATTACTTTGAATGAAAATGACTTGTGATGTGTGTATGAATAAACCAGCTTATCATGTAGAAGGTGAAGATCCTGGGACAGAATAACAGAAGTTTGCCTTCTGCTCTTCTGATTGGGAAGAGAGGAGAATCAGATAGCACTTCTATATCTGATGTCCCAATTTAAGATTTATTTATTTATGTATACAAGAAGTGGGGTACAGGCCAGAAGTGTGGGGGAGGTGAGAGGATTCACCAGAGATGGAGTGGGGAGCAGATGTACTGAAATACACTGCTAAGGGGAACAGCAGATGGGTCAAGAGAGGCCCGCTGCAAAATCTGGGTCAGCTCCCTGGCCAGGGATTGAACTCATGCTGCAGTGGTTGTGGATTACTTCATGGTGCTGCGCCTTAACCCACTGCACCACCTGGGAGGGCTCTGATGCCCAAAGTTTTGATGGGGGGTGCTCACAGAGGCCTTTGGCCTGAGAGGAGTATTTTGTGTCAAAATGCTTTGTCTGATTCACCTCCACTCCAGTAACACATTGCAGCAGTGAAGGAGGGGTTGTTATCTTTAGTTGGTATGACTGTTCTCATAGTAGTTTATGTGGATCAGTAGAAAATTTTTTTTTCAGTAGACAATTTTTATTATGTGTATGTTGCATCATACATGGATATAAAATATAGGTTTTTACTTTGCAGGATGTGATGCTTGTGAAACAGTGTAAATAGAGGCAGCCTTTGAATATCTGGTATTGTGTTCTTATTTTACAGTTAAATCCAGATGTAAATGTTTTCCAGAGGAAATTTGTGAATGAAGTCAGAAGATGTGAAGAAATGGATCGAAAGCTTCGTATGTGCATATTGGTCTTGTATGATGTTCCTTTTGAATCATTTGTCTTAGATTAGAGACACCAGTCTTCTTAATAAAGGGAGAAAATACGGGGTGGGGGGAGGGAAAGGAAAAATCATTCTATCCTATGTTAAAAACATTTCTTCTATACTCGTAGATTTTGTAATGTTTGTTTGGGCTAGGTGGTCTTCAGTGAAAACCTTACTTGCTACGACAAGGCTGCAAGCTGAAAACACTGGTTATTTGGGGTGGGGGTGTGTGTGTGGAAAGTTTTATAACATCACTACATCATAGAATTCTGAGAGCTAGAACCCACACCACCATCAACTTTAGATGTCAGCATAGTCACCTTTTAATTTGAGCTAAGGAGAAGCTAGCATTAAGGTTCTGTTGAAAGTTAGTGTTAGTATACCATGTAAGTATTAGTTACTTCATTCATTCCCCACCACATTCCTTCAAGGTAGGTGCTACCTCATTTAGAAAATGAGGAAACCAAAGGTCAGAGAGATGAAGTGACTTATCCAAGAACGTAAGTGGTCATGTGCTTGAATCTGTGATATTCTAACTCCAAAACTCAAGATTTTGCTACTGTGCTAGGCTGGCTGTAAGTTAGCTAGCTGATAGATGAGTTTATTTATGCACTAAGAAAAAGTACTTAGCACCCAAAGCACATTTCCAGTGTTTTGGGCCTGTTCTAGCCTTGTTTTCTGTTTTCCTTGAAACTGAGCTGATTGTTTTCAAATGTGATGAGACTTGATTGGGAGTCCTCTTATTACTGTGCTAAAGTGCCAGTATTATCTTGAGAGCATTCTTCTCTAGTTTTCTGCAAACCAGAAACACTATACTCTGGGAAGTGGTCACACAGGGGAGCTAGAGCAGGTGAGTGCCAGTTTTGAAGTCACAAGCAGGAAAGTGATGGGGATGGTGACTCTTGAGTCATTGCTCTGGAGTGGCATGAGAGAAAGGGGACTCTGGAGGGAAAAAGGATTTATATGTTCTGTTCCAATTATTAAAAAAGCTTCTTTCTTAGAATGAGGCTCTTTTTAGCCAGGTTTGTGGGCTTATTCTTTTTCCCTCATATATTAGCCATCTCAGACCTATATAGCTAGATATGAATGTTTCACTTCTGTCATTTTAGGATTTGTTGAGAAAGAGATCAGAAAAGCTAATATCCCAATTATGGACACCGGAGAAAACCCAGAGGTGCCTTTCCCTCGGGACATGATCGACTTAGAGGTAAACAGTCTTCTGCTTAAATGCAGAAATCTACTTAAATCGCTTTCCTTATGGTGGTCATTTCTGATTATGGTTTATTCTTTTTGTTGTTACTGTTGGTTTGTTTATTTCTGTTGTATCCAGCACTTTAACTAAAAATTCTTTTTTGTCACCTTTATAATTATGACTTTATATAACACCCCTATTTATTTACTTATTTTGACAGTAATTATCCCTGCTCTGAATAATAAGATCATTGCTATTTTATGTTCTCTACTTCATAATTTTTAAAAAGACTTATTTATGTATCCATACAAGAACTGGGGTACAGGCCAGAAGTGCAGGGGGTGAGAGGATTCACCAGAGACAGACGGGGGAGTAGAACAGGCAGATCGACTGAAAACCACTGCTGAGGGAGCAGCGGGCAGACAGGAGTGGCCTGCTGCGCCCTGTGGGTCACCCCCTGGCCGGGGGTTCCACTCGTGCTGCAGGGGCTGTGAAGAGCTACATGGTGCCTCTTGTGCCACCAGGGCAGGCCCCCTACTTCATAATTTTTGTTGCTAGTATTTTCTTTATTGGTACTTGTATTTATTTTTTAAAATTTTACTCTTATCCACAAAACACTTCCCTCCCACCATCCCGCATGTCCTTTTGTCCCTTACCCCCTCCCTTTTCACCTCAGCCCTTAGGGTGTTTATTGATGTCCACTGCTTTTTGAAAAGTATTTTTTAAATCGTCTGCTGTATAAATAGCTAGAATTTATTTTTATCATGCTGACTTACTTTGCTACACAGAATTCAGAGAGTAGAGTAGTTCTTGATGTTTATTTATCTAGAAGTTTAGTAACCTCATGGACTAAGTGAATGAACTTTTCACTAATTATTTTATCCACTCAAAGCCTTCTGAGAAACTTTGCCAAGTGTTATAACGGAATCTTTAATGACCATTTTAAGCAGGAATTTTCATGAAGAAAGTATTTGCTGGGTAGATAAAAGGTATCTTTAACCATTAGGTAACAAAAGTTCTGAATTCATTTGTCTTTTAGAGCAAGCCTTTTTGGGTCACAGTTACTATTATTTTCTCCATTGCTGTCTATTTTTCTATACTATTTGATTTCTCTTCTCAGGTGTGATACTGATTATCTCCCATCACCACCTCACCTGTGAACTGTCACTCATAGTCCCTTGTGTTCTTCTCCCCCTGAAACTTAATGAGTTAATAGTTTGATTTTTTTTTTTTTTTGGTAGGCCAATTTTGAGAAGATTGAAAATGAACTGAAGGAAATCAACACAAACCAGGAAGCTCTGAAGAGAAACTTCCTGGAACTGACTGAATTAAAATTTATCCTTCGCAAAACTCAGCAGTTTTTTGACGAGGTCAGACTATTGTTTCTTTCAGTATTTGAGCAGCAGATATTTACCTGCACAATGGGCCATATTTTTATTCCAATAATTATTTTAATTTGCTAGTTTGAAAGCAGTACCATATTTGCATCCTGTTTTGGTTGAAGAAATATCAGATTATGTTCCATTTTTCATGCAGTACACAACCAGCCATGGTTTTGTATATTTTTGCATCTTCTGTAAGTTTTCATCTCAAGATGGGGAAAGGGATCCCTGTGTAGTTGTATAAACCTAGTTGAAATTTTTTTTAATGTTTTAAGGTAAGTATATTCTTCAGGTTAAAGTTGAAACAAGAAACATTTGACTGTTCATGAACTTAGAACACAGATTTACTCTGAACCTTTTGTCATCAAATTTTGTTTTTATTTTATTCTCTGAGTTTGCTCATCAACCTTGGAGCACATTTTTAAGCACTTCAGATAGCACTTTAATTGGAGGGGGTTTCTTTATATTGTCTGGATAGGATACATGTTTGAAATTCCTGGATTTGCACATAAATTCAGCTGCATTACATTTTAGAGGGAACTGTTAATAAGTTCCTGCATTAAAAATGTGGTTGATTAAGCTGCCAGCTGGCAGTTTGCTCAGGTAACCCAAGGAAAGGAGTCCAGCAAGGCCTTCTGGTGGCTTTCTTCTTCTAATGAGACCTGGAGCAAGGTCTTAACCGTCAGCTTTTCTTGTTGACCTGTCTTTGCCACCAGATTAGCAACATCAGATACTTCAGAGAGTGTTCGAATCACTATTTTGTGTGTCTTCCCATAAAGTTCTTCATTTCCTTTGCTCAACAAAAAATGCTATGGCAAAGCTTTTTAAAAACACATGATCCATTTTAGTTAGCACCTGCCTTAGTTTCTTAGTCTTTGTGTCTGTGTTTTGAGGAAAGAGCCACTGTCCATCGTTCTGGATGGGGGCAGGGGTTCTCCAATCAGCAGACAGCGTCAGTCACTGGGCAGCTTTTCAGAATGCAGGCTACCATTCTCCACCCCAGACTCGTTGAATCAGAATCTCTAGGGGTGGGGAGGGCCCAGCCATCTGTTTTAACGAGAAACAGTGTGCTTCGTGATTCTGAAACGTGCTAGTTTGAGTACCACCCAGCTAGAGAAAGTCAGCTAAAGATGTGATACACTCCTCAGTGGTTAAGGATTTGACTCAGAGAAGCCATGTTAATTCAAAAAGATCTGCTAGGGAAAAAAGCGTTGAAGAGAGAGAGAGGAAAAGCTCTCTCTCTTATGAGTTTAATCTCCTGATTTTCCCAAGAGTCAGAATCTGACTAGATGTCAAGAAGGGTTTAATGTGAATATTCAGCTTGCTCACTGAGTTGGAAACTTTGAGACTGTTGGCCACTTCTTGCACCATTCCCCAGTATCACCACATTACAGGGTGTAGGACAGTGTGATTAACTCTTTCCAAGTGTTTCAGGTCTTTTGCAAGAGGCACGGCCTCTGACACCATGTGGTTTTCATGGACAGATAATCTGGAATTCCAGTATGCTCACTGCCTACACAGTTACTATATTTGTATTCATTGATTCATGGGCGTTTAATGAGCAACTACTCTCTATGAGGTCCAAGATGAGTAAGACACAGTCCCTGTGTTAAGGAATGTATCACTTAGTCACATCAGGAAATGACTCCAAACACAGAGCCTCCGTTTGCTCCAAGATGTGTGCTTTTCGAAATGTGTTCAGCTGCTGCTCACAGATCCATGTAACCTTGGCCTCAAGATCAAAGCTTAGCTACTTTCAGCTTCATCTGGGGTTTCTTTTGTCTCCCTTTTTGGCTACAGCCTTAGTTGCTCTGGATGTTGCTGACATGTATGAATGTCTTTCCCAACCTCCTGAGTTTTGGGAGACTGGAATAGGCTTCTTAATCTAGTTCATTCAAAGAAAAGTTTTTCCCATAAGAGAAATAGTTATTTAAGCTATTAATGCAATTTAGTTTATATATTTTTATAATTCTCCCTTAAACTTGCCAGGCATGTAATTTTGTGGTTTAAATTGTTAATTTTATAATGAGTAGTGGGGATAATAAGTAATACGATATACAATTTGAAAATCCTAAAAGAAGGGATTTTGTTTTATGACTTTTTAAAAGTTTTTATTTTTATTTATTTATGCATACATTAAATGGGGTGTAGGTCAGGGAGCAGTAGGCAAGGTAAGAGAGGTCTGCACCATGTGGTTCAGCTCCCTTGCTGCAGTGACTAAGATAGCTTGATAGTGCTGAGTTAACCCTTGAGCCACCGGGGAGGCCCTGCTTTATGATTCCTCAGGCTGAGCATGAAATTCTCATCCTGAGTAGGCAGACTCAAAGCCCGATCATGGCTTCTCCTTTCCATCCCCTTCCTCATGTCAACAAAATTCTTTTTTTTGACCTCTGAAGTATTTTTGAGCACAAGTCCTCGGTGTGAGAAGTCCTGCCCCTGCTTTTGTCACAGTCCCTTCCATGCCTAGTACTCTCACAGCAGTGCAGGGAGTGTCCTGAGTCACCGCGTGCACTCAGCACCCTGCTGCTGCGCCCGCTCCTGCCTCAGCCAGGTCTCTTCCCATAGCCCTGCCCTGCCAGTGCCTGACCGCAGTCTCAGATGTCCTGCGTGAAGAAGACAAGGCCTCACGGAGTGTCTGACCATGTGAGCATGCCTTAAACATTGTGACAGTTGAGGGAACTTTGGACTCTCAAATCTCAGAAAATTTTTTTTGAGCTTTGTCATCCATGTCTCAAATTATGCTTGCAAATGGCCTGAAACACGATGGATTTCAAACCTTTCTTTGTAATACAATTTGGTGAATATAATCAATAGTTTACAATAATGAGTTAGCAGAAACTGGCTAAATCAAAAAATGATTCTTTTCATCTTTAGGCATAGGAGTTGTGATTAACCTGGTGTGTTGAAGGGGCAACATAAAATATGTGGAATATTCATGTGATTTGAGATGATTATAAATTTGACTTAGCCATTTCTTATCCAGAACACTTAAAATGACTTGTTAATGATTATCCTTTTCTCAGTCTTCTTGCTTATGAAGAACTGTAAGAGCTGGAGAGATTTCTCTGCATCTTTTTCCATAAGCAGCATAACAAATGAGAATGTAAAGAAGACTGGAAAAGTAATGGTTAATGGCATGCAGACTCCTGCCTTCCTTTCTTTCTGAGTTTTCCATCCATCTGCTTTCTTTATTTTTCTTTCCCATCTGTCATCTCCTGTGGGCTGGGGGAATTTCTTTCTCAATGTAGATGGAAGTAAAAGTGTTTCTTCTTGGTAATTCGTGCACCTGGCGCCTGATATACTGCTTATATTAAAGTAGAAATAGAAGTAGTAAAGCTCAGCTGCTCCAGTTTCGGCACATGGTTTCAGTGTTCTGAGCGGGCCAAGGGCTCAGCCACAGGGCTCGGCCCGCAGTTCCGAGGCAGCAGGCAGCACTGTGTGGAGGCCCAGCCGAGGGTAGTGCAGACATGGGCTAGACAGGCAGGACAGTTACTGTTTCCAGCCATCCTAGTTTCCCTGGTACCTAGTCTAGCACAATTACTCTGTCCTTTCTAGGGCTTCGGATTCTTAGACGGGAAATCGTGAGATTAGTGACTGTTGCAAGTTTTTATTTAATTTTAATCCTGTTGGACTGGCTTTGTGTCAGCTGGCCCCAGGTTGCCTTTGGAGTGGGCCTGTTTCTGCACCCATCAGTCTCCCCTGGGGAGCCCATGTGCTCGCACTTAGTCTACTTCAGCAGGGAACTGTGCAGGGAAATAGAAGTCGAGAGGAGCAGTCACAGTTGACCGGTGTTTGCCAGGAGACATCCCAAAAGCAAGTGGAAATGCGGTGACTGTTTAGATCCTTAAAACAAGTCACCTATGGCCTGCAATAGTTGATTGGATTTTGGGGGGAAACAGAAAGAGCCCATGCACTTTCGACCAATAGCAACTTGTGCCCCATTCTCTCATCTTAAACTTTCCAAGTCTGACGGCATTTCTCTGCCCTCCGGTGTGCCCAGGGCCTGTTCTTCCTTTTTATTTTTCCTTTTTGATCAAAGTTGATTCTGCTTTCACTTTTAAGCTTTCAAACTTACTATCTGATTTATACAAATCTTCCTTGATTTCCAGTGGGGTAAAGTCTCAATCAGTCCACCATCTGTTGAAAATATCCCAGGTGAAAAATACATTTAATACACCTAGCCTACAGGTTAGTGTACTTACCTTAAATGCACTCAGAACACCTGGTCTCCAGGTGGGCAGAATCAGCTGACACAAAGCCTGGATGAATGTCTCCTGTCATGCATCAAATACTGTATGAAGAGTGACGAGCATCTGTGGGTTATTTCCTGGTTGCTGTGGCTGCTGTCAGGCGTCACTAGAGTATCGTGCCACATGGTCCCAGCCCAGGAAGAGATCAGAATGCAAACATTGGAAGTATGGTTTCCTACTGAACGCAGACTGTTTTTGCAGCACTGTGAAGTCAAAAATCATAAATTGGGGACTGTCTGTAGTTTGTCCTCCCTCCCCTTTGACTGTTACATTTATTTATCCTGTGATTTTATCCAGCAAGGGTCCCAAGTGACATTTTTTGATAATTGGGTTTGGCAAGAATAGAATCAAATTGAAATTTGCAGCTAAAATGACTGAGAAATATTCCTCTGACTTTTTGTTTAGTTTTGTCTTTGGAAAGAAAGATTAGCTTACTTTCAGTCTTTGATCAAATAAGGAGTGCATAGATATCAAAGCTGGGGATATCAGGCAGTGGAGAAGTCAGTTTACCTTTATTTTTTAGGGCAACTTGTCCTTTCTGCTACTAAAGGGTAGGAGGCACCTGGGTGGTGCAGACCTCTGTCTCCTTCATTCCACTGTATGACCTGTCATGGTGGAAATCATTTTAACCAAACTGGATTACGAGCTTGATCTTGATTCTTAATTGTTATTTTTTCTTCCCTTAACTTGATATAAATTATTGGTTTAAGCCGTGTTCTCAAAAATCCTTGAATAGTAAAGCCTACATCTATTTTTTAATATTCCTAGATTCCTGGTCAGAAATTAGGACATTCAAATTTGTTTTCACTTTTTTTTGCCCTTATGGATTTAAAGGAGGCCCAGGCCCTCCTACCTTTTGTGTTTCTTTCTAGTGAGAACACGAAATGCTTTTTAAATCCAGTGGTTTGGAGTGCTTGTGCTGTGGCCATACTGAAAGATCTCATGTGCTGAGTCTTTATGAGCTGGGAGAACCCAGATATCTGGAGATGCCTTGTTGTCTCCTTCTCCAATCATCCCGTTTTCTAGAAAGTGGTGTTGCCTTGCTTTTTCTCTCCTGCTAAGATTGTCTCCATCCTTGACTTTCTTACATGGGGCAAATACCACTTTGTAGCTGCTTGGAAATTTAATGTTAAGGATATCTGCAGAACTACTTTGTTTTTGCTCAAAAGATATTTTCCTATCCTCTCTACATGCAAAGGTGTTTTCTGGTACTTTTAGGGCTCATTTGGAGAAACAGGAGAAAAAATGATTTCCACCAAGTGACAGATTTATACACATCACCATCATTTAACATTTTTTTTTTCCTTTATGCCTTATTTCTAAGACCATTTCCCCAGATACTTGACTGGGACACCTTTGCTTTCTCTACCGTGTATCTTTCCTTTGTTTCCTTCCCCTATTCTTTTTGTGGGTGTGTCTTCTCTTTTGGTGGTTTTTTTTCCATCTTTGTTTTCTGAACTTATCTCCTGGCTCCTCGTTCCCTGCATGCCACTAACTATTTTCATTAGATATTAATTGATTTGTGAATTCAGGCTGAATTGCATCATCAGCAGATGGCGGATCCAGACCTGTTGGAAGAGTCCTCGTCCCTCTTGGAGCCAAGTGAGATGGGAAGAGGCACGCCTTTAAGGCTTGGGTAAGTACCACTTCAGCTCTTCCTGCCTGGTGGGGTCATATTCCCTTTTGCTGTTCAAAAGTGCAGTGAGGCCGGGCATTCAGGTGCGTCTAGGATATACTCTCTCCGAGCCTCTTGGGGGTGTTTCCGAGCCTCTGGGGTGTGTTCCTGAGTCACTTTGGATTCACTTGCTGAGTTGTTCTGTCAACCCACTGCTGGGTCCAGAGATTAAACTTGCAGCCACTGCCATAACAGTGCATATCCTGTGTTTGTCCTTCTGCCCCTCTTCTCTCACTTTCCTCTTTGTCTTCAAGCCTCTCACCCACGGCATGGAATAGAGTCCCCAATCTGGCTCTTCTCCCCACAGCTTCGTGGCTGGTGTGATTAACCGGGAGCGCATCCCTACTTTTGAGCGCATGCTTTGGCGGGTGTGCCGGGGGAATGTGTTCCTGCGACAGGCTGAAATCGAGAACCCCCTGGAGGATCCTGTGACTGTAAGACAAGGAAATTGCATCCCGTGGATTAGGTCTTAGAAAGGGAGCCCAGCGCAGTAGCACGGCCTGGTGCCTCCCAGCCTGACCCTCCCCGAGGAGCCCCTCGGCCCACCCCTGCATTGAGGAGGATGTGAAGGCCTGTTCTTTCCCTTAACTTCCTCATATGTGTGTGTATGATGTGTACGTGACATAGGCTATACACGTACATAAGCTTGACGCATGTAGGTGTTATTGTGGTTGGAAATGTTTTTTCCCAGGTATTTTAAAATTTAGTTTTATATATTTTCTGACCTTATCTGGGACCAAAAGAAAATTGGTTTTCTATGAAATTAACTTAAAGCAAGACACCTGGTTCCATAGCCTAACTGGTGATCTTTTTAAGTTGATGACTTTTAGCTGGTGAGGATATTTGTTTGCCTACTTGTTTTGTCTACTTGTTTGTTGGAAGAATTAGAAATATAGTTTAAAATATATGTATTGATCAAGATAGGATGAACTTCCCCATCCAATGACTTGGAAAGTAGGAGCAGTTAACATAATGGAACAGAGTTCTTTACATTAAATCTTCATTACATGGGGTCAGTTCTGATTTCAGAGATCCTAAGCAAAGATGAAATGTTCAGCAAGAAATGCACCCCACTTTTGCATTAGTGTTATTTAGAGGCCTGGAGTTGATTTTTCTATTCTAAATTATGTTTAGGTTTTCTTAAATTAGTATTCCTTACTCAACGTAAGAGAGATTGTACCATTGACACTTCCCAACAGACAGGTCATGCTGCTAAAAGTGATTCAGCGACATGGCTTGTGGCCTAGGTAGTGCCCAGGAGGGTGGTGACACTTAATTTACCCAGCAGAACAGTTTTCCTGAAGGCTGTCGCTGGGCAGTGGAGACAGCATAGATGCAGTCAGCCCAATATGGAGCAGCTCTCAGGAGCCAAGTTTCTGGGCAGCAGAAAGGTTTTATGAACAAAATCAGGGCACTCTTTAGATCTACAGCACAGAGCAGCTGCACAAAGAATGTGCTCCAGTAATTCTTAGAGAATTTAGGAACTCAAATCTCTTGGACCTTATTTTCTTCATTCGTCATCTTCTTTTATTCTTGCAGGGCCTTGTTTGTTTTCTTATTGTAAAGCTCATAGGACTCTGAGCAGATATAGGCAACCAGAGACAGCCCTGGGTAACAGCCAGTGGTGCTCACATCCCCCACCTTCCTCCCAGGTTCCCTGGGCGCCCCCACGCCTCCTTCCAGTCCTTACATTAGACTTTAGGTGTCACCTTGGCATTTGGGGTGGGTGGCCTCCAACCCCCACGAATCACGAGATTCTATGTCAGCACCGTCCGGGCTGCTCACCTCCTGCTGCTATTCAGACCCTTACTTGGCAGTTTCTAGGCATAGGAGCAGACAAAAAAAGGCCTCCTTTTCCCTCTCCTCTGTACTCACATTATTCAGTCAGTGGAAGATTTAAAGTTGAATGGGTAGATATGGCTAAAGAGGAAAAGTAGAGATTACAGAGCACTTGTTCTTATAGTAAACCCGATGAGATGGAGCAAGGATAGTGGGTCAGCTCCAGGGTGACCATGTCCTGTTGTTCCTATAGCACCAAGAAAGTAAATTCTTGAAGTTCTCTTCTAGATTAACAGTCTGGACTCTTGCTTTTTGGTTGGGGGCCTAGGGCGACTACGTGCACAAGTCTGTGTTCATCATTTTCTTCCAAGGCGATCAGCTGAAAAACAGAGTCAAGAAAATCTGTGAAGGGTAAGAGATGACTCCCGAAGGTGCAGCTATTAATTCTTAGAACACAGACTAGTGTAAACCTTTTTAGTCTACTCTGACACGGTGTGTGCATCTTTAAATAGTGTTATAGCTATTGTAGACAGTTAAAAATAGCTTAATTTCATTTTTTAAAAGTACCACCACAATCACGATTTCCTTTCCTTAAAAAAAGGTAGAGAGATGGCCCTCCCTGGTGGTGTAATGGGTTAAAGCACAGCACTGCAAGCTAGCTGCAGCCACTTCAGTGCAAGTTCAATTCCCCACCCTGGAGGTGATCCACATGGTGCAGCAGACCTCTCCTGTCTCGCCTGCTGCTCCCCTCAGCAGTGTACTTTGATCATCTGCCTGTTCTGCTCCCCACTCTGTCTCTGGTGAAGCCTCTCACCCCCTGTAATTCCCGCACCTCTGGCCTGTACCCCAGTTCTATATGCATAAATAAATCTTAAAAAAAAAAGGTAGAGAGAGCCTGTGGTTTATAAATGCTACATTGTTAGGGAACAGTGGATCTGCTCACTTAAACTTTTCTAAAAGTCCACTCATTAGACTTTTTTTTCATGCTGTTTTTCTCCAATAGTGTAGAAAAAATTACATCCAAGAATGTAAACTATCTGAGGGGAATTTAATATATAGACAAAGAAAGTCAAGATAGGTCAAATGTCACTTCTCTGCCCATAAACCACTTCCCACGAATGTTTATTGAGTCGTGCGTCAGTCTGAACTAATCCTGTTTTAGCCCTTGTAACAAGTTAGGATTACTTTCTGAGATTTTTTTAAATTAGAAAGATTAAGGCACGTCCGTGTTTCTCAGGCTGTGTCTGTACATTCCAGGTTCCGGGCTTCACTCTACCCCTGCCCCGAGACACCACAGGAGAGGAAAGAAATGGCTTCTGGCGTCAACACCAGGATCGATGATCTCCAAATGGTACATGGAGGGCTGGAGGGGATTTGTTTTGTAAAACACAGTAGTAGAGCTCTCTCTTTCCCTGAGACACCAACAGCTGGCTTATTAGGTAGCCATAGCAGCTAGAGGACCAAAAAAAGGTGACGTCCATGGGGAAAGGTCTCAGGGAATACTGTTAAAAATAGCATTGATCATCCTCAAACAAACTGTTGCTTAGAGTATTCAGTTCCCCTCCACATGGATTTGAGGTATTTTTTCTGGCTAAAAAAATATATGCTTAGTTAAGAAAATATGTATAAAGTTAATTCTGGTCCTCACACCCACACATAGTCTACCTCTGCTTTGCTCAGTAGCTTGGTATGTATCCTTTCTGTCACCTTGGATCTCAACCACACAGAGCAGCCAGGAGCTCTGGTATGACTCTTACACCAAAAAGAGATTGCGTTAGATTTTTACCAAAATAGTACGTGCGCTTTATACTGACACCGTGGTTGTCACAGGTTTCTAAGAAGTCGTTGATTTATGCAAACACAGGGAGAGGTGGTTAGTTGGACCAGCTTTGTTCCCTGTTGAAACTTTAAATAAATATACTGGATCCTAAAGGCAGTTCCAGCCAGCAGTGGCAAAACTGTCAGGTATGTTGTAACCCCACTTAACTTCCTTTCATCTTTCCCTCCCCTGCATCATATATGACCCACCACCTTGACTTATTGCTGGCTACTTTGAGGTACACTTAGTCTCTTTACCCAAGGAAGGTGGGTTCTTAGAACTGCTGGGGGTCACAGGCAGTATTCGTATGTTCTGGTTCCAGGACTGTCTTATCCTCTCCCAGGTTTATGGGTAGATTTTAAAAAGCATGTATAATACTTATTATAAATGACCAACATTTAATTTTTAAAATATCAGCCTTCTGAACTGAAACTTAAAAATAGGTTGAATAGCAAGGATTGAAATGTGAAGGGGGTGGGGATGGAGAAAGAGAAAAGCAAATAGAACATTGCTTGCAGGTTTATTTAGCAACCTTCCAGAAGTATTAATAGTAATTGTGAAATGGTCAGCAGCCAGAAAGGGAGAAAGCAGCTCTCCTTTATTCTTGAGTGATACAAGAGTTTCCCTAGCTTGCCACATCTTTTTTTTTTTTTTTCACCTCTCCTTAGAAGTCACTTTCTAATGTCCAAAAACAGTTTTTCAGGAAGCAGCTATGAACAGATTTGAGGAGCCATTTGTGAGGAAGACTTGTGGCAAAATGCTTAGTCTGTAGGTTTCCCACTCACAGATGTAGACATTTGAAAAAGATTCTCTGCAGAAGTGTGGGTTGTTTGCCTGGTTCCTTCTGGTTGGAATGAAGGGGCTTATTCCTTCTGCTGCTATTAGAATCTTAACCATTTGGCAATAAAAAGGTGGTAGAAAGTGAAATGCCTTTTTTCTTTTACTCCTGCCTACCAACAGTAACATTAATCATCTTATGGATTATTTTACTTTCATTTCTTTTCAGTACACTCATCTTGCCCTGTGATTCCTCTGAGGGGAATCTATGTTGGCTCCCAAGGATTAGCACAACCTTCACCCCTGAGAGCCTGGTGTAAAGACAAAGGCTTATCTGTCCCATGATGACAATGTATGTGGGTGTCTCTATTCTCGCTCAAGGCCTCGGGTCCCCTTGACCCCACGGTATCGCCTGTCTCCTGGCATGGAGTGTCTCCTGGCATAGGCGAGTGACGAGATCAGCACTGCCTCTTTCCCAGAGTTCTCTGATGTTGGCTTATGTTCAATTTAATGTTTTAAGTATGAATTTGTTGACTTTGTCAACACTTGGGCCTATGATGCTAACTTCTCTGAGTCTGAATGACAGGCACCCCATGGAAAGTCAGTGCCTCTTAAAGACCCAATTAAAAGCCAGTGACCTACCTTTGTTGTGCCATGGATTGGGTGGTGAGACTAAACACACACAGAGAAGCTAAAAACCATTTTCTCCTATTTCTCTTCGGTTTGAAGCTACATAAAAATTAATGTTAGCAACTAAAACTCTAACTTCTTGGAATTTGGCACACATACAGAAAAAAGTCATCCTCCCCAGGGTGGATGTGTATTAATAGCACCTAACTAATAGCAATCCCACTTAGAAAGCTGCGCATTTTTGCCATTCATACCCTGAGATCTAAGCTGGTGTTAGAAGGATTCTCCCTTGTTCCTTTCTCTGCTTAAAGGTTCTGAATCAAACGGAGGATCACCGCCAGAGAGTTCTGCAGGCAGCTGCTAAAAACATCAGGGTATGGTTCATCAAAGTGCGGAAGATGAAGGCCATCTACCACACACTGAACCTGTGCAACATCGACGTGACCCAGAAGTGTCTGATTGCAGAAGTCTGGTGCCCTGTCACTGACCTGGACTCCATTCAGTTTGCACTCAGAAGGGGCACGGTGAGTCCCCCACACCTGTGATCAGGAAGAGGGGCTCCTAGCTATAGTAATATTACTCAACTACATTTTTGTAACATTTTTACTTTCAGCGGTCTTTAGTATACTATTCATCTTATATCCTCACATTATGTTTTGGATGTTCTTGTTTTCCAAATGTGGAAATTGCAATTCAAAAAAGATTAAATGAATTGGTCATCTCCCCATGATTCATGAAATTATCAATTTCCTGGCTCAGTCTGTCCGTGAGACTGCTTCTGTGATATAATCCTAGAAGTCCTGTTTAGTAGTTAGAGCTAATCCTTTGTGCAAAGCACTGATCAGGGGCTAAGAGAAGTATAGAGAATTTAAAAACTATGTCCCCAAGAATCATATGGTTTACTTGGAGACATGCAGACATTAGGCTGTGCTAAGTGTGTGCTAAGTGGCGCAGGTGTGTGTGGAGGGAGGGCCTGGCTTTTCCACTTACGGTGACTAGAAAAGCTTTACAAAGGTGTCATTTGATCAGAGCTTTGAAGAATGGGTAAGAGGTCACTTGTCCATGACAAGAAGAAAAGAGTCGGCAAATGCAGGAGGTACAGTGTACCTGCGCAGGTTGGGCATGACCAGGGATTAAAAGTAGAAGATAGGGCCCTCTGGCGGCAGGTTAAAGCACAGCACCCCAAAGCTAGCCACCACCTCCTCAGTACAAGTTCAACCCCCACTAAGGGGGTGACCTACATGGTGCAGCAGACCTCCCCTGTCTCACCCACTCTCCCCTCTGCAGTATGCTTTGCCAGTCTGTCTGTTCTGCTTTCTACTCTGTCTCTGGTGAATCCTCTCACCTCCTGCACCTCTGGCTTATACCCTTGTTTAGTATGCATAAATAAATAAATCTTTAAAAAAAATAAGTAGAAAATCTGGGTGAGGTAGATTGGAATTTAACTGTGAAGGGTTTTTAAATAATGGGCTAGAAACTTTAAATTTTGTAACAGAATTTGGGAGATGTTGAAATTCACTTAGTAGCGAAGGACATGATGTAGTTTGGAAAGAGGAAGCTGCTGATGGTATCTAGGTAGGACTAGGTGGTGGAGATAGTCTGTGGGGAAGGGGATAGGTTCAGTTAGAGGTTATTATAGGCAGACAGTAGTAGTGGTAAGGACTCCCAGGGTAAAACTTGACAATGAGAAAAGAAATTACTGATGAATTTGTGAGACATATGAAGAACCTTGGTCCCTAGCAATGCACAGAAATATAAGAAGAAAAAAATAATGATTGTTTCTAAGGCATCAGATATGAGAAACTGATAGAAGTATAATGAAGAGAAACTTACTGACAAGAGTGGGAATGGTAAGTTCAATTTCAGTCACTCTGAGGGACCAGATGGACAGCTACATGAAAATGTCAAGCAGGTAATGGGACAGGTTCTCAGTAGAAAGTTCTGCATGAAAGAAAGGAGATTCATGAGGGCAGGAGAGAATGAACTCTCCAGGAGTATAAATAGGAAGCCAGAGATAAGCCTGATGGACCCTGCAAAGCTGTAGACCAAGAAGGAAGAGCCAGACCAGAGAGAGACAGGAGTGGTTAACGCACAGGAGGGAACTCGGAAGGATAGTGACTTTCACAAAGAAGAGGGGAAACTCTCCGCCCCTGCAAATGGGAGAAAAGACCTCTGGGGCTGAGCCAGCCCCTCTGAGTAAGTGCGCCTAGCCGAGCTGCAGGGACTAGGGGATAGCAGGAGGTGGTGCAGGAAGAGAGAGCAAGGTCACACTTTGCTTCTGCCTAAAATGAGGCTAGAACAATCACTCTTGGAGACAGGGGGATGAGAAAGTCTCTGGAGAAGGAGGCTCCTGTTTTCTTTGGTTCTGCTCCCCATTCTGTCTCTAAAAATCCACATTTTTAGAATGAAATATTTTTCATGTGAGGCTGTTCTTCCTGACACTTACTTTAAATCTTTCATTGTAGATTTCATATCTAGTCCCAATTTCCCCAAAGCTTATTATGATTGAAATGGAATTTACATAAATTTACACATCTTAGGTATACAGTTTGGGAATTTTGTTGAATGCATATAAACTAATTTCAATGTATTTAATGTCACCAGGAACACAGCGGCTCTACCGTGCCCTCCATTTTGAACAGGATGCAGACAAACCAGACCCCCCCAACCTACAACAAAACTAATAAGTTCACATATGGCTTTCAAAATATAGTAGATGCTTATGGAATTGGAACGTACCGAGAGATAAATCCAGGTACAAATAGTTTTACACTTTTCCTTCCAGAAGTTTTAGGGTGTTTTTTTTTAACTTACTGGGGTTTTTTATTTGTTTCTTTTACTGCCTGACTTTATTTTTTAAAAAAGATTTATTTATTTATGCATACAAAAGCTGGGGTGTAGGCCAGAGGTGTGGGAGGGTAAGACAGAGTGGGGAGCAGAACAGGCATGTTGATTGAAATACACGGGACGAGACAGTGGGCGGGACAGGTGAGGTTACTGGGCTTTACAATTGGATTAGCTTCCTGGCCGGTGCTTGAACTTTACCTGCAGTGGCTGCCCAAAACTTCATGGTGCTGAGACTTAGTCCCTTGTGTCACCTGGGAGGCCCACTGCTTCACTTTAAATGCTGTTAAACGCCTAGCTTAAAACTACAAGAGACCTCGGTTTGCAAGTAATCCTTGTAAAAAGTCACCACTTGGAATGCACTTCTGGGCAGCACTCCTTCAAGAGGAGGCGTCACCCAAGCTAAGTGGCTTGGATTTCCAGGTGCCTCAAAGCATCAAAGCCCTTATCCTTCCAGTGCAACTTTTGCAGAGACTGCTTTAAGCAAAAAAAAAAAAAAACAAAAAACCTTTTTTACCAAGACATCTGATATTTTTAAAGTGGCTTCCCTGTTCCAGGTTTGAGGAAAAATAGAGGAATATTGACCATTTTAGGCATGTAGCAGATTATTTTCTCTGGAGAATTATTAAATCAGGAGTCTGAGAATTCATTTTCAGCTGGCCCTTCTGCAGGATCGGCTTTGCTATAACTTCTAGGCTTTCTTCTGCCTCCCTAGCAGCTTCATTTAGCTGGGAAATGGTTGCTGTGCAGAAGAGAGCTGGCCTGCCCCAGCAGCCATGTCCAGGGTTTGGGAAGAAGACAAAGAACAGTCCACACTGTCGCTGGAGCTGGAGACAAACCTCTGATGTCCTGTGTTGTTTGTTTAAAATGCTGGCGGTAGCTCCGAAGCTGAGGAGCGGCTTTGCGAGGGTGCACAGTACTGCTGTGGGAGGCCTCTCTGGGCCCCCCTCGGTCCTGCCGCTTGGAAATGAGTTACCTGCCCCTGATACTAGCATGTGAGAGGAGTGGGGTCTGTGGGAACAGTGGGGATTTCTGTGCTTCATCGCCTTCTTTCTTTGCAGCACCGTACACCATCATCACTTTCCCTTTCCTGTTTGCTGTGATGTTTGGGGACTTTGGCCATGGCATTTTGATGACCCTTTTTGCTGTATGGATGGTATTAAGGGAGAGTCGAATCCTCTCCCAAAAAAATGAGAATGAGGTAATGTTTGAGTTACATCTGTATGGGACTAAAACTTTTAAATGTCTCAGACATTTATTATGAAAATTATGATCTGGAAGCCTTTTACCCGTAAGTGTATAGAGAAATTATGGAGACTACTTAGAGAATAGTCAGCGTGCTCTGGAAGTAAAGTTCTTGTTAGCATTGTGTTTTGGTCTTTTATTTCGTGCTCTCTGACCCAACATGCAGTAGAGAGGTGTGAGAGAAAGGGTCTGGTATATTCTAAGTGTCACTGTCATTTAGCTACATTAGATCATTGACATCTTTCCTCTGGTTCCCAGATGTTTAGCACTGTGTTCAGTGGCCGATACATCATTCTGTTGATGGGCGTGTTCTCCATCTACACTGGCCTCATCTACAATGACTGCTTTTCCAAGTCTCTCAATATCTTCGGGTCATCTTGGAGCGTACGGCCGATGTTCACTAAATACAATTGGACGTAAGTTGCAGTTGAAATGAAAAGCCAAGGGTTGCTTCTTTCATGCTCAGCTCTGACTTCCCAGAGAAGCAGTAAGCCAGCACCTCTAGGAAGTGGTTGAGCACCTCTGTTTCAGAAGAGCATAGTGCCCCTCTTCTTCACGCTGCAACCTCAGAAGTACTTTCAGATTCACTCAGCAGCATCCAGCAACTGAAACGATAATTAAGCACGTTGGTTCTCTTTGCAAATTAAAAGCAGATTTCACGAATTCCATGCAAGATTGTGTAGGTGTGTTTTGTTTGTTTTTCTGTTATCTCTGCCCCTTCCTCTGTGATGCTGGTCCCTCTTATTAAGGAGACAGGTTGGCAGTCGGAGTTTCCTTGGTGATCAGTTTGTGAACCCCATTAGTTTCCCTTTCCTGATAAAACAAAAATAAGTGGCAGCTTTTCTCCTGCATGGTAGGGAGGAGACGCTTCGGGGGAACCCTGTTCTCCAGCTGAACCCAACTGTCCCTGGAGTTTTTGGTGGACCCTACCCTTTTGGCATTGATCCGGTGAGACCACTTCTTTCCCATACATCGAATACCAGATGTTAACTGTGGCCCTGAAGTGAGAGAATTAAAATGATATGTAGTTATCAAGAATACAATTTTTAAAAAAGACATAGTTATTTGGGTTTTAGGTGACATACTTTGGAAGGATTTTGGTGTATAGTCCGGAGTATTTCAAATCCATGAGACCCAAGTGCCTTGGGGAGCCAAGAACTTTTCCGCACTGCCTTTTCCTGAGCTGGCTGATAGCACTGTGTCTGGGAAGAGTAATTTTGGCTTTTATTTTGGAAGATGTTTTAACAAAGCAGAAATACTCTTTCCTGGATTTTAGATTTCCATTCTTACCTTTATATACTTAGGCAATTTATCCTGGAATTTAACTTTTTTTCCAAATTCTTAGACAAAGAAAGTGTGATAAAACATCATGCACTTAACGGGGGAGAGTATTTAAAAATAAGCACTAGACAGTAAAGATTATAGAATTCCAAAGGAAAAATAGGTCATTTGGGGTCAGAAAGATTAAGGTTTCATGTTAAAAACAAGATAATCTGGCCTTTGGCAAGTATTGCAAGTTGGTGAGGAAAATGCGTGCAGAGGCACAGCCGGGAGTAGAGACAGGTGATTCCTCTAATCACTGTGGAACTGAGCAGCTTGGAAGGCAGGCACTGAGCCCGAGCGTGCCTGATCCAACCCTCGGACAGTCCTGGCAGCAGGTACTGCCCTCCCTGTCAGACCGCTAAGGAAACTGAGGCTTGGAGAGGTTTCATGACATTTCACACATGCATGTGACAGCTGTTCATTAATCCCTATTGCCTTCAAGGCATAGTGCCTGCTGGGAAAAACAGCAATTTTCAGACCTAGCCTCTGTCCCCTGTAGCTTGGACTCTAATGTCCATCACACTTGCTAGTGTTCTCTAGTTGTTGCTGCAGACATCTCCCATCATGTTTACCGGGTAGGCCATGAATGAGAGTGTAGAGGGTGAGAAACTGGACATGGTTAAATGTCCACCAGGCAGCAGGAGTTGTAGGACTGAATTTTACATAAGACTGGGCTGAGTGTTTAATTTAGAGGTCACTGAGGATGAGCACAAGCTCATCAGTTCAGGAAAAAAAAGATGCCAGGAGAGAGGGCGGGTGCTCTGGCTCATCAGGCCAGGGAGCCGCACCTGAGCCAGGAGCCGACCATGTGCTATGTATAAGGGGAGGTTTGGGCACAAGGGAGAGACTGCATCAGGCCGTGACCTGGGAAGTGTAATCTGATGGCCAAGTAGGGCAGAAGAACTGTCAGGGGACTATTACAGACTTACGTGATTAAGTTGGTGAAGATTGCTTAAGACAATTAGTAGTTAAGAACAGTGCAGCGACAGCAAAACCCAGACCTACAAGATCGTAGATCTGATTTCTTCAACAGATAGCTTGTTTAGCATTAAAAAGAGAGAGATGGAGGGAGAATCTATAGATTAAAGACTTCAGACCTGTGTACATCTTATCTGCACTTTACTTTCAAAAAAGGGAATTATGTTTTAAAATGGACACAACTAGGAAAATTTGAATACTGACTATATAGCTCATGATAGTAAAGAAACATTACTCATGCTTTTTGTTGTAATAATAATATTGTGGTCCTGTTTTAAAAAGGAGGCATTACCTTTTAAAATTCCAGACTGACACATTTACGGGTAAAATGGATGATACCTGGACTTTGTTTCAAAATAACATGGAGGCGAGGCGCGGCTCGGGGGTCTGGTGAGACCAGACCAGCCGTGGTCAGTCAGTCGATGGCACTTGCCAAAGCTTGGTTGTTGGCCCACGGGAGTGTGTCACACTGTTACTTAAGTCTGTGTTTAGATTTCCCACCATTTAACATGTACGTCTAGAACGTGAGTGAGTGATGATTTACCACTTAGGAGCGATTCGTTTGTAACACCTTGTTTGTTTGTTTGCTTGGTTGGGGCAGATTTGGAACATTGCAACCAATAAACTGACCTTCCTCAACTCCTTTAAGATGAAGATGTCAGTTATCCTTGGTATCATCCACATGCTGTTCGGCGTCAGCCTGAGCCTCTTCAACCACACGTGAGTCACTTGGTTTCTGTCCCAGGAGGGCACCTAGTTCAAAGAAATGGTAGCATGTTTGGAGAAGGGATTAATAACTCCTCTGTTCTACACGAAAGAAGTGCCTTTATAAAAATCTTAAATGAGACTAAATTATTATTGGCCCCTCAACAATTTATAGTTGTGGTAAAGGTCTTTGAAAACCCTTGTGCAAAGTGAGTGAGTTTTTTCCTCTTTTAGGTAAGTCACATAAATGATTTAAGGTAGGCCCTGAATATACTCTCTGTTCCTATCTCTTTCTCGTTGAACTGCTAAGAGGTCCGGAGCTCTTCCAGATTCAGCAGTTTGGCTGTCTGAGTTGTCTCCAGTGCTTCTGGGTGTTGCTTCTTAAGGTGATAAATACAGATTTGTTGGGAGCATTAAGTGAAAATTGAGGGTTTAGGGGTGACCTTGGGTCTCCCCTTAACAATTTTTTCTCTCTTCCTTTTTAGCTATTTCAAGAAGCCCCTGAATATCTACTTTGGATTTATTCCTGAAATAATCTTCATGACCTCTCTGTTTGGCTACTTGGTTATCCTTATTTTTTACAAGTGGACAGCCTATGATGCCCATACATCTGAGGAAGCACCGAGCCTTCTGATCCATTTCATAAATATGTTTCTCTTTTCCTATGGTGACTCGGGCAATTCAATGTTGTATTCTGGACAGGTGTGTCAATCCAGAGATGCACTGTTCTAGGTGGTTATCCTAGTCAGGAAGCCAGATAGTTTATTTTTATTTTTTTTCCCCACATAGAAGAAATGGGGAGTAGGCCAGAATTGTGGAGGGTGAGAGGATTCACCAGAGGCACAGAGTAGAGGGCAGAACAGGCAGATTTACTGAAATACAGTGCTGAGGGAGCAGCAGGAGGAACAGGAGAGGTCTGCTGTGCCCTGTGGGTCAGCTCCCTGCCTGGGGATCAAACTCAGGCTATAGTGATGACAGCACTGAGACTTAACCCCTAGGCTAGCAGGGAGGCCACAGGAAGCAAGATATTTCTGTCATCCCCAAAAAAATCTTTTAAAAATCCCTTTTGTTGTGTTTGGTTTTCAGGCAGTATATCCAGATCTAAATGTAGCCTGTCCTCCTTACTTGGGGAAGAGCGCCATAATTCTGGGTTCAGAAGGGGTAGAATTTATAACTCATTCTGTGGGACAGTTGCTAAGCTTTGCAACACCTGCTCATTATTTTGAGAAACGGGACCATGTTATTCATAGACCAAAAGAAAGTACTGCAGTGTGGTGGGGTCGGGGGCATGGGGAGTCTGTGCTGGCTTTGGGAACTGCATATTTGATTGATGTCATATTTGATTGATGTGATGCGCCTTGTCCTTTTGCTTTGCAGAAGGGAATTCAGTGTTTCCTGGTAGTGGTTGCGCTACTGTGTGTACCTTGGATGCTGCTGTTTAAACCACTGGTCCTTCGCCATCAGTATTTGAGGAGGAAGCACTTGGTGGGTGTATTTCTTTTGCAGAAAGTTATTAGAAAAAAATTTTTTTAAGATCAAGGCAGCTCCTCATTGAACATAATGAACTATACGCAATTCTGTGTCCTTTTAAAAATGCATTTGTGTCGTACACCGGCATGGGCACTGGGCCTGCTGAAATCAGAGAAACATGTATTTGCTGCTGGGATTTCTGGATTCAGCTTTGACTGGCTCGGGTAGCGAGAACAAGCTTTGACCTTTCCTGGTCATGCTCGGTTTTTGCTGCGCTCAGCAAACTCCAGGCCTGGGCCGTGGAGATGCAGCATCAGCCAAAGCAGGCTGTACACGCTGCAGATGGGTTGAGCCCCACATGTGGTCTGCCCGGGCTACCACAGGCTGATACCAACACATTTTCTTTTAAAACGGACTGTGATATTTTCCCAATCAAAATATATGGGGAAATAGTTTGGTTTAAACATGTTTTTTTTTTTCCTCTGTACAACCAGCACACATACATGTGTTTACTTAATGTACGTGTGCCTGTGAATTCTGCACACACAGAGCTCAGTTGCCAGACGTTCTTTTCTGGCTGTGCAGTAGTGTTTATTTATTACACTGCCTGGGAAAAGCCAAAAGCTCTTGTTGCATGACTCTCTGTTAGATTATTACTCCTGCAGCTGAGTTACAAGACCCTCCTTCTCCCTTTTCTGACCATCTTCATCCTCCATGTACCCTCCATTCGTCTCCCCCTTCACTCCTCCCCTCTTTTGTTTCCTTCTCCCTTCCTCTTTTCTTCCATTCACTATCAGGAAGGGCAACCCGTGGAGGCCCCAGTCAGCCCAACCCCGAGCCAACAGGGACTAGAGGCAGCAGCGGCTGCAACAGTGAGTGAATTAAAACCAACCAACCATCACATTTTGTTTAAAGAGGTGGCAAACAGTGCAGCAGAATTCTTTTTAACTATATTGAGAGCATGGGACATGTGTGTTCTTGGGAAGTATGTCCATGTTACTCATTGAGACCACGACAGAAAAGATTTCCACCTCTTATGAGTAGATTCCAGTATCATCTTTGCCGCTGGTCTACTAAGATTCTGTTCAAATATGTAAGTACAGTCATGTCTGTGGGAGCAGAGCGGCTGTTGTACCTCTCCGAGTCCCATCGTCTTAATCCAAGATGGCAGCTCTTGGTCTCCTCCACTTTCATGTCTGTATTTTGTCGCCATGTACTGGATGATTTTTCAGCATGGAGCAAGAACATCTCTGTGATTCTTGATTTCCCTGCACTTTAAAGTTCCACTTCAGGGTGATGCTTGGACATTTGGTCCTTTTTAGTTGTGATTTGACTCCTTCCGGTGGGAGCTTATATGTTTTACTTTCGTGTGAGAGGCTCAGAAGCCCTGTGTCCACAGCTGTTCCAGTGAGACCACCATTCTCGGAGTGTCTTGTGTCTGCTCTATCTCTGGTATAATAACCAAAATCATCTTCTGTTTTGATCTTTCTCTTCCTGACTAACTCACGATTCAGTAACAGTACTTTGTCCTTAAAAACATCTCTTAAGCAAATCTTATAATGTACTAAATATCAAATTTCTGTTTCAGCTGATGAACCGATAGGATGTTTGAATCTCACCAGTAGTGACCACTCATGTACTATTGTGTACTCATAACATCATACTCTTAAAGAAGTGAAATATTTAGCTGGCTGTTCATTTCCTTCATATTTGTTTCTGATCATTTTAAACTTTTTAGAAAACTGCTATCATCATCCTCATAGAACTCGTTTTAAAGGGCTGATTATTTTTGATCAGAATGTATCTTACTATTGCTGCTTCAAATGATTTTCCATACTTACTTTTGCCTTCCCTATCAGAAATGTAAAAACAGCAGCTGTAAAGCACATATTACCCAGTGAATGACATTTTTTCTATGAGCTTTTCTGCCTGCTAGTCTTAGTATATGAAAAGTGTGCTTCTGAGATCTTGATGTGTTTAAATCTGGCATCCTCTTCTATGATGCTCTCCAAGTTAAAAGATCCCTGGAAACCTGCACATCACAGGGTCTTCTTAGCCCACCAGCTCTTAAACCCAACAACTTTTTTTGGAGCGTAGCATGAAGGCATCAGGGTGATTATTCTCCAACTAGGGCCCTGAATTCTTGGCCCCAAGGGCTAAGAATATGAACACGGACCCATTTTTGCTCTATTCTAGTCTGTTTTGTTTTGTTTGCCTATAAGTGGTGTGTCACAGTTTAATTTCTTCTTTTCATTTTTCTGCTGATGTGTGTGTCTCATCCCCCTTCCCATAATTCTCATTCCCTTTGTGCCTAAAAGACACTGCTTAGTGTCTGACTGGGAGGTTTAATTCGTCTGCCTCTCATGTGATCTGGTGACTAGGGGGAGCTTCAGAAATGTTCTTCCACTTTAGTGGCCTTGAAGTCTGAAACAGGCCTCCTCAGCCCTATCACCCCTCCCAGGATGCACCGGAGCCCTCTTCTGGCCCCAGGACCCATCCTCATACTTTCAATCCTCCTTCTGAGGCTTGTCAAAGTATGAGCATGGCCTGCAGGCCATGTCTGCAGGGCCTCACTGCACATCAGAATCACCTGGTAAACTTTAAACCTGTTTCTTAGAGTATTAAATAGATGGCCCATGACTCCACGACCCAGGAAATCCCCTACTAACATTAAAAGCTAAAAGTAATAGGTACATTTGGTTAGCAACACAGAAGCACTGAAAGTGGAAATCTCCGTCACCCCTTCTCTCTCCCCCTCGGGTGTTGCTAATAGTTGGGAGGATCATGCCCAAAAGGCCATCTGCGTATGTCAGCATAGCTTATTGTCTGTAGACAGGAAGAAGCAGGTGTATGTATGTACTTAAAACACATTAGGAATTGTGTTTTAAGCTATAGCAGTCTTCTACTCCTCACTTTATTAGTTTTTGTTTTAATTTAATTTAGTGAATCTTGGAGATGTTTTCACAGTAATACTCATCTTCACAGTTGCCAGGCATTCCACAGACTACGTGGACATGCCAAAGTGATATAATCACTTTATTTTTAAATTCAATCACTTTTTTTTTAACTGATGGATGTGCTACGTGTTCCCAGTTCTTTACTATTATAAATATAACAATTCCGGGAACATCCTTGTCCATGTATCTTGATAAGATTCATAAGAGAATTTTCCAGCATTGGGATCAATACATCTTAAAGGCTACATTACATTTTCAGTTTTGAAAGACAATCAAGATTATTATGTAATTTGTATTAAGGGAAATATTTAAGTCAGGCCCCACCCCAGACCTACCGAATATAGTTTCTAAGGGCAGGATTCAAGAATCTCCATTTAATGAAATGCAGCTTCAAGGTGTTTCTGTTGCAGCTGGTTCTCTGACCAGCATGTGAGAAGAGGAGGGAGAATATGCCCAAACACTGAGGTCAGGAACTCCGGGGTCAGGTCCACACCCTCTGGGAAGCTGTATGGGGTCTCAGTCAACCAGAGGCCGTTTTGCAGTACAGTCCCCAAAAGCTTGTCTCGTTTGGCTGCCCAGACAGAAACCAGGAAGTGGGCCTGGGGCCTTCTTAAGCATCTCCCCACTCCAGCAGGTTAGCGCTCATTTGTAGCTGTCAGACTTAATCCCTGTTCTGCCTGGTTTTTGTAGCCAAAGAGTCCGTTTGCGTCAGTAAGCCCAAGATTTTCCAAATCAAGTTGACTTGGAGATTCTGCCTCTGGAGACCCTTCTGAAACATGCCTGGGAAGTGAGTGGTAAACACCCAAACAACAGCTGCCCACAGAAAGGTTGCCCGAAATTCTGGGGCCCTCCACAGAAGAAAGAAGCCTCCTTTATATATATATATATACATAGATGGAGATTCCCCACCCCCAAGACAGTATTCTCCATAAACATTTTTCCTTCCCTGACGTAGGAAGCCCTTTGTTCCTGGGCAGAGACCTGGTATGTTTCTGGGAGAGGTTGCTGGGACTCTTGGGCTTCTGTTGAAAGCTTATCAGGCCACGTTACAGTCACTGTTCACTGGCCCCTTTCCTCTCAGAAAGTCTGTTCTTTAGTTCCAGAAAAACTTAGGCCCTTGATGACTTCACAGAAGAGATACACTTGCTATGAGAGTCTGTTCGTATTAAGCACCCACTTAAGCAGGATTCTCAGTTAGCGCTGATGGGGTGAGGCTGGTATGTCTTGGCGCTCTAGGCAGAAGTGCCTATTTCCTGTGAAGCAGTAGAGGTGGTACAGGTAGCTGGGGCTGTTCTCGGGAGGTGGTGTTTGGGTGGGATCAGTGGTTTGTTTTTATTTAGCTGTTCAAAGTGGGTTTTGTTTTCGTAGTGAGAATTTGTGCCTTTCGGAGGTTCGTGTGTACTAACCATCGCCCTTCCCCACCTCACAGAATGTCACATTAAAGCCCAGGCAAATTCTACTCTTTCTGTTCGCCTGTGTAGGGAACTCTCAACTTTGGTGGGATCAGGGTGGGCAACGGACCGACAGAGGAGGATGCTGAGATTATTCAGCATGACCAGCTCTCCACCCACTCGGAGGACGCGGAGGAGGTAAGACCCAGCGCTGGGGGCCTCCTCTCCTTTCTCCTCGGGCAGCTTTCGTCTGTGTGCCTGAGAAACCACACTCCCTGGCTTCCTGAAAGTAAAAATACTAATACACGTGCCCCCCTGCCTTCTGGCCCTCTTAGGGCGCGGCTTTTCCCCGTGGGCCCTGCTCTGAGCTCCAGCACTGCCCGCAGACCCCGCAGCCTTTGTTCTGTTGTCCAGCCTCTTGAAGTCCACGTTGCCGCAGTACCCCGAAGGCGGGTCTCAGTTACTCCTGCCGCTAACCAGGGCAGAGCAGGCCTCAAACCCACCCCCGCCCCCATCCCCGGCTCCCCAGCTCTTGTGACCAGAAACGCAGGCACCTTCAGGCACGGGCCTGGCCCCCCTCAGAGCCTGGAACTGGAGTCCCTGGTACTGCCCTGTTCCCCCGACAGGCCCTTGCTATGGACTTTTTATTTGAACCTTTTATTTGGTTACTTTTTACAGGGTGAGTGAAAAGTATTAAAGCCAGGCTAGATTTTTTCCTTGAAAATCCCCTTGACTGACCACAGAGCCTCTGAACAGAACTGCTGAATCTCATCTATTTGTAATACTCTTTTTAAAGAAGCAGAATAGGAGTTGAGGACGTAGATGGCTGGACTGTCCAGTCTGACTGACCTCTTTGTAACTTTTACAAAGAAATCACAAGGACTGGGGTGTCTTTTAAAAATAGAAATGTTAATGCTGTCAGTCCCATTGATGTTGCTCTCTGGGTACGTGGAGGACGCCTGCCCCGGATATACCTGTCCCTTTACCATCAGCGACCCCCGCCCTGAAGCAGTCTGCGGCCCCGTGCTTATGACGTGTGACTGTGTGTGTGGCGTGACTTCCCACTAAGTGTAAATTTGTGTTTTCAAGCCTACCGAGGATGACGTGGTAAGACCAGCTGGCTTTGCCTTCATGTTTCTCTGTGGCTTCTCTTCCAATCCTTGTGATCACTCTGCTGACCCTGCCGCATCCTGGCCACACGTGACCCCTGCCTCCCGCATCTCATCGGCCATTTCTAATCAGTTCATGAACCCGTGTTCTGACAGAGCTCATCTCCGTTCACTACATCTCATGTCAGTCACCTTTGTCTTGTTTCATTGACTCTGCTGATCTAATGCCTCTGAGAATGGCTTTGAAAGGAGCTACAAGTAATGTCTGCTTTGGCATTCTTGAAGTAACTCCCCTTGGGAGTTAAATCCCTTTGGCCTCTGTCTTCCTCTCCTGTGATGTTGTGGTCGCTCTGCCACTGGGAGTAGCTATTTCCTCGCTGCACCTCTGAGTGTTTATGAGTAAAGCTTGCCCTTTCCCTGTCTGAGATGCAGCCAGCCTTCCTGCTGCCCTCATCAGCTTGATGGTGCTTGAAGTGAGGACTGCTGGCCTCTCGCTTGTGGTTCCCTCTTGTGACCCAGGTGGGAGGTGGACAGCTTCAGGAAGAGGCTTTGCCTCGCAAATGCATTCCAGAAAAAGCGATCCATCTGCGTGAAGGGTGCTCGTGTCATGCCAGCCACACACAGACAAACAAACACAGAAGGAAAGTTGGCCAAACATTCAGGCCAGTCTGGAGTAGAGCACCTTCCAGCTCAGCACGCACGCACTTAGCGGCACACAAGTTTTGAGTGGGGTTTTCATAACACCTTGCTGCACTGTTTGCATCTTCCCCCAAAACTTCTGTCTGAAATACCTAGACCTGTGAACTTCCCCTCCCTCCCCTGGCTCCCCGACCCTCTCTGCGAGGGTAGCTGGATGGTAATGAATGGAAAAACCTTTGCTGCTCTACATAAAAACAGACCTCTGGGTCTCCCTGAAGGCTGGCGGGGCCCCTGTGCCAGCGCGCAGGGGCCGTGTTCCTGGCCTGCCCTGTGGCACAGCCCCTGTGGGGCTGCCTGATGTTCCTGTGCCACTGAGGTGCTGCTCGTTCTAATGTCTTCCAAGGGGAGCACCCGCGCCACTAGCGGAATGGCTCTCGATGGTAGCCTCGTCCCAGGGGACTGGCGAGAGGTGAGGCCTGTCGGCAGCCTCCCCAGTTGCTGCCCCCCAGTCTCAGCTTCCTAAGTAGTTAAAACACCTTATCTTTACCTTATCTTTATCAGGTAACAGTCTAGTTCTCTGTGGTCCAATTTAGGTAACTCACAATTATTTTAAATTTTTGCCCTTAAAGGTCCAGCCTTCCTCTAGAACATCCCTATTTGACCTGGCTGTGACCACCCATTTTCCCCACACAGGTCATTGTTCCAGCTGGGTGGAAGCAGCAGTACCCTCCCCAGGGAGGCCAGTGGGAGCACTCGGCCCAGTTGCAAACCAGGCCCAGGCCAGCTGGTTGTCTTGAGAAATCTGTGATGGCTGTAACCACTCAGGAGGCACCGCCATGTGCATCTTTCCATCGGTGCATTCATTTCACCCATTCACCCTCCATGCAGCAAACACTATAATTATTTCCAGGAACCTGAGAGATGAAAAACAGTCCTTGCTTTTAAGGAACTCCTAAGTTGAGGAAACAGTCTGGGCGACAGCTGCTGTGATCAAGGTGTTCCCAGGATGCATTTGGAGCATAGAAAGAGGGCATCTGACAATACCTGGGTGGGAATGGGGAAGAGGAAACCAGGAAAGGACTCCGTAAGGGAATTATTCCTGTTCCGAAGCTCAGGCTGGTCCAAGCATGAGTCTCTGGAGAGAGAAGGGGTGCGGCCCCGCCAGTGTGTGTGGTTGTCAGCAGGCTCAGAGGCCTGCAGGTTCATCGTGTGTGGGGATAAGCAAGTATTAAGCTTGCCTGGAGCAGAGTCAGGACCAGGACAGGTGCAAGGTGAGATTAGAGGTAGGTGGGAACCAGCCAGGGCAGGGTGTTTAGACAACCAGGTACCATTGGAGGGCGCTGATGTGCAAGTGACGGGATAGTCGTGCAGTGCTGAGATGGTGAGATGCTGTGGAGCACGCTGAGTGTGGCGGACACGTTCCGGGGACGGCAGGATTAGCCACGTGGTCAGTCAGGAGAAAATGGGGAGGCCTGTAGTCAAGTGAGGCGTTTAGTGATCAGTACCTCAGGCCCATAGGAGACTAAGGAACTGAAACTCTGGGTCCCAGAGCCCTGGTGACTGTAGGCCTCGAGAGCCTGACTGGCTTCCAGGCAGTTCCTCAGGCATCACCAGTGACTGTGGTAGCCAGGCCCATGGAGTAGAAGGAGACGCTAACTGTTCTCCTAGCTTGGAGTGGCACTGAGGTTGACGCCTCTATGATGTCCCAAGAAGAGATGTGGCACAGCTAGTAGGAAATAGGTGACTCTGAAATGGAGGTGTCCACATGGGGGTTCCTCCTATAGTGGCTACTGGAGCCCTAGTGGCAGTATTGCAGAGGAGACATAGGGCTGAGGCTGGAGCCCCAGCATTTAAGAAAGAGCCATGGTGGAGACCAGGAAGGAGTATCGAGAAAGGTGGAAGGAAACCAAGGGGAGGAGAGTGTCTCCAGGGAGGAAGGCGAGACAGTGGTGATGACACTCTGGGCTCATGACACACCTCTGTTAGGCCTCTCGGCTGGGGAATGGGGTAAACACGCCAAAAAGGGGTGGCTTGTGGAGCAGAGAGGGTAGAGGCCAAGGTAGGTGTGGACAGTGCTGAGGAAGGGGTAGAGAACATGGTGATGCGTGGTCAGTCACAGCTGATTCACAGGGCAGGTCTGAGGCAGACTCCTAGATTTCTCAGTTCTCACCCCACCATTATCCCCATTGTCTAGTTACGAAAACAGCCCAAGGCAAGAAGGGGGGTACTGGAGAGGAGAAAGTAAGGGTAGTACCCAGAGGGAAGCTTTCTCCCTAGTCGCCATTATCCTTGTTTTTTTTTTTTAAAGGGGGAGAAACACCAGGTGGAGTAGAAGTGCTGGAAGGCGCTGTTCTAAGGGAGCCAGCAGTGACTGCTCATGGGCTGGCCTGAAGGCCGGCGCCCTGGGGCTGGCGGTCCTCTCCTCCCTCTGAGCACGGTCTGTGGGACAGCAGCCAGCGGTGGGGAAAGCTCTTAGACAGCACTGTTGGGATCGAGGTCACTAGGATTAACCCAGTTTCATGGTAGTTTGGAGGCCTGAAGAGCCTGTTCAGGAGAAAACCCCAGACAGACATAGGAAATAAAGAGAGGCAGTTGCCCGGTGATGGTGTCTGCTGGCCTGTCCCGTGGTCCATACCGAAGATCTGGGCTGTTTGGCCTTCCCAGCCAGCCCCTTCCCCCGTCCTGTCCTCAGGCAGTTTCCCAGGGCAAGTGAAAGGAGTCATGTTAGTCTTGAAAGAAAGTGAAAATTAGACTGACTCTAGGCAGGGAGTGTGGGGAGGGGGAGCCTGAAAGCCTTCTGACTGGGAAGGAGCCCCTGCAGTTCAGTGGCTGCTTACTGCCCCCTCCTCCAGAGCACCTGGTGCTTAGCGTCAGCCAGGCCTAGAGCAGCCCTGAAGGTGGACCCGGAGGGCTTGTTCCAGCCCCACCTCTTTATTCTGGAAACAATTCTGGGTGTTGAAAAGAAAACTGGGAGCATAAGGAAAACAAAAAGCAGCAGCTGTTCCGTCTTGTCTTAACTATCCAAGTAGGAATTTGTAACACTTTTGCTAGAATTTCCCTGTGGAATCTCAGAAGTCACAAAAGCAAAAGGAGATTATCTTGCTCCCACACGTAAAAAGTGGAGTGGCTACAGTGGGCTAATCTCCAGCAGCTACCAGCCGCAGGCACGGGGAAGAGCCCTGCCTGGCCTCCAGCACTGCAGCGCAGGCCCCTCCTGTTGCGCCGGAAGTTGGGAGTCCTAGACAGGTCCAGTTGCGGGTCCTTGGGGCCCTGACAGCCTGAGTGAGGACTCTGCCTGTACTTCCCTCTTGAGCTAACAGCCTAGTAGAAAAAACATGTGTTGAGAAGACTGTCATGAAGATTTAGTTCATTAAAATGCAGCATTTTGAGGGCAATGGAGTGTTCCAGCAGGGGATAAGCTAGGCAGGATTTCTGGGGCTGGCACAGCTGCAGCACCTGGGTGCAAAGCCAGGTGTCCTGGCCACGTAGTGCCCACCCTCAGACCCAAGATGCCACGTGGCCACAGCTCCAATCCTCCTGGACTCGCCCCTCCCCCGCAGCCTCACATGCTCTCTCTCGCTTCCTCCCACAACAGTTTGACTTTGGGGACACGATGGTCCACCAGGCCATCCACACCATCGAGTACTGCCTGGGCTGCATCTCCAACACCGCCTCCTACCTGCGGCTCTGGGCTCTCAGCCTCGCTCATGCGCGTGAGTGTCGGGCTGAAGACTGTGGTCTTCCCCCTGTCTGGGCACCTCAGGTGGGGGCTTAAATAGAATGGAAATTCCATAATGGTTGTAGGATTGTTCAGGCTCTTAGTTGACCAGGGAGAACGATGTCCAGATGGCCTCCCACAGAGCTGTTAGCTCTGTGCTTCTCCAGACTAGCTGTGCGGTGGTCCCGCTGAGGCCATGGGAAGCCTGGGAGCAGGGAGCCCTTTAGATCATGGGCTGGAGAAGCAGAGCGGCGGTGGAAGTGAACCTGTTGCGTGTCTCCCATTCCAGAGCTGTCTGAGGTACTGTGGACCATGGTGATCCACATCGGCCTGAGCGTGAAGAGCATGGCGGGAGGCCTGGCGCTGTTCTTCATCTTCGCTGCCTTTGCCACCCTGACCGTCGCCATCCTTCTGATCATGGAGGGTCTCTCGGCCTTCCTCCACGCACTGCGTTTGCACTGGTGAGAGACGCTGGGGGCAGGAGGTGGGGGCGAGGCTTACTCTTGTGCTCAGTCCAGTCCCTTCACGAGGCGCTGTCTGCATTCCTGCCCCCACCCCTGAGGCCCAGTCTTAGTCCAGAGTCAGGAAACAGCCCTGATCTGGAAAAGCACGGATCAGTTTCCACAGTCCCCCGGGAGAACCCGTTCCAGTCTCTACGTGCCGTCCGTGTCCTCTCCCTGCCCCGGTGTTCTTCAGTGGCTTAGAGGAGCTGCTGAAATTAGCTGTGTCCGTTTCTTTTTGCTTTGGCATGTAACTTTCTCCTGTCTTTAGAATAGTGAAGGCAGCTGGAAAGGATTCAAGTCCAGGAACGTGCTTGAGCTTATCTTGCCTAGTTTTTTCTCCACCCCCCCCCCCACCTACCACCCCTATTGTGCCATTGTCTTTGGGCCCTGGCAGCTCCGTGTGGGCAAGGGTGTGGGCAAGGGGCATGCTGGCTCCAGATTGTAGCTCAATGCACCAAAGCTGCTTCTTTAGAAGGTGGCTTGAGGCTGCTTGGTGTTCCTTAATGTGCTTTGTGCCTCTTGATGGGTCTGCTGAGTATCTAGTCCCAGGCCAAGGGAGAGCTGGGGTCGGGGCTGTGGCTGTGACCTCAAATATATTACAGGACACCAGTCAAGTTTGAATGTCAGACAAACTGAACAATTTTCGTAAAGTGTAATTACTTCCCAGATGTGCTAGGGACATCTCAGCACCAAGACTTGAAACCTCCATCTTCTCCGGCTGCTGCCCTCTGCAGTCTCCGTTTCCCTGAGGCAATTTCTTCCTCTCCTTCTGGGTCTTGAGCCCCAGAGGCGCTGATCTCTCCCCAGAGAAACACCCACACTTCCAACGTGGCACAGCCTTTCCAAGTGAGGGGATCATAAACTTGCTGAGCCTTCCTTAGGGACCCTTAGGTGAGCTGATCTAAGGTATTAACACCCTAAGGTCGGAAGAGGCCCTCAAATGTCTCCCATCACTTCTCTAGACCAGAAGAAAATCTAAGTCTGAGCCTGAGATACCTCTTTCCCACTCTTCTCATTTTTAATGTTTCTTCTGGCTTGGCTACAGCCCAGCATTCAGAGGGAAAAGAGAAGCAGGGTGAGGTGTGGTGGGGACTTACTCTTCCCTCAAAAGCTCCTTTAGAAGAAAGTTTCTGCTGCGTCAGAAGCCGGCTCCCTCCCTCGGCCTGGCTTTCCCCTCCTTGCTGGCCTCTTCCCCGCCCAGCTGTTGTTTACTGTGGACCTGGGGTTGGGAGGGCTGCGTGCCTGCACTGCTGGCGGGCTCCCCTGTTCTCAGCTTATCAGCGTGCGCTCCCCAGCACACTTCCTCCGCCACTCAGTGTGAGGGAACGTCTGTGTAGCCAGCCTGTGGTGACTCACTTTTTCTTGACCTCTTAGCTCCCTTCCTTTCCTATTTACTTCTCCATCTCCTGAGCTTGAGGGAACAGTTACCACCCCAGCTTGAATCCAATCCAAGTAGAGAGTCTGTCACCTCTTGACCCGTCAGGGAGCTGATCCCAAACTATCAGAGCTGCGAGCCAGGCCCGTGCAGTGCGAGGAAGGCTGCCTGGGCTTGGCCTCATCCCTACGGTGAGCTGAGGCCATTTGGGGTGTCACGCTTTGTTGCCAGGTTACTTCTTCCTCAGGCTCCCCTATGGTCTTTGAGACATGGTGTCTTCCCACATCCTCCTGGCTGGGCTGAGAAAGCAATGAGAGCAGGCTTCAGAATTAGGCCAACCTCGAGTCGGATTCCAGCCCTGTCAGGCCTAGCTGGATGGCCCTGAGGAAAGTCCTTATGTGTCACACGTTTTCTGCTGTGAAGAGGACTCCTGTGAGAAGGCCGCTGTGGCCAAGCAGGAAGCAGTGCACAGGACAGCGCCTCGTGGCTGGTGTGTCATAGGCCTGCACTCAGGGCAGGTGGCTGCCCCTGCTTGAAAGTCAGGAGGCCGTGGAGAGGCTGTCTGGCTGGCCCCTACTTGCTTTGTAGTCTGTTAGCAAGAGGGAAGAGTCACATCTGAATGCCCCTCAGATGCTGTTTGCAAGGACAGCATGTTGGGCTGTGGGGCCTGTGTGGTTTTAGGTGGAAGTATTGGGAAAAAGAGAAAACACCAAAGGCTCCTCTCTGCAGCTTTTAGAATCCCCTCTCAGGCCACAGGTTTAGAGTGGGAAGGAAACCCCGTGCTTGTGCGCCCCCTCCTGGCCAAAGGTGGCTGTGATGCAAAAGCTCCTGGTCTCTGTCGCTGGACTGAGTCTCTAGGTGTGAGGGGTGCTGGGATGCACAGGTGAGGGTCCTGAAGGAAATGGCCTTGGGGTGTGGCTGTTGGTTCTCCTCACTCCTGCTTGGCTTCTTCAGACCTTGGTTTTCAGCTGGGGCTTCCTGATTCTGATGCAAGGGCTGCCCTGGGCCTTTTTGTTGGGATCAAGAAGAAAAACACCTGATTTGATAACAAAAATATGCCACGAGTCAGAGATTCACGTAGACCACACGAAGGTGGGTGATCGTGTGAAAACAAATGAGCAGCGAACCAAGTAGCCCACCAATTCTCTAAATTATGTCCGCCCCTCTCTTTCCTCCCACTGGCCTGGTAAAATGTGCTGGGCTTTCTTGCCTGCTGTAATTAGGCCCCTCTCTCCTCAGCAGAGGTGGAGGCCAGGATGTGATCTGTAGCTGTAACTGTGGACACCGCTCTGATTGTAGCACAGAGGCTGGTGCTCATGGCCTCCCCAGCCACACCCTAGCCAGCGTGTCCCATTTACGTGCAGGTGTGCCCTTGCGGTCCCAGATATGGTGGCTAAGGCCATGACTGGAATGCAGTGGTACACAGCCAGCAGCGTGGGGTAGTTAGGAATCGCTGCCCCAAGAGAAGTGGAAACACCTGAAATGTGGCTCCTGGCGGCCATCATGCCCTGCCGGTGGGCATCAGACCAGCCTGTGTGCCAGGCCCTGTGCAGTGCAGATCGTGGCCCAAAGGACCAGCGAAGCAGCCCGGCTCAGAATTCCTCTTTCTACAACTGCACCCCTCAGCCACACACCCCTGCCAGGAAAGGCACACAGCAGCCAGGGACTCCATCCCGTTCCCTCAAGGAAACCAGGTTTCCTGTTACTTAGCAGGAGGCTCTTCCTGTGGGCTCCCAGCTAGGCTTCTGCCAGGTGTTGGGCTGGAAGGGGTAATGGGGGCCCATCTGGCTTCCCAAGGCTTTCCTCACAACTAGTGAATTCTCGAGATGCGTTTGAGCAGCCTAGAGTGTGACAGAGTCCCAGAAGCCCCTGAGGGGAGCAGGGTACCGTTCCCCCCAAGAAGGAAGAACTCGGTGGCCAGGAAGACCCTGCCGCACCCCGACACCAAGCACTTCGTGTTTGTACTTTCTCAGGAAGCACGTGTTTCCCTGCTTGGGAGGGGGAGAGGGTGGGGAGACTGCAGGGAGATGGCTTTCCAGCTCCATGCTGGGAGGTCCTGTGCTCTGAGCATGGCTGGGCCAGGGGGCCAAGTCAGGCCAGCCCTGTCTCCTGCCTGGAGCAGCTGCACTGTATCAGCGGGACCCCCCTTGACTCAGGCAGATCTCTGTACCCCCATCCCAGTCACATGACCCTCTTCCTCCCCATCGGACCCCGGGGTAGAAGAGGCCTGTGGAGGGATGCCCCCAGGCATCTGAAAGGCCCTGAAACCTCTCCATTTGCTCAGGTGGAGTCAGAATTGCTTGTGTGGTTATAGCCAGTAGATCTGTTCTGGAAACGTCACAGGACCAAGGGCAGCTTGCTCACTTCTTGGCTATATGCTGATGATGGAAAAGGGACCATGTTCACCTAATTTTAGTTGTTCAGAAATACCCCAGTGCACAGAAGCACCCAGTGCAAAACCAATCTACCCGCTGTGAAGGAATCAGACCCTACAGAGGTGAGCTAGGAGCATAATCCACCCCCTGCCGCGCCTCCCACCCCCCAGCATTTCCTCAGAGGGGGCCTGGGACTGGAGCCTGAAGCCTATGCAGAGCCTCAGAGGGGCGCTGGGCCATGGCAGCCACTGCAGTCCCGTGTGGAATGCCGCACGTAAGGACTTCAGCCTGCAGCTCCCCAGCCCTGGACACATTTTCCCTGCGGGGGTGGGTGGGGGTGGTTTGCCCAGCCCCTGTGGAATGTGGGGCAAGAAGACAGCCTGTTCTTATACCCACACAGTAAATTCTGTTTCACCTCTTCTTCCCTGGGGTGAAGCTGGCATCTCTGCCACTCTGTCCTCAGCCAGCACCCACACCTGGAGGGGCCGCTGGGGAGTCCTCCCTTGCTTGGGCCCTAGGCCACTCCCACTTCACCCCATTTTGCTCATTTCCCCTTCCTGGCTTGGAGTGAGGCAGCCAGAAGAGAGGCAGGCTGCAGGCTGGGCATGAAGCCCTGGGGGGCAGGAGCGCCAGCCTGAGGCCTGTCCGTCCCCGGTTTTCTGGTGCCCCTGGGTCAGGCAGCTGTGTGGAAACTATTCCTCAGGGCAGCTCTCCTTGGCTTTTTTGTCCTCTGAATCACGCATTTTTCTGCCCATATTTGGTGGTGATTTGGTTGCTGGGCAGCCTTCCAGGGCAGGCCTGCAGGGGAAGCCAGCCAGCCTGCCTGGCTCTGCAGGCAGGAGCGAGGTCTTCCTGCCCCTCAGCGCCCCTGCCCTGTCAGGGCTGCGGAGACCAATGGCATGGAAGCCGAGCTGCTGGGAAAGCAGTTAGTATTCTGCTTTTCCTTTCAGTCCCCAGGAGGAGAATTCCTTCTCAGATGTTTTTTGTAGTTAGAGAATGTTGTTGCCATCACTTTGAGACAATGTCCCCTCCTAATTTCCCCCTGATCTGGGAATTTCCTCCCCTTAGTCAAAAGCATCCAGCTTTCACTCCCTGCAGTACAATAGAGGTGCTTGCCCGAGTCTGGGCTGAGGGGCCCCCACTCCGCGCTCCCCCTAGAGTTCTACCTGACAGTCCCTCCAAGAGAAGGCCTTTGGGGACCCTGCATTGCTGTTAGACTCAGCCAGCTGAACTTGTCTTGCTCAGGGCTCTTTACAGAGTTTTGCTTCAAGACCCTCTGTTCCCTGGGGGCTCGGTGGGTGGGTCAGGACACAGGGCTTTTTCCTCAAGTTCTTGGGGGGACTTCATTTGGGTGGGCAGAGGCGGGGCCTCTTCCCCAGCCAGCTGTGAAGTCCTGAAAGGTTTGCGCATTGATGACTTTCCTCTTCCCTTTCCCCAGGGTGGAGTTCCAGAACAAATTCTACAGTGGGACCGGTTTCAAGTTCCTCCCCTTCTCCTTCGAGCACATTCGGGAAGGGAAGTTTGATGAGTGAGCCCCTCTGGGCAGTGCCCTGCGGTCCTCGCGTGCTCCACAATAACTGGTGGTACTCCTCTTACCTGTGGTAGTGTTCCCTGGGCCTCGGCACATTCGTGGCGTTCCTCCCACCTTTCCCTGGCCCCTGCCACCCTGGCTTTGTGTGTAGTGTGGCTATTTCCCAGGGCGAAGCTGGGCCCCAGCTGTCACTCACACTAGACACCCACTGCCTCCAGCCAGCCAGCAGCCTCCTTCTGTGACCCCTGGGGTGGACCCCCTTCTGCATGGTCACGCGAGCCCAGGCCCCTTTAGGCTTGCACATAATTGCAGCAGCTGGAAGGAGCCTTCATCATCCACACCGAGGCCCTGCCCCTCCCTGCCATTCTGGTTACCGGTTGGGGAGGGGTGCTCTTTGGCATACCCGTGCGTCAGCATGAGGTAGGCCCAGGAAGGTGGTATTTATGCCCATCCCCTGTGGTTTTCAGAGCTCTTGTTAGTTGGGAATTCTGCTGAACCGAAGTGAACCATCCACCCCCAGGTCCCAGGACCCCCAACCTCTCTGACCCCTACTCTACACTCTCATCCCTCCCCTCCCGCTTGCACCCAGCATAACACAGCACAGCAGGGCCTGGCTGGTGCCTCCCGGCCCCAGCGGCCTGCCTCAAGCACACCCTCTGGGCAGCGCCGTGGCCATGCCCTCCTGGCCCAGACTGCACCTTCCTGGCCAATCATGAGTCCCCGTGCAGAGCAGTGGTTCCCCTGGGTGGCAATGCTCTGCCTGCTGTGCTTGTCCCTTCCCCCCACGCTGACCCCAAGTTGAGAGATGGGGTCATAGGTAGGGAAGGCAGGTGTCATTTATGGCTTGCTGGTCAACAAGGGCCAGCAGGGCTGCCAGTGTACGAGGTGGTGAGAGGTGAACCCCCGTCCTGCAGGCTGGAGATGGGCCCCGCGAAGGCGCCACCTGCCCTGTCACCCCCAGCAGGCGACAGGTCTTCGGGCCACTTAATCATGTGTTGGAGCAGCAGCCCTGGCTGCTTCAGCTAAATTGCCCCCCCACCCCCCACCCCCGCTGCCTCCAGTGGCCCCTGCCCTCCCCCACCCGCCTCTTCTGAGTGCTTAGAGCTGCTTGCTGGCTCCCCAGGCTGGGCTGGCCCTGGACGTGGCCCCCTCCCCGCTCACCCCTGTGCAGCGTGACCTGCCCCAGATCCTGTGTGCTGCCCCCTTCCTGCCGGTCCCCATGGTTCACGTGATCGTCTCTGCTCTGTTTACAGCAGGGCTGGAAGCAGAGTTCTTGGTCAGGAACCCTGCCCAAGGCCCTTCTGTTCAGACATTGCAATGCTGAATAAAGTGTGTCTGACTGTACAGGGAGGCTGCCTGTGTCTGTGCCCACAGCCCTGAGCCAACCTGGTGCCCCTACCCTGGCCTTCCCTCCCTTCAGCATTTTTGCTTTTCTTTGACCCAAGGCCCCGGCTCTAGCTGCCAGGCCAGCAGTTTATTTGTGAAATTCTCGCCTCGTCTCAAATCTCCCAGGTACCTTACTCGTAGGAGCCCAGGCAGCCCTGCAGGCTACCCAGCACCCAGCGTGTGAGGGACTTGGGGGCCTGGCCCCAGCTCCCCTCCCCACACAGAGCCTGGGGAAGGGGCCTCAGCGTCTGTCCACCACACCCTCCTCTCCAAGCTGCTCTCCATGGCTCAGCAGCCCGCTGTAAGTGGAAAGTGCTGAGGTAGCAGGGAGCAAGGAGATGCCAGGCCATCCAGGCAGGCGGAGGGCAGGCCACCTTGGCCTCCCAACTGCCATGGGGACTAGGCAAGCGCCCACATTCTTTCTCAGTGCCTCCCTCTCTGTCTCTGCCCCCTGAGGCTCTGGGCAGAGGCCGCGTAGGAATGTGAGCGGCAGGCTGCCAGCTCCAGGAGGGACGCTGTTCACCGTGTTTCTTACCTGCCACCCTGAGACCCAGTAACAGGCCCTGGGGTTCTCCCCACCTGGCTCCTCCGACAGTCTGGTAAATGAGCTCCTTTAGCCTCTGTTCTGTCACTCACAAAGGGAATCCCAGGCAGAGCAGATATGTGGAGTCAGTGGAACAGAACTGAATCAAGGGTCCTGAAATAAACGCTAAAATTTATGAATTCAGTTATTTTCCACAGAGGTGCCAAAGTAGTTCAGTGGAGAGAGAACTTCTTTTCAACAAATGGTATGAATAGAATGGGGGGATCCAAATACTGAAGAACAGATCTGGACTGTAACCCCCCGCTGTGTACAAAAACTAAGTCCGAATGGATCATAACCCTAAATAAGAGTTAAAACTAGACCACTGATGGAAATCATAGGTGAGCATCTCCGTGACCTGCATTAGGCAATGATTTAGGTATGTTAGGGTTGTTTTGGGTATAACCCCAAAACAAAAGCACATAAAAAAAAAGAGAAAAGATAAGTTTGGCCTTTAGCAACATTCAAAATATTTGTGCTTCAGAGGACAGAGCGAAGACAATCTGCCCTCTGGGAGAACATGTTTGAGTCAAATCTCTGAATAGGGGCTTGTATCTAGGACACAAACCTTACCATTCAAAAAACAAACACATCAATTTTAAGATGGACAAAGCATTTCAATAAACATGTCTCTAAAGAAGATATCAAAGTCCAGTAAGCTCATGAAAAGATGTTCAAAGTCATTTGCTGCTGGGGGTATAAGTCAGACCACAAAGAGATGCCGCACCAGGCCCAATACAATGCCCTGAGCAGCAAGGAATGGAGAAAAGGGTCCTGCTGGGGAAGGGGGAAGGGGTGAGGGAAGGCGGCCTGACAGGTCTTCCAAGTGTCCCAGAATCCCCTCAGCCCCAGCAATCCCACTCCTCGGGGATTCTGCTCAAGATGATGAAAACAAGTGCAAGGAAGAGCCCCCGAATGGGATAACCCCAGTGCCCACTAGTTGGTGACTGGATGAACAAAAGAGGGGCTCTGCCCTGTGTGGCACTCGGCTAGAAAGAGCTGAGCCCTGCAGCTCTGTCCACGCAGCTCAGAAGCACGCTAAGGAGGCAGACGAGGCTGCGTGGACATGCGAGCCACTCCGGGAGGTGGTTAGAATGGACAAATCGAGAGTCAGAGGGGGCTGGCGCTGCTGGATGGGGATGGGGTTTAAATGGGTACAGAGCTGGATTGGAATTTTGTGCCATGTGGGTCACCTCCCTGGCTGGGAATCGAACTCGTGCTGCAGTGGCAGTGGACAGCTTCACAGTGCTGCACCTTAACCCCTCGCACCACCGGGAGGGCTCCTGGTTGTGCACTTTCAATTGGTAAACTACAATCTGCATCAGTAAATTGAGGTACAGGGACTGGGAGGCCAAACACTCCTCAGACAGAAATTCCCCCTTAGTCTGGCTCAAAGTCACTGGACTGCTGGGTCATGGGCTAACCAGAACTCTCAAGACCTGCTGGGCTCCGGCTGCCCGGCTGCCTGGCTGCCTCCAGCCCAGCCATCTAAGTGGAACTGACTGGAAACAGCTGAGGAAGATGTGGGACATTCCAGAAGCCTGGGATGCGGTTGGGGGACAGGATGGGTCCATTGCTCGTGTTTTTAAAGGACACGTCCTTTATCTGATCCTCTTCCTGTGAAATCCCGGGACCCTAGACATCTGCCAAGCACATCTGTGTCCCTTGTCCAGGGAATGCCTGTCTCCTTTTGAGGCCCTCACCAGTGTGGGAGAGGGTGGCTTTGGGCCTGCTGCACATCATAGAGACAGAGGCCAATTCATGAACACCTTCAGCACCCCGCTCTGCCCTGGCCTGCCTTGGAGACCTGGATGGGACGGCACCTCTGCCCTGGGAGCCCTAGGTGGGAGGGGCACAGGCTGCTGCTCAAATGGGAATGAGCTGCCTGCCCACCAGCCTACCCCAGGCTTGTCCTAGGTGTGGGCTGCTCCCTGCTGGTCAGACAGGGAAGGGCTAGTGCCAGATAGGTGGGATCCTGACAGGCAACTGGATTGGCAGAGCAGGGGGACGAGACCCTGGAGGACCATGCACAGGCAGGGGCCGGCTGTGTGCCCTGGAGGGAGGGGAGCCAGGGGGGCAGCCCATCCAGCTTGTCTCACCAACATTGGTGTAAAAGTAATAAATGTGTCACAGGGTAAAAGTGTTACAGGGCACCCCGGTGTGAACTGGGCTGCCTGTCTGGGGGGGCCTCACCCGCATGCTTAAAATTTAGTTGTACTGCAGGCGCACACAAAAGGGTCAATCATGGGTTTATTTACAAAAAGGGAAAGGAAAAGGAACAGCCCAGGGCAAGAGAGGGATACAAGGTAACTGGAATATCTTACTGGCTCGGCTGACTTGGAGCTCTAGTCAGAAACTAACTGAAAACCCCTTCACGCGGTCCGGAGAGCCGTTGGAAAATGGCGCCTATTTATTCCCCTGAGCCCCATAATACCTGCTTAGCTCCACCCTTGGGCCCACGCAGTTCTCTCCCTGGTACTGCTGGGAGTTGTAGTTTCCCGTCGCTGGAGTAGGGGTGGGGTCCACAAGACTCCGCAGAGTTCCTCTAGGACACCCTTCCTGGTAACAGGGAAGTACGTCTGAGTATCCCACCCAGAGCAACCACTGTTTACAGTTCTTTATTTTTTTTCCCCCAGGGTAAAAGCCAGAGCTGCAGGGGTGGTGAGAGGATTCACTAGAGACAGAGTGGGGAAACAGAACAATAAAGCACACTGCTGAGAGGAGCAGTGAGTGAGACAGGAGAGGTCTGCTGCACCATGTGGGTCAGTTCCCTGGCCGGGGATCGAAATTGCAGTGAAGTGGCTGTGGCTAGTTCTGTGCTTTAACCCGTTGCCCCACCAGGGAGGGCCCCAGAGTCTTTCTTTAAAAACACACAAATGGGAGATACTATACCCAGAGGTCTGACCCTTTATAAAAAAGTATGTAGATTGTAGAACTTTCCCATTAACTACTAGCCTAGCACCTCATCTTTCCTCATGCCTGGTGTTTCTGTCGGCACCTTAATTTCTTTAATCAGCCTCTTGCAGGCCACAAAGTTCCCAGCCCAGTGGGGAAGGTGAGAAAAGAGTGGGACTTGCCTGGAGCATCAGGGAGGCAGCCCCAGTGTCCATGAGTTCAGGACACCCTCTGGAGGGGCTCCAATCTACTGCCCCTGCCAACAAGTCTCCACCACTCTGGAAGAAGCCCTCTGAGCCTGACAGTGGGCCTGCAGCCTAGTGTCCCCTAAGATCCAGAAGTCCTCGTACAGTGCCCTCGGAGGAGATTCTGACAGATCTCACCTGGAACAAAACGTGTCTGGAGGGGCAGTTGGGGAAGGGGTGCTGGACGGGGGTGGAGAAGAGCCCAGCGGTTGGGAGGGGCCACCATGAGGGCACATCTCCCTGGGCCTGTGTTGGAGTCGCGCTCCCTGACAACCTGCTGCACAGAGCTGAACGGGAGCTGGGGCTGCCACCCTGAGGAGCTGCTCCCTGAGCTGGGAACCGGCTGCTGGCTTGTGTCTGCGAGTGAGGGCAGGATGGCAAACTCTGTGGACTCCGTTGTTTTAAGATTTATTGCTAGAGACGAACTCCGGCCACAGTGGCAGGCGATAGCTTGATAGCACTATCAATTAAGAAACAAAGATGTGAGGCTGTAACCCCTGCGCCTCCAGGGAGGCCCTCCCTTGCTCTTTCAATCCCAGCTCTGGGTTCTTGAGACTGGCAACTCTTCTCTGACCCCTTCCCTGTTCCTGGGCTGCTTCACTCAGGTCTGACAATCTGAAACAATCTACCTCTGCCAGCAAAAGGACTCAATCTTTTTAGAAAACCATCTTTCTATAGGGCTTGTCACTCCCTGCTACCGCACAGCCCCGCTCACTCAACCCCTCCCTACCCAGTGAAGCAGCCTGAGAAGTTACAACACTTGGAGATGCATAGCCAGAACACTGGCCTGGGGGCTTGGGGGTCCAGACCGAACCTGCTGGCCTTTTGGTTACTGGTCATTGATCTTGTCCTAGCCACCTCCTTTCCCTTTAGAAGAGGAGAAATGGGCCTGCTGTGGTGGCACAGTGGGTTAGGAGGCAGCACTGCAAGCTGGCCACAGCCACTTCAGTGGGAGTTCCATCTCCGGCCCCCGGAGGTGACCCAAATGGCGCAACAGACCTCTCCTGTCTCCCCGCTGCTTCCCTCACAGTGTACTTCATTGATCGCGTGTTCTGCTCCCCACTGTGTCTCCGGTGAAGCCTCTCACCAGCCCTGCACCTCTGGCTGTGGTCTGGAGTATCACTTGCTTGGTGCTGTACTGGGGCATTTGGGCAGCCCAAGAGGCACCTCCTGTTGCATCCTTTGTTGTGTTTATGAATCAGATCCTGGCCGATAGTTTGGCTGCTGATGTCCAAAGGAAGCCGCCACCTACGCACGTGGCCCATTGTTCAGAAGAGGAGCAGCACTTCCTCAGCGCGGGAAGACACCATTATAGTGGACAGTACTGGACATGACTTTGGGCAAACGGCCACTATTGGCCTCAGCAACTCTTGTTTTTGCCTGATTTATCAAATACATAAATCCCTGCGCTGTTCCCTAAGCCTGAGCAGTCTTGCATTTGTGTGCTGCTGAAGAACTCAGACAATGCCCAGTAAAGTATTTGGGCAGAGGGGCGTTGGCCAGTTTGGCCTCCTCTCTGCCCTGCATCAAAAGGTCATTTGTTTATGGAAGCCTTGGGCTGGACGCCCTTGTATTTCTTCAGGCATCACAAATATAATGTAAATCTTTACATAAGTGACGCCAGGTCTTCCCCAGAGAGGGCTCGCAGTCAGTGCCGTACACAGTAGACTCCAAGTATTTGCTGGAAGGAAGAAAAGTGACGTGCAAGTGAAAGCCTGCCGCACCCCAAGAAGCATGTGGCCGACAGCAGGTCAGAGCTGGCTCTGACCTGCTAAGCCTCCGGGTCACGTGCTCCCGCACCAAGCGCGTGAGGAGACGCGCCGGGCCAGCCCGGGACCCGGAAGCGGGTCTCCCCGCGGCGGGCCGGTGCGGCCCCTTCAGGGTCACGTGGCCCGAGGCCCGCAGCTGATTGGCCGCGGCCCGCCCCGCCCCCTGGCCGAGTCCCAAGTTGGGGCCGAGGCCAGGCTGAAACCGCTGGACCATGGCAGCGGGGGCGGGGGCGGTGGCCGCGGTTCTGGGGCTCCTGCTCCTGGCCGGGCCGGGGAGCTCGGCCGGGGACGAAGCCCGGGAGGCGGACGCCGTGCGAGCGCTGCTGGTTCGGCTTCTGGGCCCCGGGCCGGCGGCCGGCTTCTCCGTGTCGGTGGAGCGCGCCCTGGCGGCCGAGTCCGGCCTGGACACCTACCGCCTGAGCGGCGGCGGCGCGGGGGCGCGCGTGCAGGTGCGGGGCTCCACGGGCGTGGCGGCCGCCGCGGGGCTGCACCGCTACCTGCGCGACTTCTGCGGCTGCCACGTGGCCTGGTCGGGGTCCCAGCTGCGCTTGCCGCGGCCGCTGCCCGCGGTGCCCGAGGAGCTGACGGAGGCCACGCCCAACAGGTATGGGGCCGACGCCGCCTCGTGGCCCCGACGCCCTCCCGCTGCGCCGCACCTGCCAGTCACTGAAGTCCCCGCCCCAGGGCGCCCCAGGCTGGTCCTACCGATACCTGTGAAGCTAAGGAAGGAAACTGGGCGAGGGTCGCAGGAGTCTGGCCTCAAATCCTAGGCCCCTTTCTAAAAGCTGTAGGGCCTCGAGCGAGACGCTGGACCTCACAATGGACACCCACTGGGCCACGTGGGTTGTTAGGCTTTGCAGAATGATGGGTGCAGCCTGTGGTGCTGCTTGGTGATCAGTAAACGTTTCTCCTTTCTTTTCCCACCGCTTCAAAGATGCTTCTGTTACTTTGCTGCTCAGGAAGTCAGGCCCGGACCCTCCAGGTTGTTCCACCAAAGAAGCTGTTAGCCAGTGGCTCAGTACTTTTTTCTTTTTTAAAATCTTAAGATCTATTTATTTATGCATACAGAACTGGGGTACAGGCCAGAGCTGCAGGGGCGTGAGAGGATTCACCAGCGATCGAGTAGGGAGAACAGGTTGATGGAGAAGCACACAGCTGAGGGGAGCAGCGGGCGGTCAGGAGAGGGCTGCCACCACTGAGTCAGCTCCCTGGTTGGGGAGCAAACTGAAGCAGCTGTGGCTCTCTTGCAGTGCTGCACTTTAACCCATTGCGCCACCAGGGAGGGACAGAGGGAGGGTCGGCGCCGCTCCCTAGTAGCAGATGAAGGAAGGTTATCTAGGAAACAAAGGGCATTGGGTGTGAGAAGGGTTCTTCATTCTTGGGCAGAGGGCACTGCTCAGTCCAGGAGCAATCAATCATCTGGAGTTGTTTTCTACTATGTCACTAATTTGAAACATTCTGCCGGCCTATTTCAGACACTGGTGTTATCAGCTTCCTTCAAAGGAACAGAAATATCTTGTTAAGCACCAGCAGCCCATGACCTGGGCCCTGAGGGCTGTGGTGCAGCGGGTTCGGGGCAGGGTCCCTGCCTTCTTGGCCCAGGCCCAGCTTAGGGAATGTGGTTGTCAACAGGTCTCTGTTTTCGCTCTTGCCCTGCAAGGCGGTGGGTGATGTGTCGTATCCATGCATTAGTCTGTGGAGAGGGGGACACCCCCTTTCAGAACATGGGGCAGCTGTACCACATAGCACTTAAACAGTGCAGAGAACAGAGGCTCTGGAAGAGGAGGATGGCCACAGAATATGCTCCAAATGTCTGACACTACAGGTCCCTCGAGGAGAGTTGGGGGCAGGTGTGTGGGCACCTCAGAAGCTCAGGTAGCCTGGGTGTCTCAGCTTTACCAGGAGTGGATCCCGGAGTGAAGCAGTAGAGGGCTACACTGGTTAATTGGCTCTGGGTTAAGTGGGGGACTTCCCCGGGCCAGTCCACTTAGCTCTTCAGAGGTGGGGGACATCCTGGATGCACCAGCCTGTGCTTCCGCCCACAGGTACCGCTATTACCAAAACGTGTGCACACAGAGCTACTCCTTCGTGTGGTGGGACTGGGCGCGCTGGGAGCAGGAGATTGACTGGATGGCGCTGAACGGCATCAACCTGGCACTGGCCTGGAATGGCCAGGAGGCTATCTGGCGACGGGTGTGTTCCCCCATCTTCCCCCTACCCCACACACAGACAGTAGGGGCTCCAGAAGTGTCTGTGGTATGCACGACGGTTCCCAGCTTCCAGGGACTTCACCCCAGCATGCAGCTGTGAAGTTCAGAAAGCCTAGACTCCTGTTCCACCCTTGCTGCTCCTGTAGATTCTACAGCTCTTGAGCTGCTGCATCCCCCACTTCCTTACTCATGACCCAGCCAGCCTCTCACCCGTTGCCTGGACCCCCACAGGAACCTCTGTGGCAGGGTTCCTTGCTTCCCACATTCCACCAGGGTGTCCTTTCCAATATGCAAATATGGCCGCTCAACTCATTACCTTCAGGTCTCCCCCAGCCTGGGAGCTGGACCCTGTGGGCCCTGACAGCCCTGGGGCTGCTTAAGCTCTGCAGAGGGGTCCGTGTCCACCCTTCTAGCCAGCCTTGCTCCATGGAGCTTCCTAAGACCCCTCCCCTTTAGAGGCTGCCCTTTGTGCCTCACCTCACCTGTGGACCAAGGAGACCCGGTAGGCCCACTGTCCCCAGGTCTGCCCTCTGGGACTGTGGGCTCCTTCCAGGTGAGGTCCATTGTGTTAGTGACCCTGGCACAGAGAGGAGATGAGCAAACGTTTGCTGCAGACATGAATCAATGAAGGAGATGCGTGTGTTTGTGTGTGGGGGACTGCCCTCCTCAGGTGTACCTGGCCTTGGGACTGAACCAGCTAGAGATCGACGAGTACTTCACTGGGCCCGCCTTCCTGGCTTGGGGGCGCATGGGCAATCTGCACACCTGGGGTGGCCCCCTGTCCAACTCCTGGCACCTCAAGGAGCTTTATCTGCAGGTAAAAGGATGGGGAAGGACCCGGGCAAAGTTGGAGATGCCAGTCGGGCCCAGGGCGGGGTGGGGTTCGGTCCACCTCAGGCTCGTAACTTACTCTGTGCCCTGGGGGAGAGAAGGGGCTCCCACCTCAGAGGCCACGCTCACCGGCTGACTGTCCCACCCCTTTCCTCCCAGCACCGGATCCTGGAGCGGATGCGTTCATTCGGCATGACCCCGGTGCTGCCCGCCTTTGCAGGGCACATCCCCCAGGCGCTCACCAGGTGAGGCCGTGCTCGTACCCCCACGCAGCTGGGCTTGATTGAAAGGAAAACTGCAGCTCTCAGTGCAGGCCTGCGCTGGATTCCTGGTTTTACCTAATAGCCAAGTGACTGCTCTGGGCCTCCGTTTCCTCCCATGTAAAAGATACTGGCTTAGTGCAGAGTCTGAGCAAACAGTAGGTTTAGGGGTTCAGTATGGTTCCTGCTCCTCTGTGCTAAGAGCGCCCCTCCTTCAAGAAGCCTTTGTCAGAGGATGGGGATGAGTGTTGCTCACCACTCACTCCATACCGGAGAGCACCAGCTTCCCACCACTCACAGGTCAGCACGTGCTGCTGGCCTCACGGGCCACTCCTTCCCACCCCGACGCATAGCAGGAGCCTTATCAGTCAGTGAACATTTGTCTGGCTCTGTGCTGGGCCCTGGGGAGGCCCAGCCCTGGTGGGAGATGGCGTGAGTGTATGTGGGCCCACTTCTCGGGCAGGGTCACTTCTGCCTGGGGAAGAGGGGCAGCAAGGGCTCAGGGCAGACGCAGTGCTGAGCCAGGTCTTGAAAAATAAGCATTGCTTACTTTGGCCAGGGAGTGCAGGAGGGAGAGAAGCAAAAGCTTAAAGCTTCTGGAGGTGAAACTTAAAGGGTGTCGGGGAGTAACCAGGTACATAAGCAGGGGGTGAGAGGACAGGCCCCCAGGCACGGGGACCTGGCACATGCAGGGGTGCGGTGGCACGAGAGACCAGGCGGCTTCTGGGGACCACAGACTACTCGGGGGGCTGGCCATGAGCGCGTGTCAGCCTCCAGGGTGTGTGTGCGCTGTCTCCTCTCTCTGCTAGGGTGTTCCCTCGGATCAATGTCACCCAGATGGGCAGCTGGGGACACTTCAACTGCTCCTACTCCTGCTCCTTTCTCCTGGCTCCACAAGACCCCCTCTTCCCCATCATCGGGAGCCTCTTCCTGAGGGAGCTGACCAAAGAATTTGGCACAGATCACATCTACGGGGCTGACACTTTCAACGAGATGCAGCCGCCCTCCTCAGAGCCTTCCTACCTGGCTGCAGCCACTGCTGCTGTCTACCAGGCCATGATTGCAGGTTCGGTGCCGTGGGGAAGTGGGTTAAGGAGTCTCCCCTCAGTGGATGGGGGTGGTGGAGGTCAGTAGGGGTGGGAGGAGGAGCTGGAATCGTTAACACCTCACTGCTTCACTGCACTTCCGGTTTACCAAGCATGTGTCCACAGAGCCATCACATTTAATCCCTGAGCTCTGGACCTGGACAGCCTGCTTGGTCCCTGGCACTGCCCCCTCTGCCTGTGTGACCGCGGTCGTTCCGTCCCTCCCAGGGTCTCAGTTGCCTCAGCTGTAGAATGGGGCTGCTGCCGGGGGAGGAAGCTGCCTAGCCCAGGCAGTGTCATTAAGTGCTAGCTCCTGAAAATGTCGCATTCTGCCTCTTGCTACCACCAAGCTGAGGTCGGTGGTACAGGCCAGAGATTATAGGAGGTGCTCAACGCTACGGTGCCCTTCTTGACCCCAGTGTTCTTTCCTGCTGTTTTCGGGGGAGGGTTGGCAAGGGGCTAGTCAGGTGCAGCTGGGCAGGGAGGCCTCTGCGTCAGCAGGGAAGGAACAGACTGGCTCGGCTTCCTCAGCTGCGTTGCTGCAGGTATGACCAGGACCAGCGGCCCCTCTGCCAGCCCCTGTGACCGGGCCCAGGAATCCACAGAATTCCTGGAATCCACGTTTTAACCTCCCCTCTGGGCAAGTTCTGATTTTTTCAAAAGTTTGCACTGTCCGGAGCTCACCATGGGAGGAGATAGGCAGTGCCCTGGAATGCCCTGCTGGCTGGGGGCTGGGGGACCAGTGTCCTGCGGCAGTCTCTGGAATCTCTGGACCTCGGTTTCTTCATCTGTAGAAGGGGGTAAACATTCCCCTGGCCGCTTCACCTCTCACCTCCTTGTTTCTGTCTCCCCCGCCCCCGCCTCAACCACAGTGGACCCTGATGCCACATGGCTGCTCCAAGGCTGGCTCTTCCAGCATCAGCCCCAGTTCTGGGGGCCTGCCCAGGTGGGAGCTGTGCTGGGAGCCGTCCCCCGTGGCCGGCTCCTACTTCTGGACCTTTTCGCTGAGAGCCAGCCTGTGTACATCCGCACGGCCTCCTTCCAGGGCCAGCCCTTCATCTGGTGCATGCTGCACAACTTTGGAGGCAACCATGGCCTGTTTGGGGCCCTGGAGAGCGTGAACCAAGGCCCTGCAGCTGCCCGCCTCTTCCCCAATTCCACCATGGTAGGCACCGGCATGGCCCCTGAGGGCATCGAGCAGAATGAAGTGGTCTATGCCCTCATGGCCGAGTTGGGCTGGCGGAAGGGCCCTGTGCAAGATTTGGGGGCCTGGGTGACCAGCTTTGCCAGCCGGAGGTACGGGGTCTCCCACGGGGACACAGAGGCAGCGTGGAGACTACTTCTTAGGAGTGTCTACAACTGTTCGGGCGAGGCCTGCAGAGGGCACAACCACAGCCCTCTGGTCAGGCGGCCTTCCCTACAGATGGTTACCACCGTCTGGTACAACCGATCAGATGTATTTGAGGCCTGGCGGCTGCTGCTCACAGCTACTCCCACCCTTGCCACCAGCCCGACCTTCCGCTATGACCTGCTGGATGTGACCCGCCAGGCGGTCCAGGACCTGGTCAGCTTGTACTATGAGGAGGCGAGGACCGCCTACCTGCGAAAGGATCTGGTTTCCCTCTTGAGGGTGGGGGGCATCTTGGTCTATGAACTGCTGCCCGCGCTGGACAAGGTTCTGGCTAGTGACAGCCGCTTCCTGCTGGGCAGCTGGCTGGAGAAGGCCCGGATGGTAGCGGTCAGTGAGACTGAGGCCCGTGTCTATGAGCAGAATAGCCGCTACCAGCTCACCCTGTGGGGACCAGTGGGCAACATCCTAGACTATGCCAACAAGCAGCTGGCAGGACTAGTGGCCAACTACTACACCCCCCGCTGGCAGCTCTTCATGGAGACCTTGGTGGAGAGCCTGGCCCAAGGCGTCCCCTTCCAACAGCGCCTGTTTGACCAGAAAGCCTTGGAGCTGGAGCAGGCCTTTGTCCTAAGCACACAGAGGTATCCCAGCCAGCCCGTCGGTGACACTGTGCAACTGGTCAAGGAGCTATTCCTCAAATATTACCCCCGGTGGGTGGCTGCCTCCTTATGACAGATTAACGAGTACTAGGCCAAACTCCAGGCCCAGGCGGGTTCATGGGCCTAGAGAGGGCAGATGCCACAAGAGGTCCCTAGCCTCCTGGGTGAAGGAACTAAGACTTGCTGGTGGGGTCAAGCATGGGCAGCAGCCCTCCACACCCTGAAGGTGAGCTCACAGGAGTGTGTTAATACAGCTTAATAAACTGATGAATCACTGGGCCTGTCTGTGAGAATGTCACTGCCACAAAAACTGGGAGGACTTGGGGCTTAACATGGGCACCGCTGTTAGTTGACACAGTTGTCTCCTTGCCGCATTCTACACATTAATCCTAACCTCTGAACTTTGAACTGACCATCCCCTCCCAAAACACTGCCACCCTCAGTGGCATGCTGAGTACTGTATCTCCAATGGGGCAGAGGTAGATTCCAGGAGATGTGCCAGGGGCAAATTGCCCACATGGGATTCTACCCCTCCTGCTTGCAAAACTTTGCCGGCTGACGCAGGAAGAAGGGGGTTCTTTGAATAATAGGTCAGGGACTGAGTGCTTAGCCTTGAGGTTGCACTGAAGACACAACAAGGGGTGGGGACCCCAGAAGGCAGGGGCGGGGCAAAGCAGGTGATAACCTCCGCTATAGAACAGAGCCCAGCACTTCAGGGACCTTGGCACACTCGCTCCAATGGACCGCAAAGTGGTGCTCATCACCGGCTGTTCCTCCGGCGTCGGCCTCCACCTTGCCCTGCGCCTGGCATCGGACCCATCCCGGAGTTTCAAAGGTATGAGTGGACCTGGATGGCAAAAAGGCCCGTGGGCCAACGGGGGGCCTACATAGGGAATTGAGATCCTTTTCACTGCCAAACCTCCAGTATATGCCACGCTGAGGGACCTGAGCACGCAGGGGCCGCTGTGGGAGGCTGCCCGTGCCCTAGGATGCCCTCCTGACTCCCTGGAGACGCTGCAGTTGGACGTGAAGGATGCCGAGTCCATAGCTGCTGCTCGGGCACGGGTGACCGAGGGCCGTGTGGACGTGCTGGGTGAGCCTCCTGGCGACACAGGCCTGCTGGGGATCCTTCCCAAGGAGCTTGAGGGGGCCAGCAACGGCGCGAGCGCCCGTGTGTGTGTGTGTGTGTGTGTGTGTGTGTGTGTGTGTGTGAAGGGCGCTGCCTAAGGGGGGCTGGTTGGCCTCTTCTCCCCGGCAGTGTGTAACGCTGGCCGGGGTTTGATGGGGCCACTGGAGATGTACCCGGAGAGCGCTGTGGCCTCCGTGATGGACGTGAACTTGATGGGGACCGTGAGGATGCTACAGGCCTTCCTGCCTGACATGAAGCGGCGCCACTCGGGCCACATTTTGGTGACTGGGAGCTCAGGCGGATTGATGGGTGAGAGGCCAGTGGCGGTGGGAGACGGGGCCAGTTGAAGGGCTGGGGTGTAATCAGAAGGGGCCAGGCCTGATGAAAAGAGCACTAGACAACAGTGGGCGCCTGGGGCTCTTGGGAGACTCCTTCCTGGATGTTCCTCAGCACTTTCATCTCCCCTCAAAGGGCTGCCTTTTGGCCCAGTTTACTGCGCCAGCAAGTTCGCCCTGGAAGGCCTGTGTGAGAGTCTGGCAATTCAGCTGCTGCCTTTCGGAGTCCAGTGAGTACCGCCCTACCCTAGAGCCCTCAGAACCCCAACTCTGGGGACTTCAGCCCCTACTAGTTGGAGCTATTCTCAGGTGTTCTCCCTGGCCCCTCCCCACTGCCCGCAGGTTTGTCGGGCACATTACCGTCTTACAGGGTCCTGGGGACCTGTTACCTCCCTTCCCCTGCCGACCTAGCGGGTGAGACGTTAAAGCCCAAAGCGGTTAGAGAGTGAATGGCCCAAGGTCACAAGTCAAGTGACCAGCCAGGTTCGAATTCTGGCGCTAGAGTCGTCTCAAAAGGTTGTACGTTTGAGCGAAGCCACAGCCACACTTACCTGCAGATCGTTCCCAGGCTCCCGCGGCGGTCGGGCTCTGGCCTCCGCCCACGCTGCCCACGCATCGCTGAACTTGCCGCTTTCCTGTCCACAGCATGAGCCTCATCGAGTGCGGCCCGGTGCGCACCGCCTTCCTGGACAAGCAGGAGGGCGACCCCCGCGGGTCGCTGGACGCTGTGGATCCCGAGACGCGCAAACTCTTCACCACCTATCAGCGCCACTGCGAGCGGACCATGCGCGAGAGGGCGCAGGACCCCAAGGAGGTGGCCGAGGTGGGTGCCGAGCGGGTGGGCTGCGGAGAGGGGCGGCTGGCGAGTCGCGCGCCCGGCCCTGCCCTGCTACACTTCCTCCCACCGCCGCAGGTGTTTGTCACCGCGCTGCGCGCCCAGCGGCCAGCGCTGCGCTATTTCACCTCCGAGGGCTTCCTGCCTCTGTTGCGGCTGCGCCTCTCCGACCCCAGCGGCCTCAGCTACATCCATGCCATGCATCGAAAACTGTCTGCTGATCCTCTGGCCGATGACCCCAAGGGCGCCCCGGCTGAGACCGGGGACGGAGCGGGGGCCGGGGCGGGGGCGGGGGCGGGGGCCGGGGCCGAGGGACCATGAGCTAGGTGCTCCTCCTGCTGCTCTGCAATAAAGGCTTGGTCAATCGCCCCATCTCTCCAAGTCTCCCTTGCGCCCCGGGGGGTGTGCGATTCTGGGGGCGGGGTGGCCTAGTGGCTGCATAACCTTACACAACTGATATGCCCAGGGAGGGGTGATCACAAAAGATCATACTAGCCAGGAATATTTTTACCTGCATGGAAACTGAGATTCAGGAAGAGGGAGGAGACAACTCAGTCTACCTCAGCCTGCACAATGGCTGTCCCTGAACAACTGGTCACCTCCCACCTCAAGGTCTTTGAACTGGCTGTCCCCTTTGTCTGCCTCACTCCCCTCCACTGCATCTTCCTTTAGGGCTTTGCCGAGTTCTTGCAACCCTGTCTAAGGTAGCATTTTCTTCCTCCACTTGTAGCCCCCTGACCTGGTTTTATTTTTCCACTATAGCACTTATTGCCAATAGTGCTGTATTTATCGGCTTATTGACTATTGTTATAACTTTCCCAAAGATTTTTATTTATGCATACAAGAACTGGGTACAAATCAGAGGTGCAGTTGGGGGGGGCGGGGGTGATGGTGGTGAGAGGATTCACCAGAGACAGAATAGGGGGCAAAACAGGCAGATTGACTGAAACGCACTGCTGAGGGGAGCAGCGGGTGGGACATGGGAGGTCTGCTGCACCATGTGGGTCAGCTCCCTGGCTGCGGACTGAACTGTTGCTGGGATAGCTTCACAGTGCTGCGCTTTATCACAATGCTGCGCTTTAATGGATTGTGCCACAGGAAGGGCACTAGATTTGTTTATAGCCTTCACTCTCTATTCCTAGGCACATAGCGATCTAAGCTTCAGGAAGGCAGAAACTTTGTTTTGTTCACTGATGGATCCCTTGAACCTAAATCTGTTCCTGAAGATAGGAAGTAAACACACATTTATTAATAAAAGTGACATGTGTGACTAGGTGTTCAGGGCATTTTTGCACAGTTTTCATTTTGCTTCTTCAACTTTAAAACCTAATTTAATATGCCTCCTGAAAGCAGCCAGAGTCCATTCTTTTTTTTTTTTGAGGTGGATATTTTCTTTTCTTTTTTTTTATTACAAACGTTTATTTTTACATCATTTTGTACATTTTTTTTCCATCTCAATTGTAATCCCCGCGGGTTTCCCATCACCAAGTCACCCATGTGCCATCACCATAATCCCGTGCATGTCCCTCCCCCCACCCCGTTTCTGATCCCATTCTCCACTCCACCCCCACAAAATGTCAGAGTCCATTCTTTGTGGCTCTATAACTCACCCTTGACTAGAGGTGCAGATCGAGGTTTTTTGGACCAGAGGCTTACACGCTTTGGTGAGGCTGCTTTAAGAATACAAAACAATAAATGGAAAACTAGTTATGAAAGCGAGCGTTTATTTAGCTTTTGGGGGTGAACTACAGCACATTACTGGGATCTTAGAGACTTGTTTCTCTCCGTTTTGAGATCTTCAGGGACCATTTACCTGAAATGTTTCCTGATGGCAACCTGGCTTCCTCTCCCTTTGGAGACCCATTCCAGTCTATCCAGCAATAATTACCTGCGTGTAACACCCGATCTCCAGCCCGCTCTTGCACTGGGTCCCCTGCTCTGGCTCCCTTTTCTCTTGTCCAATCTCTGACATTTTTACTGAGCTTATACACAAAGTTCTCTTCTCTCCCTGAAAATGGCGCATGGCTGATTCCAAGTGGCGTGAAGGGCATCCCACAGGAGCCACAAGAGCTGGCCTCTGGCATTATTTCCCCGTGTATCCCTGGAACACACAAGGCATCAGTTTTCCCATCTATAAAATGGGTACTTGAGCAGAGCTGTTGTGGTCTCCCATGTAAGGATCCTCGGACCAGAAGTTCTAATTTAAGCGCTACCCTTTGACAGCTATACCGATATCTCATTCATTTATATTTTTTAAAGATTTATCCATACAAGGCCAGAGGTGGGGAGATAAGAGATTTCACCACAGACAAGACTGGGGAGCAGAATAGGCAGATGGACTAAAATACACTACTAAGGGGAGCAGTGGGCAGGTCAAGAGAGGTCTGCGGCGCCATGTGGGTCACCCCCCTGGCTGGGGATCGAACTCCTGCTGCTGTGGCTGCGGATAGCTTCACAGTGCTGCGCTTTAACCCGTTGTGCCACCACGGAGGGCCTATCCCCATTATCTATTAAGGAAAGCCAGGCGTTAGTTCCGACTCTGCAGTTGTCTCCTGGATGACCAAGAATGCCCTCCCAGATTCTGACTCTGAAGAGCGAGCACCCCTGAGCGGCTTTCAAATCCTCCTCGCCGCGCCCACCTCGCGGTCCCACGCACGCAAACGCGAGCGCCGGATCTCAGCCCCACCCCCGGGGAGGACACGCCCCGCCCCCGGGGAGGACACGCCCCGCCCCGCCCCGCCCCTGCAGTAGTCTCGCGAGAATCCTGCTCGAGGGCTGGAGAGGTTTGGCTCTCCTCCTTTTCCGTAGCTTGGCGTTGCAGTTTTCTGGCTACTGCTTCCGGGTCGCAGCTGGGAGAGCCTCCGCGGAGGTGCCCGCTGAGCCAAAGGCCGGCGGTCTCAGTAGGTAAGGGGCCGCCCCGGGCCTGAGCGTCCCCCGGTAGTCACCTCCTTTGGCCCCCTGAAAGGCCCTGGTGCAGCTTAGCAAGAGGGCCCAGGATTCTGGACCCGGCCCTCTGACTCAGGTCTCCCGTTCAGTTTCCCCCTCCCAGGATTTCGATTCCGTTCGGCTATTTTACTGCTCCGTCTGAGATGGGAAACCCGGGCTTAACGTTCAGCCCCGAGGCGCCGTTTGCCAGGCCCCGTCCTCCCTCCCGGGTTCTTCTCGATCAGTTCTGAGACATTTCGAGACCTATGCGATCAGAACCTTTTCTAGGTCCCATTTCTTGGGTCCAGCGCCCCGCACAGACCTCGGTGTCAGCCACATTTCCCACCAGCACCAGTCGCCCTCACTTCCTCCCCCTGACTGTCTGCAGGCAGCATGGCCCTATTCCGCTCGGGCCTCCTGGTGCTGACGACGCCGCTGGCCTCCCTGGCTCCTCGCCTGGCTCCTATTCTGACCTCGGCGGCCAGGCTGGTGAACCACACGCTCTATGTACACCTGCAGCCTGGCATGAGCCTAGAGGGCCCCGCCCAGCCTCAGTCATGCCCGGTGCAGGCCACGTTTGAGGTTCTCGATTTCATCACACACTTCTATGCTGGAGCCGATGCCCACAGGCACCTGGATATAAGAATCCTGCTGAGTAACATCCGAACCAAGAACACCTTTCTCCCTCCCCTGCCCAATTTAGTACAGAACCTGGCCCACCCGCCGGAAGTGGTGCTCACTGACTTCCAGACCCTGGATGGAAGCCAATACAACCCAGTCAAGCAACAGCTAGAACGTTATGCAACCAGTTGTTACAGCTGTTGTCCACAGCTGGCTTCAGTGCTGCTATATCCCGATTATGGGTCTGGAGAGCTGCCCGTGGAGCCCGTGGATTTCCCCTTACCCTCCACCATCAGACCAGACTCCCCCGTAGCCAGGTCTCCAAAGCAGCCTGTGCGAGGCTATCAGCGTGGGGCTGTGGGTGGCACGTTTGACCGCCTACACAATGCCCACAAGATCTTGCTCAGTGTCGCATGTGTCCTGGCCCAGGAGCAGCTTGTGGTGGGAGTGGCAGATAAAGACTTGTTAAAGAGTAAGTGGGACAGACCCCAGATGAGGGTGGTGGGGTCCCCCCAAACTCCTTGTTCCAACCCATCTCCCATTGTAAGGTTGAGAAAGGTGGGGCCTCCCTTTACTTCTCATCCCTCTTAATGTCATAGTGCCTGGCACTCCGTTGGTGCTAAGGAAATCCTGTTACATGAATGAATGTGGATTCTTGGTGTATTGTCTAGTCACTGCTCAGTCAGTCACCTGTGGTGAAGCCAAGAAATCTGCACTTTTAACAAGTTCACCAGGTGATGAGCCTTCAAGTTTGAGAGCCTGGGATAGATGGATGAGTGAGCTGTAGAAGTTGGAATTCTGGATGTGACCAGTGCCCACCAGCACTGCTAGTCCTCTGGACACATGTCAATTCTTAGAGCTGCCCCCACTTCATCCACCTCTTCCCAATTTAGCCCTTCCTTTTTCTCCTCCTCTCTGGAGGTTTAGGGACACTCTCACCCACACTAAGCCACTTTCTTCCTTCTCAATAAAAACATCTCACTGTTCTGCACTCCTTCCTCAGGCAAGTTGCTCCCTGAGCTGCTCCAACCCTACGCAGAACGTGTGGAACATCTGAGTGAGTTCCTGGTGGACATCAAGCCCTCCTTGACTTTTGATATCATCCCCCTGCTGGACCCCTATGGGCCCGCTGGCTCTGACCCCTCCCTGGAGTTCCTGGTGGTCAGCGAGGAGACCTATCGTGGGGGGATGGCCGTCAACCGCTTCCGCCTTGAGAATGTAACCCCTGAGGGACACTGGTAGAGGGCGTGGATGGGGATGGAGAGGGCCATTGTGGGGGGCTTTTGGAAGTACCATGTCCGCAGAGGAGGGATGAGAGGACTTGGGGTGGTGGGAAGATGCAAGGAGGAACTGGTTCCCAGCTCGCCCTCTGAGATAAGTTCTGTTTTCAGGGTAGGTAGGAATGGATACGGGGGCAAGTTGGGTGTCAAGTATTTGCCCTTATTCATCTCATTCTTCCCTCTCCTCGTCCTTCTTCTTCTCCCCCAGAACCTGGAGGAGCTTGCTTTGTACCAGATCCAGCTTCTGAAGGACCCAAACCACAAGGAAAATGAAGAGGACAAAGTCAGCTCCTCGAGCTTCCGCCAGCGAATGCTAGGAAGCCTACTTCGGCCTCCAGAGGTAAGCCTGCCTGGGGGGACTAAAAATGCTGGAGAGTAGAAACTAAAGGGTTTAGACCTGAGCAGGAACCTGGGGACCCTACTAACTCTGGATTCCCTCTCATCTACCCCTAGAAAAGGCCAGAGCTCCCCCCACATCTCTACGTGATTGGGCTGACAGGCATCAGTGGTTCTGGGAAAAGCTCAGTAGCTCAGCGGCTGAAGGGCCTGGGGGCATTTGTCATAGACAGTGACCGACTGGGCCATCGGGCCTATGCTCCGGGTGGTCCTGCCTACCAGCCTGTTGTGGAAGCCTTTGGAACAGGTACTGAGGAGGGTTGGCGTTAGCTTTAAGTGAGGAGATGGTCTGGCCTCCTTGCTCAATCCTCTCTGTCCTCCAGATATTCTCCACAAAGATGGCATTATCAACAGGAAGGTCCTAGGCAGCCGGGTGTTTGGGAACAAGGTAAACTCCCCCCCCCCCCCAAGGCTCTTCAGCTGCCACTACTAGGCCCAGAGGTGGGAGCTTACTGGACCTCTCTGGTCTGGCCCTGATTGCCAATTTCGACTCATGTGTTCCCAATTTCCCACCTCGGGCTGGCTCCATCTCTGAGGGAAGGTAAACTCTGCCCATGCCCTCTATTCCCCTCCTCAGAAGCAGCTGAAGATACTCACAGATATTATGTGGCCAGTTATCGCCAAGCTGGCCCGGGTGGAGATGGATCAGGCTGTGGCTGAGGGTGAGTTGGAGGAATGATAGGTACATTCCAGGTGGGCAGTTAGCAGATTCTTCCCCTGGGAGCTTCCTTCCCCAACCCAGCCCTCTGTTTTCCTGGGACTTCTGTTTGTCGGCTGTCTGACTTGTAGTAAATGGCAGGGTGGTAACTGGGTTCTCTCTGCTGGTGGTAACTGGGGTCTCTCTGCAGGAAAGCAAGTTTGTGTGATTGATGCCGCCGTGCTTCTTGAGGCTGGCTGGCAGAACATGGTGCATGAGGTGTGGACCGTTGTCATTCCTGAGACTGAGGTACCTGGAGCCCACCCTCACCCTGTCCCCCCTGCAGACTGCATCCTGCTCTGAGCCAGTAGGCTGACTAATGCCTCACCTTGCCCAGGCTGTGCGACGCATTGTGGAGAGGGATGGCCTGAGTGAGGCTGCAGCCCAGAGCCGGCTACAGAGCCAGATGAGTGGGCAGCAGCTCGTGAACCAGAGCCATGTGGTACTGAGCACCTTGTGGGAGCCAGAGGTCACCCAGCACCAGGTGGGTGCTCATGGAAAGGCTGGGTTATGGGAGGGCGTCCTCAGTGGGGCCTTCCTGCCTGACCCTGACCTCTCATTCTCAACATCTGGGCCTACCCAAAGGTGGAGAAAGCCTGGGCCCTCCTGCAGAAGCGCATCCCCAAGATGTTGTCAGGCCCATGACTGACAAGTTCTCTGTGGGGCTAAAGTGGCCCTAGGAGCTGACAAGAGATCCAGTGGTAAGAAGGAATGGGGACCTCGATGTTCACCCAGCTTGGGCCTGGAGGACTCCGCTAAGCTGGGCAGGGCAGGGCTGGGCCCAGTGGACACAGGAAGCCTACCTAGCACGCTGGTGTTTGGCCACCACTGAGGATGCGGCTCGTGAGCAGGCCTCTTGGAGTTCCATCCCACTCTTGTCAGGGTGTCCGTGATACCCGTGGCTGACTGGGGCCAGGGCCAACACTGGAACTTGAAACAATTAAAGGCAAATGTCTCCAGGTGCTTCCTACATGGTGTCTGTGTCCTGCTCCAATGTCTCTCTGGGTATCTTTGGGACTCTTGAGCCGCAAGTGCAGGGCCCACTCCTGAACCGGAAGCTGTCAGTGTGGAGATTAAGAGCATGGCCTTGCAAGCTAGCCAGACTGAGGTCAGTGTTGGCCCCCCTCTGGCTGGCTGTGTGCTTTTGTGTAAGTCACGACTGTCAGGGTACCCATTTTCTAATCTGTAAAGTAGCGAACTTGGCTCACAGGCTCTCTGCAATCGCTCATTCCCCAAGTGTGCCAGATGCCGGGTTAGGTTTGGGGAGCATCCCGCACCAAGCCTGAGGCCTGGAGGATCCCTGAGGCGGCCTGGTCCGCCCTTTGGCAAAGCGCCCAGGGCTGGTAGGGAATGAGGCCTCGCTAGCTTGCTGGGCCGGGCAGTGCGCGTGCGCGCACTTCCACACTATTCGACCGACGCCTGCCTCTGAGGAGACCCGTTCGCGCGCCACCCGAATGCCCACCTGCGGGAAGGCAAGGCGAGCCTGGAAGACGGCCCCTCCGGCGGCCGTCCTGGGCCGCCCCACGCTGCGCACGCGCGCTGCCGCGCCCCGCCCCCTGCCTCGCGCTCATGGTTGGTGGCGCTCGGTCACGTGGGCGGCCTCGCCTCTTCCTCGGGCAGGGGCCGCGGCCTCGGGCTGGTTTCCGGTGTGGCGGTCAGCGATGACGGAGCCTGGCGCCTCGCCCGAGGACCCCTGGGTCAAGGCAAGCCCCTTGGGCGCACACATCGGCGAGGGGCGCGGGGGAGGGGGGGCGGCTCGTGCATGTGAAGGCTTGGAAGACACGGGGGTTGCTTCAGGTCCCCAAAGTCCCCTGCCCCCTTCCCGCTGCCCCCCTCCCTCCCACGGTCCCGGAGCTGCAGCCCCACCCCCACCCCCTGTGCCAGGGCTGGGAGACGGCGACTGAGGCGTGAGCCGAGGCGTTTGGGGATGCGAGGTGGAGGAGCGGGGGCCGATGGGATCACGCAGAAGGGCGTTGCTCCTCGGCCTCGCCAGGCTTGGCTCTCCGCCCCGGGTGTGGGGGCGGTGTGCACACGTGTGCACGCGCCCGCGTAGAGTGAATGGAAGCGCCTTTCCTCAGGGTCGGAGGTCTGATGGACTTCTCCCTTGCTCGGTGCCGCAGGTGGAGTACGCTTACAGCGACAACAGCCTGGACCCCGGTGAGTGCTTCCCTCAGCGCCTTCAGCTCTGGAGCCCTCCACTTGAGTCCCGCCACTCCCTCCTGAGCCCCTGTAGGTCTGGGTGGCTTTGAGCACAGGCCACTACCCCTGAGCCGAATTCCTGTCTTGAGACAGCAAGGGAGGAACTGGAAGACATGCAGGAAGCGTGCCTCAGTGAGCCAGGGGGATTCTGCGCAGACCAGTGGAATCCAGACCAGCGGAGCAGTGTAGACACTAAGCAGGGGAACAAGGCGGTGTGGCATGACACGACAAGCGGGTGACCCATGTGGTTGGCTTTGGGGTTGAAAGAAGTCAGTATTGAAGGATCAGGAGGCCGTTCTGCCCACAGAGGTCAGGGGCCTAGCAATGACACCCCCCCCCACCCTCCAACCATCCCTACCTTTTAGTGACTGAGGTCTCTGTTTTTCAGGGCTTTTTGTAGAAAGCGCCCGCAAGGGGAGTGTAGTGTCCAGAGCTAATAGCATCGGTTCCACCAGTGCCTCTTCCGTCCCCAACACAGGTAGGCACCAGGGGACTCAGATATGCCTACATTGTAGTAGCTTTCCTAGACAGGGAGCCCCAGCCATTTGCCCCGGGGGTGCCAGAGCCTTGGTGCTAGACACAGGGTCTCACCATCACTCACTTCACCAAGGATAGCAATGGTCCATTTGCCATCTCTGAGCACCAGGTTCTTCTCTTTGGGGAAAGGTGGGCTAGCTGGGCCCCACCACTCCCCAGAATGACCTCTCCCTGCCCATCTGAGTAGATGACGAGGACAGCGATTACCATCAGGAGTCCTATAAAGAATCCTACAAGGACCGGCGGCGGCGAGCCCACACTCAGGCTGAACAGAAGAGGAGGGACGCTATCAAGGTGACTGGACCGGCCCTCCATTTTTCAGATTCACTCTCCTGACCCCACCAAATAGTCCTAAGCAGCCTTGGGGCAGCAAGTGTAGTCCCTGGACTTGGACATTTCCCTTCTTCCAGACCCCTATTGCCCTTTCCTTTGTTATGGAAGCTTTGTGCTGTTTTGCTGTAAGCTGAGTTAAGAGCCCCTGTTCCCTCTGCTCTCTCTGCAGAGAGGTTATGATGACCTTCAGACCATCGTCCCCACCTGCCAGCAGCAGGACTTCTCCATTGGCTCCCAGAAGCTCAGCAAAGCCATTGTTCTACAAAAGAGTATGGCCAGGGAGAGTACTGCAAGTGGGTGGAGCCAGTGGGGCTTAGGAGAGCCAGCCTCTCATATGCACTGAGGCCTGGGGGGAGGGGTGTTGGGGGTGTTTTAATGGGAGAACTGGGTATGTGGGAGGGGAAACAAATCAGATTTTTCCTTCTGATTGAGATTTCCTGTGCCCCTGCCCCCAGCCATTGACTACATCCAGTTTCTGCACAAGGAGAAGAAAAAGCAGGAGGAGGAGGTGTCCACTCTACGCAAGGACGTCATGGCCCTAAAGATCATGAAAGTGTAAGGTGGGGAGGGAGACACACAATAAATGAGAAACCAGGACTTCTAGGGTCAACTTCACACCTTCTCTTTGGTGTCCACTCAGAGGCAGAACCCTGGCCCTCAGCAGTAATTTACATAGTCGATAATCCAGAAATGCTATCAGAGAGCGTAGGTTACTTTCTGACCCAGAAGCAGTTGCTGACCGATGTTAAACACATCCCAGAAGCTCTCTGAGAATCCCCTTCCTGGCCTGTACAAAGAATAATCCTGTTACTTCTCCTGGACTGGTGGAGTTGCTGCAGCTACTTAGTCCTGGTCTTCTTGCTTTCAGGAACTATGAACAGATTGTGAAGGCACACCAGGACAACCCCCATGAGGGGGAAGATCAGGTCTCTGACCAGGTCAAGTTCAACGTGTTTCAGGGCATCATGGACTCCCTGTTCCAGTCCTTCAACGCCTCTATCTCTGTGGCCAGCTTCCAGGAGTTGTCGGCCTGTGTCTTCAGTTGGATTGAGGAGCACTGTAAGCCTCAGGTATGGGCAGCAGTGGCCACGGGGGTCTGTGGTCTCACTCCCCTTACGTAAAGGGGCCCAACCATGATTTGTGCAGAAAAGCTCGCAGGTTTCTCGGGAGTGTTTTTATGACTTGAGTGCTCGCTTCCCATTTGCTGTCTTCCGTCACAGCTTCACCTCACAGTGTGCTGAGTGCTCCCTCTTGCCAGCCCAGCTATGGGGCTGTTTAGCCCACATTATGGCTGCGTCAGGCAGAACCCAGTATGTAAACCCCCGTCTCTTGCAGCAGAATTACTATGGGGAAAACTCCTGGCCATCACTTTCAGATACGATAGTTTTGACCAGGTTTTAGTGTCTAGTGGAGTGGGGTTTGCTAGTATCACACCAAGTCTTCTACTTTTGAGACTTGTTATGCTTCTTTCTGAGCCTTAGATCTGAGATTTGCTTGTTTCCCAACCTCTTTATTGTGAAACACTTTAAAGAGACTGCAGAGAATTCTACAGTGGATGCCTAAGTTATACCATAACATGTTCTGTATTTGCTCTTTCACTTATTTACCCATTTCTTCCTTCCTTTCTTCATCCTGATTTGGAGGGACTTCAAAGTAAACTGTAGATAACATTGTTCTCGTGCTTTTTTCGGCTGTCTTCAAAAGAGCACGAGGCACAGGCATGGCCAGGTGGCTCCGAGCTTCCCCTGAGCATGGTATTTCTCTGCTGCCCCTATCAGACCCTACGGGAGATCGTGATAGGCGTCCTGCACCAACTGAAGAACCAGCTTTACTGACCGGCTCTTGGAACCTGCGGAACAGCCAAGAGGGCCCTGAGTCTTGAACTTTGAGTACAGAGCCGCAGGGCTTGGCGATTGGCCTGCGAGGCCCACTGCACACTGGTCAGCAGCTCCTCCTGGGCGTTTGCTCCCCAGGCTGCTATCCTCATTGGGGCTGGGTGTCTTTCTGTGAAAACTCCTAATTTATTATGTTATACTGATCTAAAACGCAAACCTATCCAGTCATCCCCCTCCCCATAGAAGTTCTAGGGATAGAGAGGTCTGCTCTGGGCACCCCAGAGAGTTCTGGCCTTTTCCCTTTTTCTAAGCCTCATATTTCTGCTCATGATCAGCATGTTCGGGAAATACTGTCTGCTGTGTTGGTCTCTTGGGCAACATTTACCCTGAGTTTGACCATTTTGGCAGTAGGTGCATGGGCAGAAAGGAGTAAGAAATTTTCCCACAGCACCAAAGACCGAGAGGCTGCCTCATGCCTCGGTTAGGGCTGCCTGGACAGCCCAAGGTGAGGCCAGGGCTTTCTGGCCTGCTCAGGGCAAGGCTGCCAGGTTCCTGCCCTTACCTCCTGCTCCTTGGCTTCTTCCTCTGCCATGGTCAGAGTGAAGCAACCTGCCTGCTTGCTCTGGCCCCACAGGCAGTAGCACTGCACAGCATAGGCAAGTGTGACACAGTGTCGCATAACTGTTTTTTTTATTTTTGTAAACACCAACAATGCAATTTTGCTAGTTATAATTCTGAAAAATTAACTGGGCCTCAAAACCACTTACAGCCTTTTGATCAAGTGTATCTAAGTCTCTACCACCTCTCAGGGCTACCTGCATTTCTCCCAGGCCTTGGGGTGGCATGAGGGGGTAGAGAACATTCTCTAAAGGCTTCTTGCGAAAGAGTATCCAAGGTGAGGCCTCGGGCTACTTGAATGTTGTGTTGAGTAACCTCTCTTTACTCTTTAGCCTGTTCCTCAGGCTTTCTACTGCCTTTCTCAGGTATGGTATCTGGGAGATTTGATTATCCAGAAGTTAAAATATTTTTATATCAAACTATGTTACAATAAATACTGTCAAATACTCTTGTCGCATTGTTCCAGATTTAAGCAATAAGCACAAGCATCTGAAGCAGGAATGATGAAATGGGCGAATCCACTCAGGACAACCACCCCTCCACCCAGCACCCTGGTGGATGGCCCTGTCCTCACTGCTCTGCTCAAAGCAGGATCAACAAAAGCTGGCAAGGCAGCCAGTCCAGGATACCTCAGTGTTCCCATCCCTGCTCCTTCCAGAGGTCCAACTCCTCAGGGGTCTGGAAGCTTGACATTGTAATCTTCATCTGTTTCTATCCCAACTTCTTCCTGTGGGGCAGGGAGACAAGTGAATGAGACATCAAGGCTTGGACAGAGACCCAGGGAGCACGAAAGGGAGAGAACCACTTACAAAGAATTGCTTCTTGCTCTTGGGGTAGCCTTCAAGGATTGCATCATACAAGTCTGTTGCCTGACAAGAAACAAAACCGCCCCTTTTCAGGTAGGCTGTGCCCAGCACTGTCTGCCAGTTTCATGATACTGGGCAGCAACCATTCCCAGGGCTGCCTGCCTTGGGGCTTCCACACACCTACCATTCTCTTCCGCTTTCTCCACTCCTTGCAGTACTTCTGCCTCTCTCTGTATACCTAGATGGGGAAAGCAGGTTCCTCTAACCAGCTCAGCACCCTGCAGCCACTGGGACTTAACCCCAACCCTTACTCTGATCCTGTACCCCGAATGTCCAAACTCACTTGTTCTTTCTCTTCTGGAGTCACATGGTTGGTGGCTGCTTTGATGTTCTTCAGTCTCTCTGTGTAGCTGGCACACTCCTTCTTCAACTCCTGGATCTCTTTCTGCATCTCCGGCGTGGTCAGGGTGTTAGTTAGCTCCTTCAGCTCTGAAACATCTCCTATGGTCACTTGCTACTCCTGAGAAAAGGGTTCTGTCTTCCCAGTGGGTACACCCTGAGGTAGGAGACCAGGCCTCCACCTAGCCTCGGAATGGGTTCCATATTCTGGAAATGGTCAGGGGAGACTAAGGCTTACAGAAACAGCAACTTGGTTTTCTCCTCCATCTACTAGCAGTGGTGGGGTGTGAGGTTGAGCAGACGTAGGAGAAGCCATTTAAAGAAGCAGGAGTAAAGGGGAGTGTGGGAATGCAACACTGGCAATCACAACAGGGAAAGCAAATGTAGGTCCTGCCCATTGGTATTAAAAAACTATGAGACATTTCTTTTAATGTAAGGCCTATGGCAGCCCAGCAAAGGAATCTTCCTGCAACAAGACAACACTGCAGTTGACAAAGCGCTCATTTAGCAGTTCATAACCTCCAGGCTGACCTGACCTAGGGGCACCTTCCCGGGTGTCCCAGTCCTACCAGCCTCCATGTGGCGGCAGCTCTGCTGCAGGCTCTGCACCTTCGCCGTGAGGGCCACGATCTTGGCGTCCAGACTCTGGAGGTCAGCATCACTCACTGTGTCAAACTGGTCCTGCCAGGCAAGTGGGAAAACAGAAGTGGGGTAAAGTGAGGCACAAGCTAGAAACTGGGAAGGCAACAATTACATGAATTTGGGACTCCCCAACCCCCCAGAAAACCTAGGAACACAGCAGGACAGGACTGTTGAGCAACCATTCCGTTCAGTACCAATAAAAAAGTATAACAGAAAGGCTGAGACCTGATGCCTATCTTCAAGGAGCTTCTAGGTGGGCAGGACACTGACCAGCACAAAATTACCTTTGAGTTTAGTGGTAAAGCCACTCCTGGGCTGAAGGAGTAAAGGAACACTCTCAAGGCAGCAACTCCTAAATTATGGACTCCCATAGTGGGAGATACTGGATAGGTGACGAGGCATGACGGGATGGAGTAGAAGTTGGGTGCTCCTGTGAGGGGCCAGCTACTAACAGCGATCCCATTGGGGTCTTGTCAGTTCATGATGAAAAGTATAGGTTAGAAAGGGTGCAGGTGCCTGCCAGGGCAGGTGGGCTTCACATCTAAGCAAGGTGAACTCTTTTTAGGAGCAGAAGTCTGCAAGTGAAATCCTGCCAGGTGTTTCTGAAGGCATGGCTCTCCAGTGATGGACTTAAGTAGTGACAGTTGTGTAACTGACAGGAGACCCCCCCCACCTGCAGAGAATTAAAAAACTGCCCCTTTAAAAGCAGAAAAGTCAGCCAGCTTCTGTAGGAGAGCTTCAAGGGAGTAATAATATGATGAAACCTACTTTAGGAAAATTAGTCTCCACAGTGGTTTAGTTTAGTGAATAAGTAACATCTATTAGGGGTTAAGCACCTGTGGACATTCTGAATTAGGGAAGATGAGAGCAAAGGGTCAGCCTTAGATGAGCTTCAGTGAGGGATACAAGTAAACAACTGGATACAGCATGCTTCAGAGTATTCAGGGAAGGTTTTTGGAGAAGGTGATGCTGGAGTGAAATCCTGAAAGACGAGCGAAGAGAAAAAAAGACAACTCCAGGCAGGGGAGGCTAATGAACAAAGGCGCCATTTAAGGGCTCTAGGACTGACGGATGGAGGAAGCCGGGGCAAACCTCCCCATGCCTTTCACCTGTGCCAGGGGCACTAGAGACTTTAATAGGGAAGTATTTGTCTTCCTATGGTCATCTGGCCGCAGTGTTTCAGACATGTCCGAGGCCAGGAGATGTTGGGAGGGTGTCCACGGGCGCCTGAACAGGCGCTGGAAAGATGACGTAGTTAATGGGAAAAGTAGAGTCAAGAAGAGGAAAATCGTCTGGCCCTGATGACTGACTAGACAAGTGAGGGAAGGGAGATGAGGAGGCTTCCCAGGCTCTGGCTGGGGTGAAGACGAGTGGGGAGCCAGTTCAGAGGGACAGATGAGGAGTTCTACTTTGGGGGTGCTGATTCTGAAGAGTCTGAGGCACCCAGGTGGAGATAGCTTCCAGGGCCTACGTGTCGGGAGGGAACTGGAAACAGAAAATCATGTTGTAGGTGGTGCCTTCCAGGACAAATAGACCCTGGTAGCAACAATTCAGGGTCTTCTGTCATCCATATTTCAAATCTGTTAGTTTTAGGAGGTTCAGGTCACCGCGGGGGGAGAGGGAGCACTGACTTAAAGACAGTCCGAGGTCTCGTTAGTGGACCTAACACAGGTGCGGTTCACTGGGGGCCTCAACTCTCCCACACAATTCGAACTGGGACCAGGGCCTGACTGGCCCGACGTCGGACTCGCACACAGTAGAATCTGCGCGAGCTTTCCTCACCTGGTCGGCAAAATAGATCTTCTGCTTGCCGTACATCTTCTCTTTGATCTTGCCCTGTTGGGCCAGTTGCTCCAGCGCCTTCACCACCGCCTGTGGGAGGGAAGGGGCGGGACCTTGGAAGGGTGGCTCTGGGCGCCCGGCAGGGGGAGTTCCCGCGGGCGGCCAGTCCCAGGACGCCCGGGCCAGCAGGGCAGCCCGCAGAGGCAGGACCCAGGCTGACCCGCGGGCGGGGAGGAATCCCGGGGGGTCCTCACCGCCTTGCCCAGCCCGTGTTCCCGCTGGAGGTTCCCGAACACGTCCTGGGCGCTGTAGGGACGGTTCTGCTCCTGCAGGTACCTCAGGAGGATCCGCGGGGCTACGGAGAGACGCGGCAGGGAAGAGGGTCGCCCAACGCCCCCTCACCAGCCCCCTCCCGGGTCTCCCCCTCATCCAAAACCCAGTTACCTCCTGCCGCAGCTTCCGCCCGGCCTTTACTCATGGTCTTTCCCGCCGCTAAACTGAGGGCCGGAAGTGCCCGTTGCTCGGACAACGGCTCCTTCCGGCGCCGCGGCGGGGCCGGCGGGGCTCAGGCGTTGCCGGCTGGAGGGGGTCGCCTTCGCGGGGGGCGAAACGACCCTGCCGGGACACCGTAGCTCCAGGGTCTGCGCCGAGGCGGGCGCCCGCTTCGAACTCCTCTTCCTCCGCTGCACCCCGCGCGGCGGCGCTTGGAGACCCGAGCCCGCGGCGGCTGGGCGCTCGCGACCCTGGGAGGCGGGGCTCCGACGGGGTCGGCTCCCGCCGGGCCGGCCACTTGCTCAAGGTCACAGGGCTAGTGGCCCGCAGGACGTGTCCAGCCCCACGGCCCAGTGCTTTTCGTCGGGCATCCTTATCGTTGTCGAACAGGGAGGAGCGCAGCTTGCGAGCGGGGGAAGGCTGCGGGGAAAGCGCCAGCACGCCCGCTAGAGGCGCCCGGCGAGAGCCTCCCGCTACCCTTCCTGCTGCGCCTACCGAGCTTCGCACACAGGGGGCGCTGGACACATGCCCCCTGGCCGCGCAGGCAAGGAGGGCTGGAAGGCGGCCACTCAAGCCACAGCGCTTAAGTCAGCGCCAGGGCAACACCTGGCAGGTGCTTTTTTCACTCCTGCCTGCAGTGACCATTGCAACAAGCCTGAAATAAGTATTTCTAGTATCTGAGGTTAGTTGAAGGCCACAGAGCAGCTGTCCCTGCAGCTCAGATGATGCAGAGGAACAACAGCACGGCGCTACTTTTTAAAGCCTTTTATCTAAAGGCTAGTTAAGTCTTTGAAACGTGTATTGTCACCACTTAGGGGGCAGTATTAATTAGAAATGGTAGAACTACAGAAGAGATGCCAGCCAATAGTGCCTGGCGCTAACATTCACTTCTCTTGTGGTCAGGTGACCTCTTACCACGGTAACTATTTTGGCCATCACAAAAGAAAAATACAAGGGATGGGCAGGTAGGCCGCTCTCACCTGGTCTTTCTCTTTTGAGGCTGTGGCTTTCTCAGTTTATCACATCTCAATTAGTAAGATTTTTCAAGGGCAGGACATCATTCAACATCAGTCTCTTAAAGGTTGTTCTCATACCAAGATTTATTTCGCAGCATCCCTCCCTCCCCACCCCCATCCTAATTCACAGTGGAGGACTAAGGAGATTCAAACACGATCCCCCAGGTACAAGAAACACCTTCCAAAGATTTTGTTCTCCTCCCTTCCTTCTCTCTTGTCAACTGCCAAAGCCTGAAGCTACACACTCATGCAAACACATAAAACCCACTACTTTCCCACAGCTCCCTTCTTCCCCCCCACATCAGAGCTCATCCCTAAGTCATCTGGGCTCTGAGGCGGAGGTATCCAGTCTGTCTGACAACTCCAGAGGCCATTACCCTATCCTTCACACACAGTGACTAAAACAAGCAGCTAACTCTTCTGCCTTCTCACCATTAACTGTTTTCACCTCCCGGCCTCTGCCTTGTCCAGCATCCAAGAGTGAACATGTTAGCACACCCTGCACCTGCAGCACATGAAAATGGGCTCTGTTCAGCACCCCTCACCCAGGTACGGGGGTGTTTGGGGAGTGGTCCCTGAGGATCAGTAAAGGGTCAATGCAGAGGGAGAGCGGGATAAAAGAGTCTGACTTGAGTTCTGATTGGGGAGGCTAAGAGGCTCTAGGCTGGCAAGGGTTAAAACTAATTACCACTTTTTATTTTTGTCTCACTTGATTTTACTAGAAGGTAGTGGAACAGACACACTCCTCCACCCATGATAGCTATTTTCTTGCAACTGGGCTCATCCTTGGAGACCCAGGGAAGTTGGGAAGCACTTTATAAAAGTATTAATGGAGCTGAACAGGGAATAAGAAGAGCTGGTGGCTCCTGGGATGAATGCCACTGAGCTATCTATAAAGTGCTACTTTGACACCCCCCGTGGAATTATTGCTTCTCCAGAGGAGGAGCAGAGGCAGGAACAGAATATGGGAATGGGTATGGTATTGCTTTGCTCATTGCTCAGGCTTATGATCAAAGGAAGCCAGGGTCAGCAGCACCAAAGAGAACCGGGCAGCTGCAGAGGACTCAGTGAGACTTTGGATACAGAGGCACTCACTCTCCTAACCAGCTGACCCTGAGGCTCAAGGCAACGCAGAAGCGGCTCACTCCACAACATGTTCACATTTCTTAAATTTCACTAGCACTATTTTGGAATAGCCTCAAGAAACAAGGAGGAACACAGTAGGAGGAAGCAGCCCTGCTCTGCAGAACCAGAAGACAAGCGTGTTGGAAAACAAAAAAAAATCAAGGCTGAGCACGGAAGAGGATGACCATGGAAGTCTTCTGACTGCTGCCTGACTTTCAGAGCTCTGAAGACAGGAGGAAGGAGAGGAAGGGTTCTTCTGTCACTGAGGACCCCCAAGCACCCACACCTAGAAGCAAACAGCAGCACCCCCTCAAAGGGGAAACAGTGCCCCTGACTACTTTGTTCCCCAGAAGTACCATCCTGATGGAGAGCCGCCTCCTGCAAGGGAGCACACACTCACTTCTGGGACTGAGCTCAGACGCGGCGTCGGGCTGGTGGCAGGGGAGTGTGCTCTCAGCAGGCCTCTGAGGATCAACCAGAACACCCAGCATACAAATATAATTCAGGGGATGGGACCTGGGTTCTTCCCTTGCCCCTTCACCTTATGTGGGATGGGGAGGAAAAAACACCTAAACTCCGTGACCCCAATAGGAGTTTCTGCCTCAATGGCTCCTGGAACTGGCAGGGTCTAGCTGATTCAGCTCTGACTGGTCCAGAAGTTCAAAGTCATCCCCCTCAGCATCTGTGTCCAGGTCAGAACTGGGGGCCTGGAGGAAGCTTCTTGTTGCTCTCCGAGGAAGTGGGCCAGAAGGGCCTGTCTGAGAGGCCCCTGACAGGGCCAGCTGGATCATGCTCTGTGAGACAAGGCTGGCGAGGTTGCTGGTGAGGTTAGACCCTGTAGGCAGGGCACTAAGCAGGAGCTCTGGCAGTGCAGCTTCATCCCGACTGGCAGGGACTGCCTGAGGCTCTTCAGCTCCTGGTGGGTGACGGTACGTCAAGCTGGGCATCCCAATGCTGGTGTCATCCTCGTCGTCCAGGCCGGCTGCATCCACGTTAATGGACGGGAAATCTGGAAGGTCTCTTGCAAAGGATTCCTCTGGATCACTGTGACCATCTAGATCTGGAAAAACAGGGATGTCTGAGACAAGGCAGCTGCCTCACCTTTTCTGTGCCCCAGCCCCACAAAATCAGGCCCCTGTAATCAGTTTTCCACCCAGGATTTCTCATAAAGCAAGACTTGTGGGACCGTTAGCTTTTCTCCTTACATAAGATTGTGGCATCTGCTGGCCAAAGAACCTCCCTTCCTCTCCTATACGCCCAATGAAGTTACCAAGGGCTAAGAAGTTTAAGAAGAGCAGAAGGACCATGCTGACCACCGCCACACCCCAAGGCCGCTCTGCCCAGGAAACAGGAGAGGAGCAGGCACCAGTGTCCTTCTGCCCAGGGAAGCTGAGACAACAAGAGCCATAATCAGCTCAGATGTGAGTCCCCTCACCTTCAGAGCCTTCTGTTAGAGGTGTCTGGCCTCTTGAAAGGTTGAATGTGCCATTGTCTGTACAGGAGACCTCAGCATCCGAGTGCTCAGAATCTGTGATGGCCAATTCCCTGGCAACAGTAGAATCATCCAGCTTAGGAAAAGAAAAGACCGACAAGCCTGAAGAAATAATGTGATTAGGAACCAGGGAATCCCCCAGTGACAGCTTTACTAGTGAGCTAGCCCTGGAGATTGAGCTAAGCTAGCAGTGAAACCTGGCCGGGATGGGGATTCTAGTCAAAGCTGGCCCCTTTCAGGCTGCTCCCCAAGGAAAACACCCTTATTTATCAATCTCGAGTACAGCAAGGAAAGCCGTCTTGGCACCAACTAGCCATTTACTGTTGGCCAACAGCTGATCCCGAGACTACTTTTCATAGGTGGCCAGGAGGATACACACACTGCCCAACCTAAAGTGGACTGGACTATTCCAAAGTACAGCACTCCAGTCCAGAAGCTCTGCCATGGTGGGAGGGGTTAAAAGGAGACAAGGAAGAGGCTTTGCTGGTCCCCAGGCTCAAGCTGAGATCTAGGTACAAAGGTCCGAACAGAACACTAGCTTTCTTCTCACTGCTCGGGGAGGTTGCACCATGGTCCTTGGAGAGCCCATAATGAAACTGAAAACCTGGTTTTGTGAGGTGCCAGATGATTAAAGAGGAGCGATAGAAAAAGCGGCCGGTGGCGCAGATACCTGAGGACAGAAGGCAGCAAGCTCCTCCTCACTGTCACTGTGGCCGTCCGCGGCGCGTTCTGGGTGCACAGCTCTGCGTCGCACTATGTGGGAAGAGCAGAGGGTCTTCTTGATGTCTTCCTCTAAGGGGAGCCCCACCCTCTTTGGGTTTCAAAGGCATAAAGTAACCTAAAGAACCCTCCTGAATATGGTGCTAAGACTAGATAACAATGCCTGAGGGCCAGGCTGCTTGCTGAGCCTCGGAGGCAAAGTAGGCTGATACCCCCGGAGAGAAAGACCTCTCTTCCATCAGCCCTCCCGCCGCAACCCTCATGTAATTTTGTCCTGGTCAAATGATCAGCTCCCAGGCCTGCTAACAACTCTCAGGAAATTTGCAGGGCAGGCAGGCTGTCAAGGAGGCAAGTAGATGCTGTCACAGAGAGGGCAAAGGGAGACACCCCACCACCCCACCTAGGTCACCCCAGGCTCTGAGCTCTGACTAAACTGGCCCTCGGGGAGCTGGACCTTGGTAACCATGTCTAGAGCTCTCTGAAGGCCACTTCTAATGAAGCACCGAACCTGACCAGACCACTAAGCAGGAAAAGGCCCCACAACTGCATCTGTGTGCTGGAGGCTGCCGGGATAGTGCATGCCGGCCTTCTGGCACATTCTGAGTCACCTCAGGAAAGCGGCTGTCAGCAGTGAAGAGAGGCCTGGCTTAGGAGTGAAAAGACCTGCTCTGCTATATTGACTGTAAGCTTCACTTTCCTCAGTGAAAAAGGATGATAACACCTGATCAAGGCACTTGTAAAAGTTAAACAAAATGATGTAGGCAGAGCAGCCTGCACATTGAAGGTGCTAGCAAAACATGGGAAAGGAGCTAATACCAGTGCTTATCTTCATTGGCTTTTATTCACCTTGGGAGAACTTTTCTTAGATCTTTTTAAAATGGACAATCCAGAAATCCAAACGGGAAAAACTGGTAAGCCTGGACAGATTTCCCTGGAACAGAGTATCATTTTTACCTACGCACACACCCCTACACACCTCCCTTCTCCATTTCTGAGGATCTAGCCATTATGTCAGGCCTACTTTTGACCTGAGAAGGCTTCTCCTCTTCCCCAAATGGAAGGACGCCTCCCTGTGACACTTACATTGTCTCTCTCTCTGCTTGGACATCATGTAACCACGGACACTGAAATCCAGCCGCTGCAGAGCTGGCTTCAGCCGTACGTACGCCCGATCCCACAGCCGGTGGTACACAGCAAGGGGCCACGTCATGACAGCAACAACTGAGAGGAGAAGTGGGAAACAGTAGTGGAAACAGGCAGGGCTGCCTACAAGGGTCAAGCTGTCCCTCTGCCAGCACGCACGCCCTCAGGGCTTGGAGGCCAAGTGCAGAACAAGTCTGGGTACTTCTGGGGGCCATCTTCCCTGGTCTCCCCTATTACATGAGGGGCCTGGGAGGGCAGGGACTTCTGCCGTGACCTACAGGCAACAGAGCATGTTGCCGAGAGATGGACAATAGAACAGCAGTGTGTCACTTGCCTGTGCGTGTCACTGAGCCACAAACAAGGCCAGATGGTGACACCACCTCAGACACTAATCACCTGAGATTCTCATATACAAGGGCCGCTGTCATAACTGTTCAGCTCCTCAGGCACCATGTACGCAAAATTCATGCCAACAGAAGTAACTAACTTTACAAAAATGTGCTCCATAGGGGAAAAAAAGTACTCCAGGGTAAACAGAACCCATAGATGATCCACTGAGAGTTATGTTCCACTGTTGCACAATACAAGGCTCTAAAATTCCTCTCCTTAAGTCAGGGCATATAGCTCTTTACCGTGGAAAATACAATATATTGAAATGTTAGTGGATCTTCACCAATTTCTAAAACTGCCTTGGTATGTGGGAAGCCTGCTAGAGGTCTAAAGAAAGGCATTTTTATGACACAAAACAGGGCATGAAAATATTGAAATTTTATTTCCTGGAGAACCAAACTGTAAGTCTTTCTACCCAGGTTAGCTGTGGCTGGAAAGTCAATGGCAGGGGGAGTTCTCGGGTCAGGTGTACGCCACACTTACGCATTAAGTAGGACAGCAGGAGCCCGGGGATGTATCGGCCCAACACTGCCAAGAAGGTCAGTACCCCACAGGTCAGCAAGCAGAACTGGGGGAGGCAGGAAGCAGCATTAACTTTCTACCACATGGCAGGAGACGGAGTGAGATAGGAGGGAGCAAAGTAGAGATGTGATCTAAATAATTCTTTGTGCTCTACGGATCAAGCGTATCAGAATGGCAGGTGGAGCTAGCCACTTTTATATCCCATAGTGGTGATCTGTTTGGAAGAGGCTGATGCCATTTCTATTCATTCCATTCTATTCATTTCTATTACGGTTAACCTTGTAAGCCTGTACCTTTCATGCTGGAAAATTGGTTTGAACAGGATTTAGCCAAAAATTCTCTCTGAAAGCCAAGTGATGGGTTTTTTAAGTCAAAGTAAAAAAATTAAAAAACCCAACCACCTACCGCATGTTTAACATGACACAGGACGCACACAAGCAAGCCTCTTTCCCACCTCGGGCAGGAGGGTGACCCAGTCTCAGTGGCAAGGGCACCACGGGAGGAGCCCTCGAGCTCGTGCCTCAGGCCCAGCGGCTGGTCAGAAGCCCCTTCCTACACCTCCCTTTTGTCTCCACAAACACCATGGTCTTTTCTTTCTTAAACGAGGAGATGCAGTAAAACAGTTGTTTGAGTTTAGCATAAACTGCGAAGCCAGGAGTGAAACTGAAATAGGGGAGTCTTACCTTGCCTGGGTTTTGCTTTTTGAAAAGCAAAAGGTTCCTTATGAAAATGGTCCCACTAACCCAGACTTCTGCTACGTGGTGGCAGAGCTCGGGCACGCTGAGCAACCGCGGGTGCACAAAGCCCCAGCTACGGGAGAAAGAAGGGGGAGCCGTGAAAGGAGGTGTCGAGGGATTCCCTCACCTTGCTGGTGGCAGCCAGCGCTTCCGGGTAAGCAGGGCTGGGGAGTGGCCGTCCTAGGGCTCAGAGGTGAAGCCTGACTTTCTTCTTGGCTCACCAGTTGCAACTTGAATTTAGAGACTAGGAGGGCAAACTTGTTCTGACAGCTCCACCCTAAAGCACGCAGCCGAGCCCACGTGTGTCAACCTGCCACCAGCTCCGAGGCCCTCTGTGCTCAGAGACATCCTCCCTGCACTCAGCTGCTGTTCGCTAGGGTTGCAATCTAGGGGTAAAAGTAAAGCAGCCTGACACCACTGCTGCTGAGGGAAGGCAACGGTGGGTGTGCCCCTCAGGGAGAAAAGAAAGCCAAATCAAAGTACACCACAGCAGAAAAAAACTCCTTGGACCAAACACATGGGGTGAATGAACTGAGAGATGAAAGCAGGAGCTGTGAGACACAGGAGGAATCTTTGGCTTGAGGATGCCAGAAACCAGTGCGTTTTCTGACCAAGACTTTTACCAAATGACCTGTAATAAAAACCAGAAGACAAATGAACTAAGTGGCCACAAAACTGTCTTACTAGGACTGAATAGTGCAGTTATTCCCTGGCATGTAAAGCTCCGGGCTCCTGGAATGCTGCATTTTCAGAGACTTCTCTTGGAATATCACATGGCATTAGCCATCTCAACCAATTTGCTGCCTGAACTTCAGGAACTGTTAAAATGATTATTGGGAACAGACTAGGTTCTCAGCTTATACTCTGTCCAGAGCAGGAGGTTAATAACATGTAACCAGAATATTACAACAAGAGAATCAATCAGAGCAACAAAAAAGGGACTGAATTAGTGTTCCATACCTTTCATTGTCTAATGCGTCAGGTCTTGGCACTACAATATTAAAACAAACACCAGTATTAGTTGGTAGAGAAAATTAAACACAAAAATGTTAGACTGTTGGGCTGAAAGCCCAAGTTTTAATAGGTTTGGGGGGAAATAAACAGTAACAGTCAACAAAAGGGAAACATCATGTCATACTGCCAGAGTTAGGGCCACAGCAAAGGGAAGGATGGCCCTCGCCTGCTCCTTTCTCTATGGGGGCGGGGCGGGGGGCGCCAGGGGGAGATCCAAAGGACCATCAAGGCCCCTTCTAATCATGATTGCTAAGAACCAAGGTCCACACCAAAAAGTGGCCCATCCCATCCCTCAAGTACACGTGGGCTGCTCACATTCATCACTGCGCTAGGCTACTGCAGCATGTTATTTTAACTATAACAGCCCTAGAAATCTGCCTATTCTCTTTAAAAGGAGACCCATTAACAACAATGAATGATACAGTCTGCTGACATTTTCATAAGACAGGTGGATAAGCTACACAATTCCCTTAAATCTCTGCCAAATAATATAGGAATGTATTTAAAGGCTGTTCACTCTAGGTAGCATCTGCAAGTAATTCAAAATTAACCCATCCAAACACCTCACTTTTCCTCCTTCTCATGCCCTACCCAAACTCCCCTGCCTGACACTGCCTGAATCTGCTAATTGTAATGCTATTCTCCTACTCTCCAGAACTTGAAACCAAATTCTGCTTTTATGCCTTATTCTTCTAACACTACTTACTCTTCTGTGCCTCCCTTCTTCACAGCGCTTTAAATCATCCTGTTTCCAGACCCCTCTGTGACTGGTTCTCACACAGATCCTGCAACAGTCTCCTAACAGGTAGGTGTCCCTCCTTTCCCCTTTTCTCCTTCCATGTGGTCCTGTAGAATGCTACCAAATTAATCTTTCATATTATCTAAACACACAATTCTAACAAAAATCTTCAATGATGAGCTACCACCTGTAAGATAAAGTCTAAATTTCAAATGACCATTTAAAAGAAATTTCTAAGAGGCATCTTTGTTAAAGATGTAGCACCCAATGAGGTTTTTTGTTTGTTTGTTTGTTTTTTTAAATATAAGGACTACTTATTCCTTAGGCCAGTTACAAGGGGACTACTTATTCCTTAGGCCAGTTACAAGGGCAAGAATATCTCAGATAATGGCTACAGATTTCCTAGCTTTCATGACAATGGGGAGGGCAGAACTCAGATCTAAGTCCCAGATGGGGCACTCGCCCTTGAAGTGTCAACTGATGCAGACACACAAGTTTTCAGGGCTCCATAAACCCTCACAGACATCAAAAGGTACTCAGGGCTCCACAAACCCCTAAAACTAAAAGTAAGCATTATAGAAAAGCCCATTTCCAGTTCAGATTGTTCTAAATGCTACCAATTTACCTCTTATTTCCGGCCAGATTTTGCTCTTCCATTGATCTATACACACAATGATCATAGAGCTGAACGCAACCAAAAAGATAAGACGAAGGGATGTCAGTGCAAAGAACCTATAGAGAAGGAAAAACAGAAGATCATTATCCAATTATACCAATGTCAGAAAGGACTACATGCGCACTGGAGGCTCCGGGGAAACAATGTAAGCCCTTGTTATACAGATTGAGTGAACTGCTTAAAATTTCTGGACTTCAGCTACTTTACTTACCAGGTAAAGGTAACAATTTGCTTCTGCAAAGGCAGGAGGCTAAACAAATAGCCTCTTAAAGCCCCCTCAGCTTTTAAGACTGTGATTCTACCAATTTCAGGGAGAATTCATTCTTCATAACAAATTATGATGAAAGCACACACCTTTCTACAATGTCAGGCCTTAGGGTAGAGCATACTGACAGAAATGTTTTAAAGAGAATTTAACTCAATTAGATAACCTTTTACAGATAAAGGAATTGAGACCCAGTGAAGTAAAATGACTTGGCCAAGGTCACATAGAAAGTTAGCCAGTTCTTCAGAATTAACAACTATCTTTCTCAACCTTTTCTAAAAAATTGGAGAACACATCTTGATGAGGCCAGCCTCAATGATACCAAAGCCTGACAATACTACAAGAAAGTCACCGACTGTATAAAGTGTGAAGATAGACACATCTGTATGAAGATGGATATACTCTATGAAGATAGACCCAGCAAGTCCAGAATAAAGTACTAGCAAACTGAAGTTAGCACCATATTAAAAGGATTATATGTCATGACCAATTTATGGGAAGTATTCCATGAATTTAAGTTAAATTTATTGAAATTTATTTATTGCAAAGCGGTTAAACATACAAAGAACAAATCTATCACATTAATAAAGGAACAATTAGTTCTAACTGAAAGTCAACAATAAATAGATATTTATACATAATCTTGGAACTGAACACTGACAACACATCTGACGACATCAAAGAATTTGTTAATTTTTTAGGTACAATGTTACAGAAGTTGTGTTTTTAAAGAGTGACTATCTTTCAGAGATACAAGCTAAAATACTTTGAAATGAAATAATGTCTGCAGTATAGGTCAAAATAATAGTTTGGCAGGGGGAAAGGTCTGAAAGAAGATGAAACCAGACTGACCATGAGTTAGTGACCATGCTAAAGTGGAGTGATGAGTGTATGGATTTTTTAAATTTTTTTTTTAAGATTTATTTATTTGTACATACAGAACTGGGGTACAGGCCAGAGGCACAGGGGCAGCGAGAGGCTTCACCAGAGACAGAGTAAGGAGCAGACAGATCAACAAAGTACACTGCTGAGGGGAGCAGCGGGCGGGTCAGGAGAGGTCTGCCAGGCCATGTGGTCACCTCCAGGCAGGTGGGAATCGAACTCATGCAGAAGTGGTTTCAGCTTCTGTGCTGTGCTTTAACCCGCTGCACCACCAGGGAGGGCCAAGATGTATTTATTTATGCGTACAAAAACTGAGGTGTAGGCCAGAGGTGTGTGTGTGGGGGGGGGTGGGAGCGAATTCACCAGAGACAGAGTGGGGAACAGAACATGCAGATCTACTGAAACACACTGCTGAGGGGAGCAGTGGACAAAAGGTAAGTCTGCTGTGCCAGGTGGGTCAGCTCTCTGGCCATGGATTGAACTTGTGCTGCAGGGCTGCTGGTAGCTTCACAGTGCTGTGCTTTCACCCCTTGCGCCACGAAGGAGACCTGAATTCTTTGTTTGTACTATTCTCTCTACTTCTGTACATATCTAAAATCTTTCACAATAAAATATTTCAGTGAATCTTCTATTACACCATCCTAAAACCTCAACGGTGGTGCAGAACACTTGTGGTTGTGTCAACCAAGAAGCTGAGTTTACCAGACTGTGTGGAAGCAGAGAAATTCTAAATAAGCATATAGGAAATCTTAAGTAATTTGATCAAGTAAACTGAGTCTAAGAATACATATGGACTTGTATTTTCTTTTAAAAAAAAAAAAAGATTTATTTAGTCATATAGAACTGGGGTACAGGCCAGAGATGCAAAGGGTAAGAGGATTCACCAGAGACAGAGCGGGGAGCAGAACAGGCAGATCGACGGAGTACACTGCTGAGGAGAGCAGCGGGCGGGTCAGGAGAGGTCTGCCACACCATGTGGATCTCCTCGGGGCAGGCGGGAATCGAACTCATGTGGAGGTGGCTTAAGCTTCTTAGTACTGTGCTTTAACCTGTTGCACCACCAGCGAGGGCCTGGACTTGTATTTTCTGTGTTTTTTAAACTTAAAAAATATTCTACTAACTCATTTATATTGTATTTTACAAGAGTCCTGATTTGCAACATATTAGGGAAAACATATCTCTAGTCTTTCACCACAGATGGTTTGAAAAACACTGTTCTAAGATCCAGAAGAAATACACCCCCCCGCAAAGCCAAATACATCCCAGAGGTGGGTCAGCAGGGCAGTAAAACTCGGCTGTTAGACTGGCTTGAGTTTGAGTCTCTGAACAGTCACTCACTCTTAGTCATGTGACCTTGAATAAATTACCTTAATCGCTCTGCAAGCCTCAATTTCATCCGTATGTGATGTTACCCATTACAAATCTTACAGAACTGTTTGTAGGTATCAAAACAGCATACGTAACCCCTATAAAAATATCACATTTGATTTTGCTAGAAAGCCAAGAAAAAAAAATACAAGGTATAACACATAATTCTTCTTAATTTTACTAATAGGATTGTTATCACAGCAACCAAACAGGGTAAAGATGACCAAGGGACGGTTGTAAATGACCTCTTCTCAATTCAACACATGATCTAGTGACGGTATAATCATAGAACAATACTATCAGTATAATCGCTCTCATAATTTTTTAAAGCTTTATCTGTGGGTATGTATGAGTATGTATATACATACAGGAACTTTAATTTTTGTTTCTAGACACTTTCGTACTTTATTTTCAATAAACATAAATCCATGTATGTAATTTTAAAAACTACACAGAGAATGAGGGATAGAAGAGACAAGGAAGGACTCAAATTCAGTCATCAATGACAACCCTATTCCCATTTTTCCACCCTGCCACTTAAGGGATATTGTAATTATATGTGCAATTAAAGAATGAAAGCTGCTTAGCAGAAATAAGCCTTTAGAGTTGCCATAGGCCATTAATCTCCTCACTAAGCAGTTCATCCCAACAAACAAGCAAATTTAACAAGGCCAAGGATAAGGACTAAAAAGCGTCCTCCCCAGTGTGGCTGCTTCCCAGTGCGTCCTGCAGCATGTGGAGGCTGCTGTTTTCTCGGGAGTACTTGAGGGTGCTCTCCGGGGAGGCAATCCAGACTGTCTGCATCTTCCACTTCCCAGAGCGTGGTCACTAACACAAATATAAACTGGGGTGAGGAAAGGACATTCCGCTTTTCTAAGCAAACTCAGTTTTCCAAAGGAGCCGGCAATAAAAATATTACGTTAAGACCCAGACTACCTTAGTAGCCTGCTGTGGCCCCACCTTCCTTTCTCATAAACTGTGCTTTTTTTTTTTTTTTTTTAAGATTTAATTATTTGTTCATACAGAACTGGGGTACAGGCCAGAGGCTCAGGGGCGGTGAGAGGCTTCACCAGAGACAGAGTGGGGAGCAGAACAGGCAGATCAACGAAGTGCACTGCTGAGGGGAGCAGCGGGCGGGTCAGGAGAGGCCTGCTGTGCCATGTGGTCACCTCCGGGGCAGGTGGGAATCGAACTCATGTGGAAGCGGCTTTAGATTCTCAGTGTTGTGCTTTAACCCGCTGCGCCACAAGGGAGGGCCATAAACTGTGCTTTAATTCAACACGGAGCGCCTACTACACACTCAAGTCTTATGGTGAACAGCCCAGTTACAGAAAAGAGACACAGACCCTACTCCCAAGTGTATTTGTTCATGTGTGTTCACCATTGACAGGACAAGATGATGATAAAAAGAGAACACCAAAGTGAGATCTGAAAGGTGTTAGAAAACAGAGCAAAAAGGTGTGGGAGAGAACATTCAGATAGAGAAAGGTCAGCTAGCAGGACTAATTTAAGGAACTTGTAATGTAAGGAACTATAAGCAGCCATATAGAACCCAGCCATAAGGAACAGAGGGAGGGGTTAAGGATGGCAGGGGGCAGGAGTCAACTCCTTAACGGCCTTTTCTAACAAAGAGTACTAGATTTTACCCTGGAGATGAAGGTAAATCAGAAGCGTTTTAGAAAACCTGAGTCTATGAAGAAGGGTATACCTATAAACATATTTTGAACAAGATGAATCCTGGCCCATAAATCTATCTTAGGAGGCCTTATTTACCCTTTCCTTAAACAAGTCACTGAAGAACTTCAGGGGAAGAAAGTGGTGGTATAGAATTTCTTGGAAAAAATGGCATTTTCCAGATAGAGAGAAACTTAATGAGAAGCTCATCTCAAATCACTAACATTTACCCCTCCAAAGTAACTAGAAAATATCCATGTCCCTTACGGGGTGTGACTATCAAATATAAACGAATATATATAAATAAATGGATAAGTGAATATATATATATATATATATATAAATGGATAAGCATGTGCTCCTTTCCTTCTAGCTCTCAACACTAAATTCCTAAATTCCTAATAAAAGGGAATATCAAGCTCAGATTGGTGTGTTTTGCAACAACTGAGGCCCCATTATGCTTGTCATTTTATGAGGGTAACCTGGAATCCCAACTGTAAAACAACTCTGCAACTGCGTGTAAGGCTAAGACACAGTGAAAGGCCTCCTGGTGGCCCAGAGTTTAGTCTCAGTGCCGTCACTGCTATGGCTGGGTTGATGCCCCCGGGAGCTGACCCACAAGTGGTGCAGCAGACCTCTCCTGCATACTTCAATAAATCCCCCTATTCTGCTCCTCACTCTCTCTATGGTGAATACTCTTATACAAACCCCACAACCACCACCCCACTTTGGTTCTTACATGCAAAAACAAACCTTCAACTGAAGTATTTGCAAGACTGGTACAGGTAGAGGATGGGGGGAAAATAAGGGAGGATTCTTCTGGATTAGTTTAGTCTTACAATATCCATTCATACAGGTCAAAATATGTACATGTAGATGTAACAATGTAAACATTAAATGACAACATGCAAAACATTTCTCAGCAACTATAATAGGCATGAGAACTTCCCAACCTAGCAAAACAACTGCAGTCAACTCTGCATTATTTATATGAATTGAATTATTTAACTTGAGGATTGCCCATAGCCCATTGCTCCTTCTACCCACTATGGACTCAAAATCTAATGATGTACTTCTTCTCATTGCCAAAGGCAATCACGCTTATTGGAGAAGTTTAGAAAATCTAAGTCAAAATTAAAGAGAAACTATAAATGAAATTAGTACATCCAACTACAAAAGTCTTGCAAAAAAGAATATACAGATATGTATATGTATTCTTTGATTCTGAATTTGATCAAACCTATCCATCCAACTAATAATTCAGAGGAAATCCAGAGCACAGAGCACAGGTTAAGCTTTGGAGACGCAATCAACAAGTCCAGCCTGAGGGACACTTTCTAGGAGACACTGGTTTCTTCAACAAATAAACTGCAAAGAGGGAAAAAGACTGAAAAGAAACTGACAAAGTAAGAGATATAAAAACAGACTATTAGTCACATCATGTGGACTTCAATTTGGAGCCGAACCTAAACAGATTTAAATATATATATTTATGAGAAAATTGGAAATTTTAACACCGACTGGAATAATTAATTTGAGGGAGGAAATCACTAATTTTACACGTAATAGTGGGAATGTATTTTCTTGGCCTTTATTTTTCAGAGATACATATTGAAGTGCTTGCAGATTAAATTATATGCCAGCTAGGGTGATATGACAGTATATAATATTCTATTTACGTGTATGTTTTAAGTTTCCCATAATAAAAATTTTTAAAGGATCTATCATCCACATTCATGCCCAAAATGTGAACAGAGTCACATATAAAAACTCCATGGCAGGATAAGATACAACTAGTGTAAAAACTTCTTTCATTTAATAATACAGATATATTTCCCTGTGTAATCAGAAAAGTAGCAAAACCTGAAAATGATTACATCATACATTTGTACAATTAGTTTTAAATACTTCCTAATTCAACTTGTTCCAATTTTAATGTGAAAAGCTGAACTATGTATCCCTCAACATAAATCTGTCTTTACTTATGATTAACTACTTTAAGTAGAATTACTGGATCAAAAGACATTAACATTTTTTTGGAAACAGCACTGTTGAGATACAATTTTATACATCCATTGGTTATTTTAGGAAGAATTGTGTGTTTTTATAAAATATCCGTATCTCCTTTATTAGTGGCTAAAATCCAATGAATTATCAGTTTATCCTAGTGGCTAAAATCCAATGAATTATCAGTTTATCCCTTGGGAAAATAATCTGGTATGCAGAAGGACCATGCAACTCCAAAACCAAACAAATTTCTTTCGGTTAACTTTACCATGGATCCTCGTAAGTACAGGTAAACTTTTATAACCATAATAAGATCACATGCCTTTTTCAATCAAAGACGACACTATTTCTGGGTTCCTTTGTTATTACAGAATAAGCTGTCTCAGTGGCACTTGAGAACAAAGCAGCCCATCCTGCAGGGACAGAAGGCCCATTATTGTACAGCACTTGTGGCTGTCTGGTTAATGAGCCAGTCACTGGTAAATTAGAATGAAAAAAATTAGCCTTATATCATGTAGCGGAGCTGCTGTTTGCACAAAACCAGAAATGAAACCAGCTAGCTGCTAACGACCTATGTTAATAGAGAGAAATCACACAATCTATAATTAGGACATAAAAACTGATGGCAAGAGGCAAAATTTAAGAAACCCAAGGCGTCCTTGGGAGTCTTCTTGGCTACCAAAAGCAACAAGAATTCTCTGAAGACTGTCATCAGAAACATTTGCTCAATAGATTTCATCAGAAATCTGATGTATAGATTTTTTTCCACAGATGTTTCTACTTAAAGGGGCCCTCCCCTTCAATTTCCTGTTCTTATTTTTACTCAAATTCTAAATTTAAAATTAGAATTGCTATATACCTTTAATCATATTTCTGGTCATTTTTTATTTAGGAGAACTTGGGGAGGAATAATCTCAGTTTTTTTCAATTGTGAAAATTTAGACCTTAGCATATAGCCCCCAGAATATAATGTAGTTAATTTAGACTAGTGACTGTAAAAGCAGATCCTAACAAATCTCAAGTGAGCATCAGCTTGGTAATTACTCTAAATCACTATCCCTGATTTAAAGACCACCTAGAATCATAGAGTGCTAAAAACTGGAAAGGGGTTCAGAAATCACCTAGTCCTCCTACAACCAGGTGCTCTCCTTGGAAAAGGGTGGGGTGGGAGCTTAGAGTTCACACACATTTATTTCCAGGGCTCCTTCGTCCTCCCCTTATCGCCTACAATGTGAGTCAAACCAAAAAGTTACTTCAACCTGTTCTTTTCTGATACAGGCAAGATACACTCTGGCTGACTCAGATACACTTTCCCCAAATCACTCATTAACAGGTGGAGTTGAGGCAAAATACAAGCTATTGGAAGGGTAGACCTGACATTCCTATTATCATCCCAGAGATAATGGCATTATCGACCAGAAGCAACATGGTCACCATAATTTCTTAATATAATTAAGAGCTACCAACTGAATTCTGATAATTTTTTGTACTTCTGACTAACCTCCCAATACCTCAAATGTATAAAATATCTCAGCTGATGAGATATTTCAGATTTGATTTCTCTTTGACCTGACCTAATGATCTTCCTCCCTTCCCTAAGCATTCTGTCACTCTTCAACATTCCTAAGTGAAATGTCAACACCCATATTCAGTATGACACTACTGGAATATGAAGTTATTCTGAATCTCAGACTATCTCCCAAGTAAACTCATTTCCTGAAACAAAAAAATTCTATGAACTCCAGTGCCGGGCTACCCTTATCACATATTCTTAACACTTGACTCTTGTCAGGTATGAGTCCTCTCCATAAATGACATGGCCAATTGTTCTTCCAGTCTCAAGAGTCACACCCTCATTTTGCTATATCTCTCCCCCACCTACTTAGAGAGTGATGGGAACACAAGAAGCAGGGACTGAATTCTGGCTACACAGCAGACAAGCACCAGGAAATGCCAGCGATAAAGATCAATCACACCAATGCTTTAAGAGACCCGGAGTAGCAAGGGGTTCGGAGAGCGATTCTAAACACAGAATATTAATAAACTTAAGTAAGCACTGTGGGGGAGGGCAGCACGGGAATACCAACACTGAAAGGCGCATCTCAGGTGCAGGGTCCTTATGTACAGACCTTGACACTACATTCTACCTCCGAAGCTCAGGAAAGGAGCGTGTGGAGGGGCCCCTTCTGGAGCATAACGGGCACGGACTCTTTTGTATTAATAAACTCTTAATTTATCAGGAGTCATTTAAATCTTGATAAACTCTTTCTGTATCAGCCAGTCAACACTGATACAAACCCATCTATGAAGAAGAGTTTGCCGGAGCAGTACAGTCCTATGACTGGATGAGCTGGGGCCAGGGGACCCGATGGGGGAGGGAAGCAAAGGGAAAGGAAGGTCATTCTGGTAAGTTCCTGAAGAGGAGCCACACTAAGGGTTTCTGACACAAAAGAAGTGAAGGGAAGTAGGTACCTGGGGACCAAGGAAAGAGGCACAGCCAGAAATAAGTGAGGACTACCTTAGAGAAAGTTTATCGTTAAATTTGCTACACTGGGAAGTGATGAATGCCAGAGACTGCCCTGAGACCTTTCATCTTGTCCTCCAAACCGTGGGAGGGTTAATCTGGTCAAGCATTGCGTCTTCCTGTCAATGAACTTGGAGTTGTTTTGCTCCCACTAGGTGAAAATCTTTCAATGCACAAATGTTTTGGTTTTAAAACCAGGCACATTAAGGGAAATAGGCTTTTCGCAAAAAGTGTCTTTGGAACCACATTCTTTGCCGTTTCCGACTCATCCTGGGCAGCCTGACTTCATTCAGCTGGCGAAGCCCCCTACTCTTCGGTTCCCTTGGAGTCTTATCAGGAACACTCGCCCAGTTCTGAACACAGCCCTATCAAACGAGGCAGGTCCTGGGAAGGCCTAAGTCCACTTCAGTTGGTGCCAGAGGAGAAGCGGCAGTTCCACGTTCACACAGCATGACACATCCAGATCTTTAAAAGAGGATTTACTGTCCCGCTTTTCCAGCTCAGGAAAACTCACACTATGAGACAGCCCCAAGGTCCTTGTCTATCAACCACGGCTAAGGATGCTAACTCCTTGGAATGGGGAGGAGGTGCACTCCTAAGTGGCTCTGAAATGGGCGAAGTCGCTATTTCATAACTGTTCTTTAAAAGCTTTTAATTTCTTTCTGATTGCAGCTTTGGTGGCTCTCACTGCGGCTCACACTTCCCAGAGTTCCCTGAGTGGAAGGAGAGGATCTACAACACGCCAATTCAGAGGGCTCAAGTTTGTTCCACCCCACCAGCGGCAGCCTTTCAGGCCTCCTACCCTCCCGATCCTAACTACTAACACCCCTGAAGCCGGTCTTCCAACCACGCTCTCGGGACCGGAGGTGCCGGCCTCCGAGTGACACAGCTTTCCGTGCTACCCAGACGCGCCTCCGCTCACGGCCAGAGGCTCACGATGTGGCCACAAACTCCTGCCAGATGTGCGGGGCGGGGTGCGAGAGCAGGTAAAGCAGGGAGGACAACTGGGAGGCCCTGGAGAGAACTGGGGTGCCAACCTGCAAGGAGGTGAAGGCAAAATGAGGCAGATACAGGGAAAAGCCAATGCAGCGAAGAAGACAGAGGAGGCAGTGGTAGACCCCTAGAGAACCCTGACGAATTCGCGCCTCGGTGGGTTTCCGAGGGTCCAGTGGTCTCACCAGAAAGCCGCGTTCAGCCCCAGGCACCACAGGGCGCTCCTGGCTGGCCGCTCCCACACCAGGGCTGCCTGCACCCGGCTCAGCAGAGGCTCATACGGCCCCAGCACCTCCACCAGGGCCCGCTGCGCCGTCTCAACCTGCTGGTCCCGCTCCCAGGAGCCTGACACAGAGCGGCGGCCCCTGAAAGTCGGCCCTGGAGCTGGGCCTGGGGCCGCGGACACCCCCTCTGCCTCCGCCATCTCCCCCTTGCAGCCACAACATCCGGGGCCGCGGCCCGACAGTCACAATAACACCCACTGCGCAGATGCGCCGCTCGGCGGGAGGCCCGGCCCTCCGCCGCGCGCATGCGCACAGGCTCGCCTCGGTCCCACCCAGAAGGGCGGTCGCGGCGTCAAAGAACGTCCCGCGCACCCGCGCGCCGAGCCCGGTCCCGGGCTGCGCACGCGCCGTTCGCAGGACTGAAGCCGGGCGAACGAGGAAGTGCCATCGCCGCAACTCGGTTCCCATTGGAACGGACGAAGTTCGCGGGCGGAGCGGCTTGTTTGGCGCCTGCGTCGTGCGGCGAGCGGGCTGGAGAGCTGCGACTTTGCTGGCGCGAGCGGTGCCTGAGGAGCGATGCCGAGGGAGATCATCACCCTACAGTTGGGCCAGTGCGGCAATCAGAGTGAGCGAACTGCGGCCCCCCCACTAGCCAGGTTCCCTAGAGTCTGTGGGATCTTGCCGTGGGCTCCTGGATTCCATCTGCCCTTTCCAGAATCGTGGTTCTCTGAAAGGCGGGACCCGCCTGCCCAATGTCCAGTTGTCCAGCCCCGAGGGGACCTCCCCGCGCAGTCGCTGGCCTGCGGCCCTTTTCTCAGACTCGGGCGACTCCCGAAGCATGTCTTCCTACTCCTGGACCCCGGCGCTCAGTCCCCCAGCCCCTAACTGGAACCTGTCCAGACCCAGAGATCCTCTCCCAACCCTTCCGCCCCTCCCCCGCAGTTGGGTTCGAGTTCTGGAAACAACTGTGCGCCGAGCATGGTATCAGCCCCGAGGGCATCGTGGAGGAGTTCGCCACCGAGGGCACTGACCGCAAGGACGTCTTTTTCTACCAGGTGCCCCCCAGCGACTTGGCCGGGGCCGGCAGTGGCCCGGCGCCCTAAAGGAGGGGCAGCGAGCGGCCTGGGTCTGGGAACCGCTCTGGACAGAAGGGCCTGGGCAGCTGCTTGAGGGCGGAGGGCAGGCAGGAGCCAGAGCTGGGAGGACAGGGCACCGGGCAGGCCCCTGCTGATGGGGTGCCCTCTGGACTCCCCTGGCAGGCAGACGATGAGCACTACATCCCCAGGGCGGTGCTGCTGGACCTGGAGCCGCGGGTGATCCACTCCATCCTCAACTCCCCCTATGCCAAGCTCTACAACCCAGAGAACATCTACCTGTCTGAGCACGGAGGAGGAGCTGGCAACAACTGGGCCAGCGGATTCTCCCAGGTTGCTATCCCCTAGCCAGGCCCTCTGACCTCAGACAGAGGAAACCAGATGGAAGATATAAAGTATTGGAGGGAGAGAGGCATGACTGAGGCATTTCTACTTCAACTGTGCTAACTACACATATTAACGTATTTAAATAGCCCAGTAACTCTAAAGGTAGTTACTACAGGCCTGCCATCTCATGTCTGCCTTTCCAAATGCAAAAAAAAAAAAAAAGAAAGAAACCAAAGGATGGTTTATAACTTATTTAACTTATATAAGTTATTTAACTTATAAGTTTACTTAAAAAGTTATAAACAAAAGCAGAAGCAAGTATCAGTGAAAGTAGGCAGTTTTATAGTGTCTATCCAGGTGTCAGTACTCAATACCTTTCAGGAAGAAAGATGAATGTTTGTTTAGCACACCTCATGTGCCTGTTGGTGTTTTTCTCAAGAATGTAATATGCATACACACACCATATAACCTTCCTAGACTCTGAAATATAAGTACCCCAAGGATTTCAGACAAGGTACTGTAGACATGCCTTTTTCATTATCTGCATTATGCTTGTGAGAAAATCCAGGTATAGACAAATTAAGTGACCTGCCCAGGGTCACTCAGCTAGCAGAACTGGAAATGATCTGGAAGCCCCGGCCATCAGGATGCCCATCCCCACTGTGCTGTGCTGCATCAATGCAAACGAAAAGCCGTGCAGCCTGCTCCAAAACAGGACTTCTGAGGACAATGAAGGCTGGCTGTACTGAGGCCAGACTCCTTGTCCCCTGTTCCTGGCCCGCTCTGACCTTCCCCATGTCTGTACAGGGAGAGAAAATCCACGAGGACATTTTTGACATCATAGACCGCGAGGCAGATGGCAGTGACAGCCTAGAGGTGAGTGTCTCAGGAATGCTGGTGGGAGCTGACATAAGGGAGGCTTGGCAGCACCTTTACAAGCTCTGTCAGCTACGAGACCCACCACCACGCACCTGTGTACAGGGTCACCTCATTCCCACCCAGAAGGATGGATGTGGCCCATGCACTAGACAGGAGCTGGTAGACCTGGTAGAACCTGTGAAACTGTATGTGCTGAGAAGGCTCAGGCAGCTAGGAGTCCAAGAAATTGCGGGATAAATCGAGTTTGAAATCATGCCACTATATAGCTAGGTGGTGACTGCCACTTTTCCATGCAGGGCTTTGTGCTGTGTCACTCCATTGCTGGGGGGACAGGTTCCGGCTTGGGCTCCTACCTCTTAGAACGGTTGAACGACAGGTAAGCGTGTGTTTTGAGGGTCTGGGTGGACTTGTTCCTTAAGTGAAAGGGAAGTCATCTAGATAAGCCTCTCTGATCACTGGAGCAAGAACAGGCCCTAGTGTGCTCTCCTATGTTGAGAGCAAAGGTAGAACCCTTCGGAGCCCAAGGTTTGGGGCCAGACCCTAGAATCTAGGTTCTAGATGAAAGTGCAGACACTATGAATGTAGTGAGAACCCTCCATCCTAAGAGGGCTCTCTGTGCTTCCTACGTCATGGTAACAGACCTCCAAAAGTTGACTCTCTTCTCTGTTGACCTGTGATCTCACCCCAGTTCACCTACCCTGATTTACCTGTGTCCTGATACTTGTCATGCTCACCAAGCCTCCCATGTATTACCCTGATCCTCTTCCTCCTCACCCCCAGGTACCCCAAGAAGCTGGTGCAGACCTACTCAGTGTTTCCCAACCAGGACGAGATGAGCGATGTGGTGGTCCAGCCCTACAACTCACTGCTCACGCTCAAGAGGCTGACCCAGAATGCAGACTGCGTGGTGAGATCTGGAGTCAGCCTTTCCTCACTTCCAAGTCCCTAGTGATTCAATCATTTCCATGCATTTAAAGTCCATTTTCAGACCTTGCCTGTACCTGTCCTATGCACATCCCTTTTGGATGGATCTTTCTGACCACGAAGTTCAAAGGAGCCAGGTTCAAGCAGAGTTTTTCTTCCTTTGGTTCCCACAAATCTGTTACCTTTTCTGTCCCCCCAGGTGGTGCTGGACAACACAGCCCTGAACAGGATCGCCACGGACCGCCTGCACATCCAGAACCCCTCCTTCTCCCAGATCAACCAGCTGGTGAGCCCCACACCTGCACTCTCAGGGACTTGAGGCTCTCCTTGCTCCCCGTTCTGGGGAAGGGTGGCCCCCCCAGGCCAAGCCCACAACAGGGCGCCGTGTCCCCAGGTGTCCACCATCATGTCGGCCAGCACCACCACCCTGCGCTACCCCGGCTACATGAACAACGACCTCATCGGCCTCATCGCCTCGCTCATTCCCACCCCTCGCCTGCACTTCCTCATGACCGGCTACACGCCCCTCACCACGGACCAGTCGGTGAGAGCAGCCCCCAGCGGTCGGCCTTGCCTGGGCTGCCCCTGAGCCCCGCGGCCGACCCGGCCTCTCCCCTCCCTGCAGCCCCAGGAGCTGCCCTGGCTCCCTGGGGCCTGGGCTCTGTGGGGCCTGCTTAGGCTCCTGTCAAGGGCCTGAGTTCTCTGGGCTGGGGAGGGTTAAGGCTCCTTGTCCTACAGCAGAGGCCCAAAGGGACCTCACCCCGGGTCTGAGGGGGGACAGGTGTGGCCTCCACTCTGCACTGTGCCCTGAGTGCCAGCCTGGCCCCTGCGGCCCGCCGTCCCCTCAGGTGGCCAGCGTGAGGAAGACCACGGTCCTGGATGTCATGAGGCGGCTGCTGCAGCCCAAGAACGTGATGGTGTCCACGGGCCGGGACCGGCAGACCAACCACTGCTACATCGCCATCCTCAACATCATCCAGGGCGAGGTGGACCCCACCCAGGTAGGTGAGGCCCCTTCGTTCCACCCCGCCCCCGCAGGGGTAGAGGAGAGGCTACCACCACCACGCGTGTGCCCACCCAGGTCCACAAGAGCCTGCAGAGGATCCGGGAAAGGAAGTTGGCCAACTTCATCCCCTGGGGCCCAGCCAGCATCCAGGTGGCCCTGTCCAGGAAGTCTCCCTACCTGCCTTCGGCCCACCGGGTCAGCGGGCTCATGATGGCCAACCACACCAGCATCTCCTCGGTGAGGCTCCCAGTTTGCACCAGGGGACCCAGTCAGCTTCCTGGTTGTCCCTCACCACTCTGCATCCCTGCTTCTGGCTTTGCTCTTTACTATGGCGATGCCCAGCCTGGGCTCTCTGCTTTCTGAACCATATTGTCATCAAAGTAACCCCTGTTTTCTCTACACCCCAAGCTCTTTGAGCGGACCTGCCGTCAGTACGACAAGCTGCGGAAGCGGGAGGCCTTCCTGGAGCAGTTCCGCAAGGAAGACATCTTCAAGGAGAACTTCGACGAGCTGGACACGTCCAGGGAGATTGTGCAGCAGCTCATCGACGAGTACCACGCGGCCACGCGGCCGGACTACATCTCCTGGGGCACTCAGGAGCAGTGAGTCCCCGGGTAGGACCCTCATCTGCCTTACTGGCTGACCCAGGCCCTGCCTGACTGACCACCCCTCAGCGCACAGATCAGGGACCTCACGCATATCTTTCTCATCACACACCCGTGTACTCTCTGTTAGCCGGGGGACACGTTTACTTCTCCTCTTATGAGGCTATTTATGTTTTAATAAAGCACTGGATATAAGTCAAGTGTCTGTCTCTTTGAACGCTTAGAGAACTGGGAAGGGGTTGCCAGTTCTTCCTCCATCACTCTGCTGGTCTTATGTGGCCTCTTATACTCTGAGTTAACAGCCTTCCCTAGGTTTTCCTTCTGCTTAGTTTTGGAGACTATGGGCAGGATTAACTCACCTGAGAAATTCCTTTCCGGAGTAAAAAGATCCTAGATTTTTGCTCCCTCTCTGACACTCTGATCCTAGCTTGAATGCATCAAG